TCTATCCAAAACCTATGGAACAAAGTTGTAGATTTTCACCTGACAGATACCCAACCTAAGAAGGGACTACCTTCTTTTTTTGTTGACACTGTGGAAATGCTTTGTGTACCGTCACCACTGTCGGGGTAGGGTAGTGTCTGGGAATGGCACCCTGATAGTTCCTCAGCAAGCTTCGAGAAGCCAAAGCCGGAAGCTTTAAAACGTAGGTACCAGATAAACAAACGTCATTATCGCAATCTTCTTCTTGTCGTGTCGACAACAAACCTACACCACAGCGTCAGCCCAAAACTCCGCCACAAGAGTGACGTTGTCAGTAGCCTTCATTCAATCTTCCTGCGTGCAGTTGTTTGGGCACGCAGGGCACGACATCATGTTCGCAATTATAATATTAGCACTGTCTAGATTGCTTCTGCTTTAAAAACCATTACCAAAGATGTGAGTGAAAATTTGGCAGTAACACATTATCGATGTCCCATCAACTCAATATTGAAATGGTCCCTCGCGAGTTGATCTGTGCCCCATTGAAAACTACCCCCGCCTGTACGGATTAACCGTTCGCTTCGTGACATCCCCATTATTGTTATGTTCCGCTAGTATCTCTGGGTCTGGGGTAGTTCGTAGGGTGACCATTCGTCAGGATTTTTCCGGATAAATCTGGATATTTTCGAAATTGTCGAAGTGTGTTCGACTTTTTGGTTTGAGCTCCTTCGTAGTGGTTAGATAGTTGGACGCGCAAGATGTAGTCCTGGGTTCGGTTCTCGGATGGGAGCGAAAAATCAAATACCCCCTTATTAATAAAAAAAATACACCTAGGATGAACACTGGATTAAAATGACATTTCCATACTAATTGACAATTTAGGCCAGAGTTCAACTAGGGTGTAACTTTTATTAATAAGGGGGTGTGTGTACCCACTATGTTTAAGAATAGAGTGCAAACAAATAAAGTGTAATTTTTGTTCTTAATGGTTAAGAAAGGAATGCTTAGAAGGCATTGTCTTCCATCATATGATATCAAACGTCTACTACAATGATTCAATAAAGGTTTTACTAGAAGAAATAAAGTTAGCACTAATATGAAATTGGGTGGACTCCAAAATTTCCAAATGGTAACCCTAGCTAAGGGATGGACGGTGAATCGGCGTTTTATGGGGTCCAAAAGGACAAGGGGTGTTTTTAATTTGGAGCTATGGTCATTTTTAGCGTTGGGGGGTTATGTTCATTTGTTGATAGGTGTCTTGGTGCAATATTAAACGGTAAATTATCTTTATGAGTTTTCAACCGACTTCAAAAAAGGAGGAGGTTCTCAATTCGACAAAAAAGTAACTTAATTTTTGTTAACACCGCAAAAAAGTGTCCCACTTAAATAGTTGGGAAGTGAAATAAGTTATCAAGATTGAGTCCCCGCTAATTCTTGACGTAAAACGTAAATTAATAACTACCTAACTGTTTGTGTTCTTCTGATAACAAATATTTTACGTACTTTGTCACTTATTGAATGAAATCAAACCCATTCAGGCTTCAAAAGCTCTATTACTTACTTATTCTTTAAAGGAAGCGTATTTTCAACCCGCACTCCGTCACTTCGTCATCTTGACGCAATCGAGTCAAGAGCAGGTCCCGAGCTGATTATCCTTATTAATTTGTTAATTGTGTTTATTAATTCGCTAATCGCCCATTGTTCTGTATTGCTGATGTAATGGGACGCTGATGGCGCGCATTATTCGCGCTTTCACTCAAGCTAAAAGGACAAAGGGATTAGGTTGATGTACGGAATGGCGGTGTGTCCGGAGTGAGTGGTAGTTTTAGGCTGTCTGTCAAGCCCAATTCTCAAGGCTACCGTTAGCGTTACTGACTGAGCTATCAACAAAAATAGTTATTAAAAAAAATCTAGCGTCAAGAATCGCATCTCAAGCTACATTTTAAATGACTTGAAAAAAACTTAATATAATTGTTTAAGGTGGGAATCGAACCCTTAGGCAAGTGAGGCAGTTACATTTTTTCAAGTCATTTAAAAATTGCGCTGAAAAGGAAATCTGTTTATACACCCCCTTATGGGATGAAACGGGGATCCAAAGTTTCCACCATTTCTCTGACTAAATACTTATCGAACGCTCAAACCTCTGCTGTTAACATGAGCTGCCATATTTTTCTTACGCTTTTATTGTAGTTGTTGCAGTTATTTTTAAATCTTTTAACTGACATCTGTCGACGCAGCTTAATTTTACCACCTCCACTTAATTTTAATCCATTTTCATTTACCAAGCGCGATCAACGCACCAAATTCAATGAGTGTATTAATTTTTTTAACCCTTCACTTAGTTATTTTTTGATAACGTTATTGTTGTTGCGGATTATAACGCAACCCTTGCGTGAATGCGTTTCCGAACAATTAATTTTTGAGTGTCGCGGGTATTTTAGACCGTGCGGTTGGTATTGGACGGGTTGAAAAGATAATTGTAATTTTTTATTGCGTTTTGTAAATGTTATTATATTTTTTGTGAATGTTATGGTAGTAAAATAAAATTGGTAATAAAATAACTGTTTCATTTCGAAGCAGCACTGAAACGATGTTTTCTGTCCCATTGAATGTAGGTTATTTAATCGGTTAAAAATCAATTATAGTAAAGCTCCCAAAACATTTTATTTGCGGTAAAAATAAGTATTGTTTGATTAATTAAACCCAATAAACGTTACCAACTCAAAATGGCATAACACAAAAAGAGCTGATTTTCACAATAACACGGATACAGTTCGAGGGATGCAGATGCAGAAGTGAATTTTTATTATTTTTTAAATTAAGGAAAATCTCTAATGTTTCTGTAATTTTTTTGCAGTCACAGAAAAAGCGGGATACCAATCGCCATATGGAGGCATGGACAATGGAATGGTGAGTTCTTTTTTTATATTCTTAATTATTTGTTTGATAAATAACTGTAGTTAAGGTATTCTGTGAACTTCTGTGTATAGGCGTTGTATTTTCACAGTTTTGGTTCTGCAAAACTTGATGTCAAAAGTGTGTTATGTTCAGTTGACTGCAAAATATTCAGCTTTATTTGCTGTCGTCTACATTACATATCCTTTATGTTAGTCATTAACGAGGGAAAGAATCAAGTTTGTATTTGATTTGGAACTCGAGATATTCAGAAATTGATGTCCTCTTCAGGTTATCTTTTTATAGGTTTTATTATGATAGCAATTTTATTCAAGACAGTTTATTTCTAAGCGAATTCTCGGCGTTAGTATCTATTCTACGTTAACGATACCTGGATTTTTTCGAAATTTCAAGATACCCCAATGTTAACTTTGTTTACAATCGAGGCGAAATATGAAGAAAATAGAGTTATCTCACTGTTTCAAAAAGAAAGCGAAGCAAAAAATAATATATTCCCACTTATAGGAGATACGGGAAAAGGTTTCGATTCGTCTGCGTTTTTGCGAAACCTTTGCGTTGTTGTGACCGCAATTTTATTTATGAAAAGTTAGGACAAAAAAAATCAACGAGTTTTCTGGTCAAAATTAGTGAAATCTCAGTAAACGCTGCACATGTGAGATGGTGGAACAATGTGTATTGTCCTTGAAACCCGTCGCCATTGACAAATTAAGAAGTACGTAGATTAAAATTAATGATTTCATACAATAACTAAACATTTGTAATAATGTATCATAGCTCTACCTAATTGGATAGCAACGTCATCATCATCATCATCATTTCAGCCACATGACGTCCACTGCTGAACATAGGCCTCCCCCAATGACTTCTACTGCCACATCGCCCGGTTGGTAGCGGCCTGCATCCAGCGCCTTCCTGCAATCCTGGTAGGATAGCAACGTAAACGCAGTGTTTTCGAAGACGTATTCTCTTATTAGATACGTATGGCTATCCCAGTGATTTAACTGAAATATTATGCTACTCAGCTAAGTGCCTATCAAATAAGGTAGAGTATTTTGAACCATAGATAATAAGAAGATTAGAAATCTTCTCTTGAGTCATTAACTCGTAGGTATGTATTTTATAGTAGACCAATAGTTTTCTGCGTAAACAGTAATATTTTCGATTCGTTTTAAATAATTCCCAACAATCGCACATCTCATGGTGACCCTACCAAGGAAAATACACTGGACGTTATAAATCACAATATCGAATTCAACGTACGTTTTGTTATTCTCTTTTTTGGAACTAACCTTTTCATACTTGGTATAATATTGTTTGTTTAATATTTACTATGCAGTCGTTAGTACATTAGATTGTGGCAAAATCGCATGTATTACAACTCAGTAAGGAAATGCATGCCTGTGTCATGTCTCGGTGGACTGACGATCTAGCTACGGGACTATTCCCACCTCTCGTTCCCACCGCTGCAACTCCTGTGTAGCCTGGATCTACAGCTTGACCGCCAATAAAAACTCAACCAGTGTGTTGAATGTAATTGATTTGAAGTGCAAAAATTAATTTACTGTTTATACGGAACTCCGTGGATAGCTTCCATAGAGCATACTTTTCTTCTTTATGTTTTGATGACCGTCATCTTATTGTCAACTGATTCTATAGACGGGCGTAATAGCTTCTGGTGTTTTATTTGATGAAATATAATTCAGTTAAAAATGGAAGAAATATATTTTATTTACGCCCATATTTCAATACAGTGAAGGTCAAGTTTGTCCCGGGGTAAAGTTATATTCTGCACTGCCCATATTACTGTCCCAAAGCAGTGGTAGTGTTGGGACGTATAAAAGTGTTCTTACATACATACTTGCATAAATTTGATTTGAGTCCTCGAGAAAAGTTTTTATCCACTCTGTGGACGTCCTTTGGTTGATTCGAACGAAGCAATTGCGATTCCGGAAAACACATCGTGGAAATCAGTGGACGTTCTGTTGCTGAAATGATGACGAAAAGAGTTTCATAGGAATTGCAGTGTGGAAGGAAAGAAAGATGAAGGCAGTTTTAACTTCTTACCCGACTGCGCCAGAAGGAGGGTTGTGTTTTTTCACAAATTCAAATTCAAATTCATTTATTCACAGAAATACACGTCCATTAGATGTTTGTAAATAATCAATTTCGTTACAGTGTACCTTGCCATGACTGGCATGNTGTACTATCGCCAACAGTGTTAACTGACCATTGAAAGTCATGTCATCTCGTTCTATCGCAAAGAATCGCCATTTGATTAGAGCGAGAGCAAAAACGGAAAAGGATAGTTAACAGTGTGGGCGTGTGGACATAAAATTTTGAATTTTCAGAAATCAAATTATAAAAAATATATCTTATGCCATCCAGTCCCAAATAAGCAAATCTTGTTATCATAGAGTAGTGTTTCTATGGAAAAGTTTGTGCTTTGGAAATAGGTAGTAATAATGAATGTACAGTCACGGAATGAAAAGGTTCGTCAGTTTTCAAATTGATTCCTTCAACGAATCGCGAGCACATATTACCTTTTGAAACTATGTTACAGAATAATCTCGAGTTAGAGAAAACAATCTTTAACTGTTCGTCAATAAAGTTCAAAATTATTTAAATCAAAGTTGTTTGACGATTTATCTTGTCAAGAAGATTATTATGATTGATAAACTAAAACCTTCTTGTTGGTTCAACCTGCCATTATTAATTCTTTTAAATAAAAAAAACTATTGTCAATTGGTCAATGTCATCATTGCATTGCACTGACGGGATAGAAAAATAAACAAGCAAAACCTTATTCGTTAGCAAACGTCATATTTATTTAAATGTTAGCAGCACTGTTTCTTGCACTGTTATGTTGGCAGGTTTGACTCTTACAGTACCTAGTGCAAGCGAAAACCGACACTAAGGTGACGAACCTTTTTATTCCGCGACTGTACCTACCTAAGTATAGTAATAAAAGTTATTTTACAGCATTCAGGAAAGTGGATACCGTTGAATAAACATGGTGTATCATGTTTTACCCATACCAAAGAAGAATCTTCCTACTTTAATGGAGTCATCTACGAGTATGAAACTTGTGAACCAAAGATGTTCGAGATGAAGACACTTCAAAAGCCCTCGAAGCCTTTATGGTATACTTCAAACAGCCAAAATGGACAAAAGATAAATGAAATATGAAGTCAAAGAAGTTTTAAGTGATCCACAAGTTGCTGGAAGTTGTATGGGATTTGTATGGCGCAAACATGTATGAGTCAAGCCCTCTGTGTCCGTGTGCTCTCAACCCTTATAATGGCGGCGAAACAAGGGCTCGAAGTGTAAGGGTTGCCAATTTTAGTCAAAAAAGTATTTTTTTTCGAATGACCTTTTCGAGTTCGCGAGAATATTTGCACGTTTTCACCATCAATCTCTAATTTTTAAGTGACCCCTATGAAAACAAAATTCCCTACTCCTATTATGTGTGTTAAAAAAAAGGGATTGTTTATGAAAACGGGCAGTAGGCTAGTTTCCTAAAAAAACTTTTGGTCCGTCAATAACATTATCAAAAAATATTGTACACGTATATTTTTTTTATTTGTCAATCAAACAAGTAATTATTTTACGAAGTTATGATGATGCGTTGAAGTTCCGGGTGACGTTACAAAGTGCTACATTTTAAAGCACTTCTTGACGTCACGGGCCTTTTCTTTTGAACGTTGGTACGCTCTATTTCTCTCAATTTTCATTATTTTGAAAAAGTGAAAACTACGTGTCGAGTATTTTTTGATAAGTTAACTGACGGACTAATTCAAACTCTTGCTTTTTTACCCAGGAAACATCCCTATTTTAAATAATAATAGCTTCTATATTATTATTATGCTTCCAGTAAACTAATTGATGCCATCAAATTTAGAAGAAACAAAACATTTAACCAACAATGGACATTCTGACGTTAACCGATAGTTATTCTTCCATAATTAAACCGGTATTAACTTAATTACTACAAATGGTACGCGCCAATTAAAAATATTTTGTACAATTTCAATCGTTGGAATCTTGTTTTGTTATGGAATGTTCATTTAGGTAGCTATAATTAATTTTATTGAAAAGGGATTTGTATGTTATTGTGTAATTGTTTTAATTTACAGTAATTTAATTTCAAAGCTTTTCAGTTAAGTAGGATATTGTGCGTATTGAGCCGTGGGCAAAATATAGTTTTTATGATAATATCATTCTAGTCCCTATAGATAAGCGATGATGCTCAGAATATTTCCTTGAAAGTCTACTAGCAAGAACTGCATACCGTTGTGATATTGCGTTAAAAATATGCCATTCTCTTTCCCGCCCCCGACAGCCCTATAAACCTTATTGATACCCGGATACCCTATGACATGTTGTTTGACAATTGTCGCGTGGAGTGCCCTCGTCCCTCGACTTGATGACTTAGGAGGCGACACTTGTAATACTTTTGTCCCTTCTAAGAATATACAAAGTTCTACAAGGCCCTAAGATTGAGGTGGTTCGGGTTTGTGGGTTACGAGTTCGAACCCCGTTGTAAATGTTACCAGTATTTTTTTCTGTGATGTCTTTTTAAAGTTATAGATTATGTCATACCTGCTCTAGAATATCAATAGGAAATTCAAGTAATTGCCCGCCTATTGAGGTATCCTGTCTAACGACAGGTTTCACCTATCATTTTTCTCATTTCATTGCAAAATGTCATAATAAATAGCTGTATATAGTTGTAAATTGTGCCACTTAAAAATGTGGACCTGAAAAATCTGTCTGTATTTTTGGTATATTATTGGTTTCTCATCAAATAAAAATGTATTTACCAGTATTCCTTGTAAGCCTTCAGTAGGTACTGGTAATTATAGAACACTAGCGAACCACCCCGGCTTCGCACGGGTGCTAAGTATTCCCCTTGAATCACTCTCTATTAAAAAAAAACCGCATCAAAATCCGTTGCGTAGTTTTAAAGATGGAATTTTAAAAAAGATATTAGGTACAGACAGCAGAAAGCGACTTTTACTATGTAGCGATGAAAGAAACTTGACTAGGTAGGTACAAATTCAAAGAAGGCTTGGCTCAGACACTGTTTTCAGCTATGACCAATTCTATTGAGGTGCTAATCGAGAATAATTAAATTCTTTTAATTTCTCAGCTGTGAACCATCATTTACATACCGGGAAGTCGGTTTGCTCACTGACGAGAAGTTAAAGTTTCTGATCTCTATTCAAGAGCTGAGGAGTCAGGAGTTGTTAATTTCAAAGGCGAATTTATCAACAAGTGCTGGTGAAACAGACACCTCCTGGTTCAAGTTACTGTCTTATTAAGATTTTAGCTGCTGTTATTATATATTTAGCGTTTAACTTAGTTCCTGAGGATGCTTTTGGGATGCCAAACGTCAGCGAGACTTCGAATGTGCTTCAGGTTTGAATGCTCTGTCACGTCATAATATGTCCATGCCCATGTCATCCGTCCCATGCCTCAGGCACTGACTCATTTAAGTGATACAACGTAGACATAGGTCTACGTTGTATAGTACATCTATAGAGATGTAATGAGATCTACGTTGTAGCAGTCAATTGTGATTTGATGTCAACTGTAATACAAATTGTACAGTGGGTCAAATTTTTCCGGTCCGGTCACAGTTTGATGAGAGCGAAAGAAAAAACAGAAATGGGCAGCCTGTTTTCACCATCAATCCCTAATTTTTAAGTGACCCTTATAGTAACAAATAACAGGAATTTTGTTTACATAGGGGTCACTTAAAAATTAGGGATTGATGGTAAGAACGGGCAATAGCCCACTGGGTAAGTAAATAATATCCAATAAAAATATTTTAAAGAATTTTTGTGGTTCGCCATACATTTGTAAACTATGCAAAAAATTCACACACCCATCAAAACCAAAAACGTCCAAAAAACTAGACTTTTTAAACATGCACGAGTCCAGAATTAGTCTTGGTTAATTTTTCTAAAGAAAACACAGCGCACCCGTACAAAAATGGCGGAGCAAATATTCATTAGCCTGGATACCCGGGGGCACCCGGCCCTACGAGGACGATGTTGTAGGTAGAAAGAGAAAAACGGGCTTTCCAAGAAACGTCCACGTTGCTGGAAAGGCGTTGACGGGGATTGTCAACGGGGAATAGTGAACATTTTGTTCACTGTTCCCCGTTAACGTTAAATTACTTACCATCAGGTGAGATACAGGCCAAGAGCTTCCTCGTTGTGGATAAAAAAAAAAATTGGCTACCCCATTACGTTCAAAATAAAATCCTAATATAACGGGGATTAATGAACTTTTTAGTTCATTATTCCCCATTATAAGCTCCAATTGGCGTTAACGGGGATTAGTGAACAAAAAGTTCACTATTCCCCGTTGACGGGGATTGTCAACGGGGAACAGTGGAATAAGCCGCCGGAAAATGGGGCATGAATTTTAAAAAAATTGATAAAAATTTTAATGTTTTTTAAGAGTTATTTCATTTTCTTATCTACGAGGACGATGTCATAGGACGAACGAGGAAAACGGGCTTTCCACGAAACGTCCACATAGCTGGCAAGTGGGGCGTGGAATTTAAAAAAATAGATAACCTTTATTAATGTTTTTTAAGAGAAACGATTTTATTTTCTTCTACGAGGACGATGTTGTAGGAGGAACGAGGAAAACGGGCTTTCCACGAAACGTCCACATAACTGGCAAATGAGGCGTGGAATTTAAAAAATAGACAAGTGTCTTTAAGAGAACCATTTTCTTTTTTTTTTCTTTTTTTTGTTACAACACAGAGGTCTTTAAAATAAAAAAAAATAGAAGATGCAAAGCTTGTTTTGTGCGGAAATTACGCTCATATTCATAAGCATTATGATGTCTCACAGTGCGCGTGGACGCACAGGGTGACACACGAACTAATCACAGAGCTCTATTCAAAGCTGTGCGTTCGATTTGGTGCTTCATTTATCGTTTGTGAATACGGGCGTTAGTGACTTTTGTCTGTACTAAATGCTATGCATCTGCTGAAAAATGGCCTAAAGCTATTTCCACTACCACCGGTCCTGCGCTGCCCGCATCCAGCTGCTTTTGCATTCACCAGGTAGTCGGTTCACTGAGTGGTAGACCCATCTACACTTCGTATTCCGATCTGCAGTACTCGAGGACTTTCTTTTTATCCTCAACAAGGAAGCTCTAGGCCTGTATCTCACTTGTATCTCTTTTTACCCCAAACATCATTAGTTTTACAAGCTATGTGCCCCGCCGACTGCCATTGGTTCTCTTACATCATCATCATCATTATTTCAGCCATAGGACGTCTATTGCTGTACATAGGCCTCTCCCAATGATTTCTATATTGACCGGTTGGTAGCGCATGGCCTTCCTGCTATCTTGTTAGGTCGTCGGTCCATCTTGTGGGTGGACGTCCCACGCTGCGCTTTCCCGTACGTGGTCTCCACTCTAGAAGTCCAGAACATTGTGGCCATCGACTTTTAGTTCTGCGTTCTATGCCCTGCCCATTGCCAAGTTTGCGAATCTCTCGATCGGTTCTCCTACGGATTTCCTCATTTCGATCAAGTAGGGAAACTTCAAGAAATCCTTAAAGTGAATATTAGCTACAACATCATATTATAGTATGATGAGCCTACCGAGATAATAAGATGCTGCCCATATCTGCAGATGTGATCTTTGTATTAAAATCGGCGTACGTCGGCGGAATATGAACAACTATGGTGTTTTACTGAACTAACACTGGCACGTGGCTTTGTCTGTCTTGAACAATCCTGTATTCAATTCCCTACTGAAGCAATTTATATGCAGGTTTAAAAAAAAATTGGTCTCAATATTTTCAAAATCTTTCTTTATTTGCATAATTCCAGGTAACTTTTTATCCACAACGAGGAAGATCTTGGCCTGCATCTCAAAGTGAAAGTGATGATCAGGCCGAAGGTGGAAGCGAGCTTCATCCGGAATCCTCAACCATAGAGAAACTGGCTATTTTTCTTCTAACTGCCGAAACACAACAATGCTGTTTTAACATTGTTATGGCGACACTTAGGTAAGATGGCGGTAGTTAGCCAGGCGGACTTAGAACAAGCCCTACCACCAACCAAACCGAACTGAAAAATGTTGAGTAACGCACGTATTCACAAACATTATGAGGTCTCACAGTGCGCGTGGACGCACAGGGTGACACACGAACCAATCACAGAGAGCCATTTCTATTCAGCGCTGTAGGTTCGATCGTTTGTGAGCATGGGCATGGGCGCAAAACTTTTTGCAATGTGTTTTTTTTCTAAGTGGATTACTGGTATTGCTGGTATTGCCTTTTAATTTTGTATGAAGAGTATAATAAATCTTAGAACAATAAATACTAGTTAGTTAAATTATTTCTACAAGGTGCTTAAATTAGAATCGCGTAAGTTTAGCGTTATTTCCAATTCAAACAAGTGTAAATGCAAATGGATTTGATTCATTTACGGAATCCCATTGAATTTAAAACCTTATGCTCTTGCAATAAGAACTAGGTGCATATCTTTACAAATTTAAGACCAGTAAAGCATTATTCTCTTGTAAGCTTTATCAATTTAAAATGTAAATTAAATTAGAAAGTGGACATATTCGTACCTAGTGCAAATAAAATAGTTATACAGAAAAGTAGGTATATTTCTAATTTCAAAATAAAGGCTGGGTTTCACCATCTTACTTTAATAAAGTTAGATGGTGAAACCGTCAAAAATCTGTCAAACTCCATACAAAAAGCATCGGTTACGTTTATTATATTTACCGTTAAAGTTAGGTGGTGCAACTCAGCCTAAGAAATTTTGCGGGCGCTACAAATTCATGAATATAGGATCAGTGAAAGATTAAAAAAAAATTCAAAAACAAATTCTTCTTGCGTCAAAGAGTACCATTCATCAATCCACACAAACTTTCACATTTAATTTATACTATAAGACGGTAATTGAAAGTAGAAATGATTAGTAGGTCTATACTAACAAAGTGTTGAAAATTATAACGTTATACGTTATAACTATACCAACTTGTTAAAGTTAGCGGCTCGCTTTCAACATAATTCGGCAGGTGGTCATTTTCTTATTACGGGACGGCTTCATGCATTATGGAGCCAGTTTATACAGCGCTGTGTGGGAGTTGAGCCATTTTACTTTAGTGCCTTTAATTAGGTAATGGGTGGTGTAACATAGTTGATACTTTTATTTTTGGCGTAATGGAATATTTAGAGTGGTAGTGTAACAGTCTCTTAATTAATATACGAGTAGGCCGACAATATTAACAGCGTTTTAAAAGATAAGGAGATATTTTTAAAGTGCCCATTATGGGCTATCTTCTTTTACTATTTTTTAACGTTTATAAGTGCCAAAATACTGGTCAAAATAAGTATTTCCTTTTGTTTACAAGCAATATCAACTAGCATAAAAACAGTACATATTTAATTGTACTTTAAATGAAATAAAACCGCTTACACGATTATAGCATGTTATTAAAAAACAACTTATTTAAAACTCACATAAATCACGCGACAGTATTTAAATACTAATGAACATGATTTACAGCATGTTGCATAAATCGGCCCACAAAAGGCGGTATGCAAAAGAGCGGCAGGACATAACTACCGACTATAAATCCAATGTGATTACTAAAACGTATGTAATTTTTTATTTATCCTTCCCATATTTTTCGCGGATCTGTCCCCAATTATTCTTTTTATAACTCAATTTTTGATATTTGCATAAGTGAAGCATTCTTGGGAGTTGTTAGCTGTTATTTATTTTGCATAAACCGATTCTTGAGGTCTTTATTTGGATGTAACGTTTTGTGCTGCCGAAAATTTTGAAGTTTCGATTTTTACATAAATATAGCTTATTACTCATGTAAAGTTTTTTAAATGTAATAATTTGTGTATGGGAGCTGTATTTTTAACCATAACGGGGAAGCTTTGGGGCATGCTTCTTTCCATGGAAAGTGATCATCAGGCCGAAGGTGGAAGCGAGCTTCACTCGGAATTCTCAACCACAGACGAACTGCTTCTCTTAGCTCCAACTGCCAAGAAACAAACATGATGTTAACATTGTTGTTAAAGTTACAGACTTTGATACGGTGGTTTAACTAAAGTAAGTAGGTAGGTACCTAGACGAACTTTTAGCAAGCTCTATAACCGACCAAATGACATTGGGAACTTTTTGCCCCACTTTTCGAAAAGTAGCGGACACAAACGAAACCTATCACAGATACATACTAATATCCAATGAATTTCCGTGCATTTTTTTTTTCTCTCTTATATGGGAATATTGAGAAAATGAAGTTTTAATATTTTATTTTATTTTACATTTAGGTAACATTTTTGACGACCTCCGTGGCGGAGAGGCGCACACACTGGTTTTCAAGGTGTGCCGGGCCAATCCTGAGGTCCTGGGTTCGATTCCCGGCCGGGACAATATAGAAAACGATCTTTTCACATTGTCTCTGGTTTGGGTGTGTTGTGGTTCGTCGTTCCCGATTTCCATAACACAAATGCCTTAGCTACTTATTTTGGGTTGGAGTAATATATGAGATGTTGTCTAATATTAATTTAAGTATTTATAATATTTTATTTATTTATATTTTTTATTTATTTATATTATATTATTTACTTTTATTGGTTACTCTGCAATGCCAAACAACATAACATGTAAAAATATCAAATCATTTTAGACAAATATATTTTCAACTTAGACTCGTCATATCTCAGAATTCCCATATCTCACAACATAGCGCTTTAAGTGAATATACCTAAAGTATAAAGCTTTGAAATAAAATACGTTTCATCTTTGTCCGCCGTGGGGCATTTTCTCATATTAAAGTTCCCAATGTCCTTTAGCAGGAAATTGGCCCCCGCTGGGAATCTAATCCAGGACCTTCAGGTGGTCTTACAACTAGACTACATTTTAAGAAAATACTTTGTGAATTCGAAAGAACTTCCTATCTTACTGTTTATGTAACAACAGGTTAGTTTTATCGACATCTCAACTATTTTTTATTTTTTGGACAACCATGGATATTTTACAATGTAGTTAGCTAGTCACAAGTTAGAAAAAACTAGATGTAAATATTTATTATAAATCATTAACCGTAATAATTATTTTGACATTCATCAACTTAATTTGACATAATAGTACTTACTTTTTAAAAGTATTCCAAGTCCTTCTAACCTATTATTTAACTTAATAGAGACGTAGTCGGCAGTATTTCTATTTCATTACATTCTAATAGCCGTACAATTTTCAATCTGGCATTTTAACGGTTGGCCACTACGAAGACAATTAAAAATAAATTAAGCGCGGGAAACTTGACGTGCCGAACAAAATGGCGGCCTTATGATTTTTATTGCCGCCGTTTCTGTATTTTTACACGGAGAACTAGCTTTTCAATTACACTAGTGGTTCAAAAGTGCTTGCTTTTATGGCAGGATGGGCCGGTTTTAAAATGTTTTTAGGCATTTTATGGGTTAAGCTACTGTTTTTACTTTAAGTAATATCATTAAGGCGTAAAAATCTAAAGTAGACAATTTTGTTTTTAGAATTTCGTTTTCTTAAAAGTATTTAAGAGTAATGAAAGGCAATAAGTAAAAGGTCAATATTATAATTCATACTGATTGATCCACTAGTTTCATTTCTTGATAAAAAGTAGATTTTATTTCTCATAGAACATCTATCTACAAATAGGTATGTATCTACCAGCACCATCTCTATAGTAGTAAAATAAACAAACAACTTGAAAAAATCGAACCGCCTAAGGCGGGAATCGAACCCACGAACTTTCGCTTGCTGGGCGATTTTTTCAAATTCAAATTCAAATTCAAATTCATTTATTCACAGAAATACACGTCCATTAGATGTTTGTAAATAATCAATTTCGTTACAGTGTACCTTGCCATGACTGGCATGTGAAAGTTAATTAGGAGAACATGTCAAAATATTAATAATCTTATGAAAAGTCATTTGATAAAATCATAACAATGTCAACAATCCAATTATACTAATCATTACAATTAAATGTCAATTACATAAAATAACACACAACCAATATTAATACATAAAATTTCACAATTATTTAATTCTAAAAAAACTCATTTACAGAGTAGAAACATTTATCGAGCAGCCACTTGTGCAATACATTTCTAAATTCAGGCATAGAAGCTCCCTGTATATAAGCTGGCAGTTTATTGAAAACTCTTATAGCCATACAAAATACATTTCTTTTATATAACGTTAAATTAATTTTGGGCAAATACAATCTGTTCTTGTGGCGAGTAGTCTTTTCTAATACCTGTTCATGCGTCTTAAAATTATCAGGATGTTTTTTTACAAATAGGCATAATTCCTTGATATATAAACATGGCAATGGCAATATTTTTAATTTTTTGAAGAGTGGCTTACAACTATCTCTATAGCCTGCCCCACACATCGCACGCATGCATTTTTTTTGTATTTTAAATACTTTTTCGGAATCAACAGAGTTCCCCCAGAGAATAATTCCATAATTTAGTATAGAGGAGACATAACCGTAATATGCCGACATCATTGCTTCATTGTTTGAAACGTATTTTAATCTTTTTAATACAAATACAAATCTGTCTAGTTTATTGCACACATTATCGATATGTGGTTTCCAAGTGCAGTGTTTGTCGAGAATTACACCTAGAAATTTAGTTGTTTCGACCTCATTGATAGATTTATTTTGATAATGGATATTTAATTTAATGTCTCTCGATTGAGTTGTCTTAAAATGTATCCTATTTGTTTTGTCAATATTTATTTTCATATTATTACTATCTAACCATGTCATCAATGTTTTTATTGTGTTGTTTATTTCAGTTTCAAGATCATAAGTTTTATCTGCTTTAATTAATATAGTCGTGTCGTCAGCATAAAGTAAACATTTGTGTCGTATTGTGTCGGGAAGATCATTAATGTACAATAAAAATAATATTGGACCCAAAATGCTTCCTTGGGGGACTCCAGTATCATTTATCACACAGTCAGAGAAAAAATCCTTTTTATAAAAATTCTGTAATCTATTTATTTTAGTACATTGCATTCGGTCACTGAGATAACTTGTGAACCAGTCATTTGCAATACCACGAATTCCATAACTGTGCAATTTATTTAATAGTTTTGTGTGGTTTACAAAGTCAAACGCTTTACTCAAGTCTAGGAAAATTGCCACTAAGGGAACCCCGTCGTTGATACTCTCGGTGACATATTTCATCAAATTAAAGCAGGCAAGTGTTGTTGAGAAACCTTTTCGAAATCCGAATTGTTCGTTTTTTAAGATTTTTTCTCTGGTTATATAATTATACAGCCTTTCAAACATCGCCTTCTCAAAAACCTTCGAAATAACCGGTATGAGTGTTATTGGTCGATAGTTGTTTAAATCAGATCTATCGCCTTTTTTGAAAATTGGATTTATAATACTGCGTTTAAGTTGCTTTGGGAATAAACCTTGTTCAAAAGACATGTTGATTAGGTAACTAAGTGGGCTACTAATAAGTTGTGCCACTCCTTTCAATATATCGGTCCGTATACCATCGTATCCAAATGACTTACTGTTTTTAAGCGATCCTATAATTCTAATAATTTCGTGTGTATCGGTGGGTGTAACGTAAAAGCTGTTGTGACCGCGTTTACTATTATGTAAGTTAGATGAACCATTCGTGCTGTTATTCAACGGTGGTTTATTAGTCAGTTCAATAAAATATTCATTAAAGACTTGGCATAAGTCATTTGGATTCGTAAAGATTTTATTGTCTTTCTTAATTTTTTCTAAGTTTTCTCTAGGAAGATTGTTGTTGGTATTATCTTTTATCACCTGCCATGCTGCTCTACATTTATTGACGCTTTTATTAATGTAATGGCTATTAACCAATTTTTGAGCTTTGTTTAAACATGATCGTAATAATCTATTGTAATTTTTATATCTAATTCTGTTATCGTATCTGTTATTGGACGAGTTTATGTATGCTAGATATAGATTCCTTTTTTTATGACAAGATTTTCTAATACCTTTTGTTATCCACGGAAGCCCGACTTTTCTATTAGAGTATTTTTTCCGTATGAACGGAAAACAAAGATCATAGAATAGTAAAAATAAATCGTGAAACTCTTTGAAGGCCTCGTCTAAATTATCCTTCATATAAACATCTGAAAATGTCAAAGCTTTTATGCATTCCCTAAATTTAAAAATATTATGTTTTGAATAATCTCTATGATCCTCGTACCAATATGGAATGTCGTTTGCTGCTTTGCATTTGGTTTTAAATGAAAGAGTCTGTGCAGTTTCATGATCTGACAATGCCAAATAATGGATATTTCCCTCTGCATTTTTTATATTACATGCTATTAGATCTAGGCATGCTAGTCTTCTAGTGGCTAAATTAATATTAAGGTACATGTTGTGGTTTTTTAGAATTGAACTTAATTCTTCTGAGTATTTGTTAGCTTTTAACATATCTATATTCCAATCACCACAAATAACAATTTTCTTATTACTATTTTTCTTAACGATGCTGTGTAGTAACATTGTGAGCTTATCATAGAATACGTTAACATTTCCAAAATTAGGTACCCTATATATGCATATTATAATAAGTTTTAAGTTAATTATTTCGATACCACAGCATTCAAATGATGACTGGGATGCTAGATCCTTTGTTATTTGTAGTTCTTTAAAGTCTGTTATATTTTTCTTTATTAGGATGCACGTGCCCCCTCTCTTCTTGTTGGTTCGACAATAGGTAGCTGCTAATTTGAAGTCCCTGAATTGTATATTGCTTTCATGACCTTTTTTCAAGAAGGTTTCACTCAGGCATATTGCTTGCACGTTCAAATTCTTTTTTTGTTGTAACTCTTGTAATGCCATTTCTATTAAGTCTCTTTTTTTGAGTACCGATGCGATGTTCTGATGCATAATTACAAAATCATGTATTTGTTTCGTCTCGAAAAAACATTTTTTCTGAGACCTTGTCAATATCCTTTTTATTATGGCATAATATGTCGTTTATCAGTTGATTCAAATCCGTAAATATTGTTGACATTCCATAGTTGTTTACTTGGCCTGATCGGTGATAAAACATGCTATGGTCATAGTTAAGGTTTAAGTTGGAGTCCAATATGTAGGCATATTCATGCATGAGGTTATCTAGATGAAGCAAATTGTTGAAGTTTTCAATCCTCCAGTTTAGCATGTTTGCGTAAGGATGGTATTCAAAAGTTGGGAGACATATAATTATGTTAGTGTGAGAAATTTCCTTAAGTGTTTCTCTTATGTAGAATACGAGGTCGATGTTATTATGTGTTCGCTTAAAATCATCCTTTCCAATCATTATAAGACAAAAGTCATCCATAGTGAAGGTTTTCAGTTTTTCATTAATTCCGTTGAGTAGTAGTTTTATTCCGCATCGGGGTCTGATATAATGGCACACTTCAAAGTTTTCCAACTGGTCCCTTGCAATTGAGTGTATTTTATTGGTATTATTAGCGCTTAGTATACATATTTTGTTCGATCGGTTTATTTTCGGCTGTGGGGCGCCACCGTCAATACCGGATCGCTGGTTCAGATTTTTGCCATGTTGGAAACCATATAGTTGAACGATGGTAGCGCCCCCCTGTCATTGAGTTTGGTGGGACAGTTCAGCGTGGGTCATCTATAACAGAGAATACAGAAAGCTAAAAAACAAAATTAGTGAACATTCTTCATTTAATCACTACGATCATGACTATGGTAGCAAATCTATGGTGAATTATTCTGTCACTGAGTTGTCTTACTTACATTGTCAAATTTGATATGATGGCCTATGTTGATAGAAGTTGAGCTGCAGAAATTATTACTGAGAAAGAACTACATTTTAAATTGATAAATAATAAATTAGATAATGTGTCAATCGCCATAAAGATATCGATAAAGCTCCAGTGGTTCATAAAAGCCTTAAAAGGGATGTATTTAAGAGTTCTCACAGTTCTGATGTGGAGGCTCTGGATAGCGAGGAAGAAGGAATTCTTCTCCACGCTGATGGAGGTGGTGGTTCCAGTGTTGCCCTTCGCCCTCATTTATGTATTTAGGGAGAAACTATTCCCAGACTCTAGTTTCTCTGGTACTACTTTTCTTGGAGTGGAAAAGCCTGTAAGTTTATCATCATTGATTTGTTCATGCGTGTTCTATTCTTAAAATACCTGAACTCTCAACATTCATACGTTCGGGATTCGATGCCATTCGGTCTATTCCACTTTGATCACCTGGATTTGATCATCCAGGTGATCAAAGTGGACTTCCAGCGGTAATTTAGTGTCCTTTGATCACCCACGGCTACGATGTCCTAAGTGATCAAAGTGGACTCCAGATAAATTATTATTTTAGTGTCCTTTGATCACATATAAATAAATCATACCTCTGAATAGTCACATACACGTCCAATTTGTTTGTTGCGGTTTTTAGAAAATATCAAAAATGTTACAAAACAAATTAATGTAAGTACAAAAATTAGACATGTGACTATTCAGAGGAGGTGTGATTTGTTTGTAGGTGATCAAAGGACACTAAAATAATAATTTAACTGGAGTCCACTTTGATCACCCAGGGCATCGTATTCGTGGGTGATCAAAGGACACTAAATTGCCGCTGGAAGTCCACTTTGATCACCTGGGTGATCAAAACCAGGTGATCAAAGTGGAATAGACCCCACTGATTGCGAGTTTGAAAAGTAATAAATCTGAATAAGCAGAATACGAGTCCGAAATTAGAGTCAGTTACTAGAATTTCAATCTGGTACGTAACTACCAAACCAGGCAGCTGTACCTAAGTGTTATCAGCTGCTGCATGTAGCTCTTAAACAATTGCAGAAAGGTAATTAATCTTGACAGGTCTCTATGTTCGTTTGTTCGCTCGTTTCAGCTAAATGACGTTCACTGCTGGACAAATGCCTCCCGTGACCAAGGATTTCCACAATAACCGATCTTGCGCTGCCCGTATCCAAGTACTTCCCGCGACTTTCACCAGATCGTCGGTCCACCTACCTTTTCCACCCACACAACCTTTTCCGGCTCGTGGTCGAGAAGTTTTCTGCCCCAGCGGCCATCAGCTTTATCTACGAGCTGTTTTCCATGTATTTAGTTGTGCTGATTCTCTAGGGACCTCTATCGATCTGGAGTGCTGTAGGGCCCCAATGCGTGCTTTACACTCCAGAGACGAACTTCACCAACACCCTAATGGACTTGGTGGGTCAGAAACTGGACCTGCCACTGTTGAAGACTTTAACTGGTTAGTTACGGATAACAAGGCAGTTAGGCAGATTCTGCTGAAGAGTCAGAGTTAGAACTCTTTGCGTATGTATCACAGTTCATAATGTAGAGTCATCAACGGTACAGTATTTTCAGAAGTAATAATACCACAGACAGTCAGCATTCGTCGGTGTTGTTCTTGCTGTTTTCAATAGATTATGAAATCGAAATTCTTTATAGTAAAGACACGTTAATTTACGAAGCTAGTTCTGAAATACTTAAATTAAACCTAGATAAAGTTAGATAAAACTTTTTAAGGTACCAAGTCAAATAATGCGCAAGGATATTATCCATTCCACAACGCGTCCACCGTATTCGGATACACTAAAGAAATGGGGCCAGATGAAGCGGTCATCGTGTTTCATGTGAGTACCTAATGTCTCTATTTATACACAACAAAAAATAAGTAAACAAACAGGTATATTAATTTTGTATCAAAAGCTTGTTACCATAGCTTACTTACGACAATAAACGGTCTACGTAAACATGGGAGTAGTATAACCCTCCGAAATATTTCAGCTATTGTTAGCTGGGGTCTAGTCTCTTCTAAGGTTTAAAAAGATCTCCTCTGGTGTTTTACACGTAATTTCAGAACGTAGCAGAACACAGCTGGCCAGACAACCTCAATTATTCAATCCGAATGAAGAACCAGTTCATGACAGACGGACCACTCTCTGATGGCGAGGAGTACAACGTGATTCCACTGCCTCATAAACAATATGGTGAGGACCTAAGTAGTACTTAAGGGGAGAAGAATCCTGAAGAAATAGGCACCGCTCGTGATATAATAAAAAGTCTAATTAAAGACTTGGCCCACCCACAAGGTGAAGCGACGACCTCATAAAGGTAGCAGGAAGGCGCTGCTTACTGGCAGCTGCCAACCGGTCAATATGGACATCATTAGGAGAAGCCTATGTTCAATAGTGGTCGTCCTGTGGCTGAAATGATGATGAAGATGATGAACCACACGAAGACGCCATTTGCAATGAAGAAGAAAAGTACATAACATAATTTTTAAATTCTATAAAAAACGTATACTTTTTTAGATATCGTTATTTTCTAGGAACAATATACAAGTCGTTCATGCGACTCCAATGGGCCGTAGACACCAGCTTCATAGAAATGATGACCGGCAACGTAGTTAAACAGGTATTTTTATGCCGTATACAAAAATACATATACCTACTCTTTAAGGGCAAACCTTGCGATAGTTATTTATTATATCTTTCTTTTCTAGAGAATGTCGGTGCAAGAGTTTCCATACGTCAGCTACTCTAGCATAGAAGATAAAGGCGCCACTCACTCTCTCAAATCAGACTTACTGTTTTTCGCAGCTGATCTAGCAATATTGCCGGGTTTTTACACATTAATGTTGCGCACATTAACTGAAAAAGCGAATGGAGTACAGGTAATGCAAGCTTGTGCCACCTAGCTATTGTTGGCTTGCATATTTTATCCTATCTCCTGTCCTGGTTGCCACGCGAATTAGGCAGTTGTAATTGAGAAAAGAATAATAGAAAGACACACAGTAATAAGGAATACTAGTAGATATTGACTTGGAAATTTTACGTTGAGTGACAGTATGAATGAGCTTCACAGCCTGTCATGTAGGTAGAGTACTTATGATAGTACTAATCCCACCTCACGTTCCCACCTTCTTCTATTTCTGTAGTCAGGGTCTACCTACAGTTTGGCTGCCAATGTAACTCAGCCTATAGAAGTCATAGTAGATACGAATGATAGCACAACAAGCTAAACACAATGGCGTAATAACTCGTTAATAGTCTGGTGTTTTGTTATCTCTACATAGTCTTGGTATATATCATTTTTGAAATGGCAGGAGCTTATGAAAATGACGGGCGTGACTCCTTACGACCTGGCCACGTCTCACGTCCTAAACGCCCTGGTTCCTGGGCTGATATACTCGCTGGCCAGCACTGTGCTAATGAAAATGGAACCGTCGGCTCTGCTGATGAAGTCACACTCGTTCCTCATATTCTTGGCGATGTTCCTCCAGAGCTTGTTCACAATTACTGCGGCTATGGTCAGCAGTTACTTGGCGAGACAAGGTGAGGGTGTTAAATGGAGAAATGGATTATGCTAAAGTTGTCACTATTTGGCGAAACTGGCGAGTGCCAGAACGGTTTTTCAAGTATGTAGTAGAAACAATTTTGTTGAAAGAAGTCTGATCACTCTCATGTACTGTCTTTTCGCTAAGATTTTTGTCCATTCCTCAAGGATTTTATTGAAATTATTTATATTCTTCACAGCACCACCTACTGGGTTGACAGTATCAGCGGTATACATTTTGCTAACTCTACCGGCGTATATCGTCAGTAATTTGGATTTGTCGAAATACATGGTGTACCCTTGTGGGCTGATACCTTTCATGCCGCTCTCCTGGATCTTCAAAGAAGCTTGTAAGCTTGAAGCCATGGGTAAGTGACAAGCTAACGTTCAGCCAGTATTACCATAAAGTACTATCGGCAACAGTGTTAACTACCCATTGCTGGTCATGTCGTCTCGTTCTATCGCAAAGAATCACCATTTGATGAGAGCGAGAGCAAAAACGAAAATGGAGTTGTTAACACAATCGTACTACGGGACATAGTGTTAACTATGGCGATAGTATGAATATGATACTGAAGGCTCATTATCTCCTTGGATAGAGCTTATGCCACTCCACATTCATCGAGATCTTCAAAACTGACTTAAAAGACTTACTTATCCAGACAATCATGTAACATAGTCAGTAATGCAGCTTGATGATTATGTATTAGTAAAGTGTACTTGTTGTTCTTATTGTATAGATAGGTACTTATTACGAGTATAACAAAACCAAATAGTTTATGATTGAATTCAGGAACTGGGTTAACGCTCACAACCATGATGAAGTCCCACACAGACATGTCGGGCCCGGCGCTCATGGCGTACATCGTCTTCGTCATCCACATCATCCTGTGCGTGGCACTGTTCTGGTACCTGGACCTGGTCATCCCTGGCTACTATGGCTCTACGCATCCGTGGAACTTTCTCTGGCAGGTTAATTTTAATTTCCAATGGTAAGGTCCTAGTACTAACTAGTACCTATTCTATTCTAACACAGCTCCCATGAGTTCCTCATTCAACATTCGTTGGAAGACGGTTAGGGGAAAAGTTTTAGTGACTTGTTTGGTTTACTTTGTATCCTAGTAGATATTATATTTGCTGACAACTATTTACAACTGTTACGAACTTACCAACCAGACAATTTCTTTAATGAGACGATTTAATTATTCCATTAGAAAGAATATTGGTCCAAAACTGCATCCGACCCAAATATCGGGACGGAGAAAATAGAAAAGCCACTAGCACAGGTTCAAGACCCGCAGTATTTCGAGGAGCCTCCTAAACACCTAGAGGCTGGAATCAAAGTCATCAACGTCACCAAGGTATGTACAGCCGACGTAAGATCAGACCACACATTTCTGCTGTCTGTAATGAGTCAATCTCGTATAGAAAACAAATGACATAGTCACCTACATATGAAAACCTGGTCTAAAACAAAGTATTTAATCTCACAGGAATATCCTAAACATAGGGCACTGGACAACGTATCCCTGGAAATTTTTAAAGGCGAAATCACTATCCTACTGGGACACAACGGCGCGGGAAAGAGCACTCTCATGTCTGTCATCACAGGTGAGTATATAAGATTGCTTTGAAGCTAAGTCGTTGGAAAAAAAGCAATATAGATGCCATTTTATCTTTTAGGTATGACGGGCGCTACAAAGGGCAAGGTTCTCGTGAATGGTTTTGACATGATGTCTCATAAGGCGGCAGCGCGACAGCAAATGGGCCTGTGTCCGCAACAGAACATGTTCCTTGAGAGTTTATCAGTCATTGAACACGTCATGTTCTTCACCCTGGTGAGTTGCTTAACTTTAAGCCATAATTACAGAAATTTTTTCCCTGAATTTCAGTTGATCAAAGAATTTCGACATGTCCCTGAGTCTGAGTAAGTCAGTAGAGATATATTTTGATGAAAAAATAAATATAAAAGATTTAGAAGTGACTATGAAAGAATAAAAACAGCTAAACGCTATGCTATTTCAGCTAAATGGTGGCACATTTGAAGAAGCCCGAAAATCATCAAAGATCCTCTTAGACCAGCTCCATATAAAGGATAAGGCTAAAAACAAAACTTCTCAGCTATCTGGAGGTATGCAGAGACGGGTTCAGTTAGCGTGCGCCCTAGCAGGCCAGGCTAGCGTACTATTGCTGGATGAGCCAACGTCAGGTTTGGATGTAGAGACCAGGCGTTCGCTCTGGGATCTGCTATTGGTGAGTGAAGAATAGGGTCAAAATAATTACTGTACAAATAGTCATAACTTACTATACCATGTTATTTCTACACAGTCCTTGCGAGGGACACGCACCGTCTTGCTGTCGACTCACTTCATGGAGGAGGCGGACGCTTTAGGCGACCGCGTGGCGGCGTTGCACGCAGGCCAGCTACGATGCCACGCCACGCCCATGCACCTCAAGAGGGCCATAGGTAAAGTAATACATCGACTTTGCTGACGTTTAATACGATTTGACGGCATCTCGGACCGATAGTTCACGTCCTAAACTATAACCTTAACTTTGGTTGCAACTTCCAATCTCAGTGAGGCCAATTAATGTTACTGCTATTTACCGGGTCTGTATTGAGAACTTGAAGGAACAACATTTTCAGTACCTACATGATTATATTGTCTTTTTGAGAAACGAAAAATGTCTATTACTACACGTGTACACTAATTTTCTCTGTGAGAGATTCGACCCTAAAAGGTTCTTTTCTTCAGGTACCGGCTACCGCCTAACTTTCACCACGACCGGAGTGCCTAACGAGCCAGCTATTACCAGTGCTGTCAAGTCTGTGGTCCCCGAAGCCACAGTCAAAGAATCTGGGTTCAACTCCATCTCCTACAACCTACCATCTGCAAACAGCAAAAACTTCCCCAGCCTATTTTCAACGCTGGAATCCCAGAAGACTGAGCTGCGTATTGAGTCTATCGGAGTTGGAACGTCTACGCTTGAAGAAGTGTTTCTGAAGTAAGAATGATTTGAAAATATAGGGTATCCGTAGAAGACGTGAGGAGAACGCAATATGAAGTTAAAATTCATAAGAATGCATAACGTATTCGCCTTTCTATTTTCATTTCAGCCAAATGACGTCCACTGCTGGACAAAGGCCTCCCCCAAGGTTTTCCACAATGAACGGTCGCGCACTGCCCGCATCCAGGCTCTTCCTGCGACCTTTACCAGATCGTCGGTCCACCTAGTAGGAGGCCTGCCCACGCTAGTTCTTCCGTTTCTATTTTATTGCTTTATTTTGCTTTTTATTGCTTTATTTGCAAAGTCTGGGCTTTGCAGTAATGTTGAAACTGGTCCAATAGCGGAGGATGAAATCAAAGGAAGGAAAGGTAAATCCCGAACGTTGGTTCAATAATACAACTAATATAATAAGCTGACACCAAATTATTAAATAAGGCTGAAAATATTCCATTTCTTTTAGCGCCCAAGTACAAAAAATTAAAGGGTATACCCCTGTACTTTAGACAAATGATGGCACTAATCAAGCGATATTTGAGGTTCCTTTGGATCTACAAAATCACACAAATTGGATTCGTAAGTACTTTCTTTATTTCGAGATGTCTAAGAGGATATTATTTCACTTTGGATTTCATATTAAAAATTGCAGGGAATAATCCGTGTTGTAATCCTAATACTGGTCATAACCGGCATCACAAACGACTCCAAACATCCGAAGAAGGACAAGACGTTTCTGGCCATGAACCTCGACATGTACAGACCATCGTCAGACTACAGAATCTTGTACAAGATAGATGGGAACGACTCTGATCTGAGGCCGCTGAGCGATCAGTACCCGAGAGTGCATTTTGAGAGCGCCTCTGATGTTGATGAAGGTAAGGCTTCCTGGTTTAGATCTTCTTAATATGATTTAAGAGACTCATGCCCGTTTTCACCATCAATTCTTAATTTTTAAGAGACCCCTATGGTAACACATAACAGGAATGTTGTTTTCATAGGGGTCACTTAATTATTAGGGATTGATTGTGAAAACGGGCATCATGCTCCTGCAGACTAAGTGATCTGATGATGATGTTGATGATGAACGTATAAATAATTGAACACATTTTGCAGCTTTGCTTCGTTCTAGCCAGCAAGATAAAATGGAGTATTACAATTATTTAGCTGGAATAGAACTCAATGAAACTGATGCTAAGGTGAGATTAAAAAGTCAAAGACAATTTTTTAGTCGGCCGTTTGGTGTAGTGGTTCAGAACGGACTACTATGCCGAGAGGTCCCGGGTTCGATTCCCGGCCGGGCAGAAATTGAAATGATGTTTTTAATTGAAAATTTTAATTTCTGTGACGGGTCTGGGTGTGACTATGTATAATATTTATGTATTTAAAAAAAAAAGTATATAAGTAGTAGGTATATCCGTTAAGCTAGCACCCATAACACAAGCATTAAGTTGCTTACTTTGGGGCTAGATGGCGCTGTGTGAAATTGTCCAAAGATTTATTTATTTATTTATTTTATTTAATTAAATAATCTTTTACAAACCAATCTAAGTCCTCATGTTTACAATGTTAGTTATGAGTTATTCTTACCAAGACGTTTTTCCCTATTACAATTTGAAACTGCAAACCTGTTCAGCTAAATTGTAGATCGTAGAGGGAACTTCATCGTGCTGCTGATCTTGAGGGTAAGTAAGCAACTGAAGACTTGAATTTCAGGTGATGTACACAACGACAGTTCGTCACGCTGCTCCATCAGCTTTGAACGTACTGTCCAACCTCGTCGCCACTCGTGCGCTACCTTGGGCGGGTGGTCGCACCATCACCACCTACAACCATCCTCTGGCTGGCGCATACACGCCCTACTCCTTTACGGAGATAAAAGAACCGAAAAGTATCACTAACATTAATCTTTGGATGTTCTCCACAACTCTCAGTAAGTAAAAGTCTTCTATTTTTTTGTTTTAACCACAAAGGTGTGCGATCTTTAGACAGCCTGTAGACTACAGACTTTTGGTTGACGGATAGTTTGGTCGGCTTCCAATTTGTACCAAATCGGTGCTTTAAAGGCAACCAAGGAATGGCTTCTAAGGCTGAGTTGCACCACCTAACTGTGACCGTAACTATGACGATAACCGGTGTTTTTTGTATGGAGTTTGACAGATTTTTGATGTTTGTCAAAGTTAAAGTAAGATTGTGCAGCCAGCTTAACTCTACTTCTATTGCAGTGCTTCTCTCGGGCATCATCTTCATGATCCAGCTGCCGTGCAAGGAGGCATCGGGCGCGCGCCATATCCACGCCTTAGCTGGTTGTTCTCCAGAACTTCATTGGGCGGCCTTGCTGTTAGCATGTGCACTACAGGTGCTCCTCACGTACGTCGTCACTCTGATCGTGGCTTGCACCTTCCTGGACTTCGATAAGACTTTCTCGGACATGGAGTTTATGAGTAAGCAGCATCTATAATGTTGTTATGCCCGTTTTCCACCAAAGCACAGCGGAGTGGAGCAGAGTGTAGAAGTGTCGGGCCGTCAAATAGAATTTGACAGCGGCGGCGGTGCGGCAAAGAGCGGAGCTGTACAGAGCTAGGCGACGAGAAGTGGAAATAATGAAATCTGATTGGTTATTGAAAACACTTATCCGCTAGTCTCCTCTCCGCTCTGCTCTGCCTTGGTGGAAACTGACCTTACGTCTTGTGTGGTGTACAATAAACTGTATTCTATCTATTTTCAGTTGCAGCTTCGGTGGTGGTGCTATTGGGTAGCATGGCGATGCTCTCTTTTTCGTACCAGATCACGATATATTTCTCGCAGGGTCTGGCCGTTGGACTGATTGCTATCACAATGGTTTTTTTCGGTAAATTTTTAAAATTGTTTCTTTCTGGAGTCTTATAACTAGCTGGTATATTCCAGGTGTAATACCGTTTTTGGTTTTAGTTCTCATATTTCCAATACTTCTGGGATTGGTGCCATCGACTAGAGTCTTCGAACCGACGGCTGTGGTAGTGATGCCTCCGTATACCTTTAACCAGGCAATGGAGGGGTGTACCATGACGGCATACCTAAACGCGTTCTGCAAACTCAACAAGGACAAATGCCCAACTCTCGTGATGGCTATCCCGTATTTTGACGCTGACAAATGCTGCAGTAAGCCCTAGCTTTACATCAGTAATTGTAAATTCAAAGCTACTGTTTTAGTAAATTTTAATTAAGTCTTTCAATACCAGAATCTGTGGACACCAACCCGTGGTGCTATTTTTGCTTCCAAGACGTTGCGCCTGGAAAAAATATTATTTATCTGACCGTCCAAATCTTCCTGTATATGGTGAGATATTACTTATATTATGTCACAAATACATTATAAATAGCCGAATAATAAATTGGTACAATTATACAAAATCTTTATAAACTACTAGCTGACCCGGCGAACTTCGTACCGCCTTAGCGTAGAGATTTTCTTAATATTTTTTTCCGTAAGAACCATCCTTGGACTTCCACAAACATTAAAAAAAAAGAATTATCGAAATCGGTTCAGCCGTTCACACGTGATGTCGTGACAACGCGAAACGGGTTTCATTTTTATATATATAGATAACATGGTTAGTACAGACCACTCTTACTGTAATGTTGTTTTAGACTGTTGTGATCTTAAGCCAAAGAGGCATGTTCTGTGTGATATGGGAGAAGACTGTGAACTACACGTACAAGCCACCAGCCCCGCGATACAATGATAGGATGGTCAAAGCAGAGCAGGAGTATGTCAAGAAAACTATCAAGCTTCGTAAGTCAACTTGAATCCGTAAACGACAATTATTTACTAAGGGTGGATTCGACCAAACAAGAGTAAATATTAATCTCAGAATAAATCATCTGTTTTGACATATGTATTTCCCATACTGAAACTGTCAATGTGCCAGTTGTACCAGGAGTTATTCTCGGATAAAAGTTTGGTTGAATCGGGCCTTAGCCATAAAATGTGCTTAAATGTAACATTTTCAATTCGCAGCGCCGCAATATATCCCAGACTTAATGCTGGTGTCAAAAGTGCACAAGAACTACCGAGGTTTAACCAGTAGCTTCACTGCAGTCAAGGGCGTCAGTTTCTCCGTCAAGAGAGGTATGAAGATTCTGCTTAACTCTATCAGCTTTCTGCCATTAAAATCTTGGACTATTGCTTTTTTATGGCTATTCCATACCAGTTCATCGCTTTGACCTTGCCTACCATCTACTATCTGGGTGAATTTCAACAAGTGCATATTTTTGCCTAATTTTGGTGGAAATTGTTATTTGTGTATTTTTATTCTTTAATTATAGATCAAATTTATTGGAAACTTATACTGTTTCTAAAATGATTAAGACATTAAATTTTGTCCAGTAGTTTTTTAGATTTTCCTTACAACAAAATTAAGAGAACACCAAAATTTATAATTAAGCACCAAAATTAGAAAATATGCAGTCAGTCGGTCATATCTTAGTGCCAAGCTCAAGAAATGGTTTTAAATTTACCAGAACCGACTCCAAAAATATTAATCATGGTATATTGTCCTAATAAATAAATAACGACGTACTTATTTTCTACTTTTAAGTGATTGTTGGCGTCGGTTTCAATTTTTTTGTTAAAATTATTTTTTTTCATGCTTTTTAGTTGATTAGTCCTTGTTATTGTCANATACATATTTTGTTCGATCGGTTTATTTTCGGCTTTGTATTTTGTAATCCACTACACACATCACGTTGCGTTACTTTGTTTGGGGTAGGGGTAGCTGCTGCACTATGTAGCCCTCTGGATGTCTCTCTTCGGGTTGGTGTAGTGGACGGTGGAGAGGAAGTCTTCATATTTCTTGTAACTGGAGAACCATTATTGTTATTTAGGCTTTTCCTGTTTCTTTTACTATTACTGGCTTTTAATGGCGTCGTGGCTTTGCATAGTTCTTTTAGTTGTTTAACTTGCATATGGCAGCCATCAATTTCTTTTTTCAGACATGTATTCTCCTCTATTAAGTTGATAACCTCGTTTTCAGTTATTTCCAATTTTTCTTTCAGTTCAAGAATAGTTCTCTCCATTTCTTGCATCTTCTCATAATTAGGGTTACTTAAATCAGGACAGCTTCTTGCTGATTTTAAGTTGGTGGCTGACGTACAAGTTGAGTTAAAAGTGTCATCATCAGTTAGCGAGCTGTCAAATGAACTTTCAGGAGGTAAGTTTGTCCTATGCTGAATGCGGAAGGTTACATTGTCATGTGATGGTGATTGTTTTGGGCTCCTCTCAACATTTCCGCAGCATGTATCACATTTAAACCTTTTTTTACTCTCTGTTGTCATAAGATAAAAAAGTTTCTCGCTAATACTAGTACAGTCCAAATGGTAACTACTATGGCAAGAAGCACACACCAAAAAATCTCGTCGAAGAATATCTTTTTTGCACTTTTCGCATGTATCTGCCATCCTGTGTTATTTTTATTTTATACTAATTCAAGTTCAATATCCGTAGAACGCGCCCTCTAGCGTCGAGTAGTGTTACTAGCCAGTAATGTTTTTTCATTAAACAACTGGTTTGTTTCTTACTTGGATCTTAAATGTTCATGTCAAGTTCAGTGAAGAAATAAATTGTCTTGAAATAATTTACAAAAATTTGCGCACGGTGTGGATTCGATCTCCCGACTCCGAACTTAGCACGGCGCCGCAAACAGATACGCCATCAAGTCCGTTGTATGATACTGTGAAATTATCAGTCCGTTGTTCTTTACCAATAATCGTTTACTGGCACGTAGTTCAAATTGGAGTTAATTTTCGATACACCTTCACTGTTTACACTTATTCAGTTTTTCTTGATTATTATACTTTATTGATTTAAATTTAACTTTGTTGAGTAGTCAAATAGTGTTTTTGTCATTGTTTTTGCACTATTTTGCACACTTGATGTTTTTGTTTCACATACAGTATTTTCGTCCCAAACACAAATAACACTTTTATAGTTTTCGTTACAAACACTGTCACTGAATATTTGGCCAATGTTTTACACGTTTTTCACATTTTTTTGTCAAAATGATAACTTTAAACATTTTTAAATTATAAAAGTTCACGGAGCTTATGTTTACTCTGGCAGTGGCGCCATCTGTTCAAGTTGTTTATTTATAATTTACTTTGAGAAGCGACTCTAATCTCTAAGAAATTTTAATTAAATTGAATTAAGTTTTTTTTATTTTATTTTAACTAGCAGACAGACAATGGTTTCTTCCACTTCCGTGGTCTATTGGTAAGTAGACTTGGGACTCTGGGTTTTCTCAGAAAAGACAAATATTTTTGTGTAATGCTTAAATGTTCCAAGTTTCGTTGGAATTCAATAAACCAAATATGGTTTAAAAACATTTTTAATTTTTCTGAAGGCACATTCTGATTGTGCCATGGTCACACGTTAATGAACTACCAGGATTGGACCTCAATGGCTAAAACCTTCCCACCTAGTACTTTCCATAGCCAACCATCGTGGGAAACATTCCCCGATAAAGTAAAAGAAAAACGAAAATCAGAGGCAAATCCGTTCACCGGAGCGGTCCCTCGGGTCGTACAGTCTACCGCCCATCAAGCTACCCATTTTCGTCCCAAAATAGCTCATATTCCAACGAAATAAGATCTCACTTTTACCTTGACGTGTCGACTGTATAGCGATCTAGTTAGAACTCAAATCGCTTTAGCGACGGCTAACTTACAATTCGATTTGTCTATGGCCAAGTCCATCGGATTACTTTTTAAATGTCGGGTAAATCACGAGTCATTTGGAGGAGTGTATTTGATGTGATAGACTTTAGGGCGATATTTAAAAAGTTTACTTGTAGGGTAGATCATAGAAATCATGTTTTGCAAAAGGTGCTGCAAAACTAAGTGACAAATTATGAGTTCAGGAAATCAAAGGTTCTATAAATTAATTTATTTTCTTATTCAATTTAAATAGGCAATTAAAAAAATCTAGATAGGTCCCTTACGCTTAACACCATCCTCTACATGAACAGTTAGGTATAACAAATAATTTAAAAAATCTTATGAAAAGACTATTTTAATCATGAAAGTTTGTTTTCTTTCATTTATTGGCACAAATCGTTGTTTATTTGACTTCAAATCAAAATTAAAAACAATTTTATTGGCCTGGTTGATATTAAAAAATTGAACCCAAAAGTGAAATAATTATACTTACATTTTACTACTGAGTTTGTGCCTTAGAATTACTGGTTAAAACAGTGATTTTTTTGGCTTAATTACAACGATATTCAAACCACACATTTTAGATATAATATTATTTATGTTCCTGGTAGAACAAAATCCTATTTCATGGAATTGGTCTTTTACATCTCTACTCACTTTAAATAAATAAATCGTGTTTCCTCGAAACTCGCTTTATGTATAATTTAAATACATATGTCTAAAATGTGTTACTGTTTGTTTACAATACTTTTCAATAGAAATGTTTTATTTATTGATTAACAAAAGAGTATTTTTAAGTATATTTTGTTAATCATTATTGTATTATTTTTCTGTTTAGAACAAATGAATGTATTTAAGTCCTACATTAATTAATTATTAATTTAAAGATATTTCTCCTTATTTAATATCTAAGACTTACGATAACTTATCGTCCACTACTGTAAATAGGCCTCCCCCGATAATTTTCATATAAGCCAAGATCTATCTAGCTTATATCCATTAGAAGTACCTTTACCAGTTGTACTAAAATTCCAAGTTGAATCTCCAGTTTCTTGAATAAAAAGGAGTTTGACAGACCAATACATAGATGCCTATTCCTTACGAGAATGCAAAAAATGTATGTATAGGCACAGAACCCTAAAAAGTAAGAAAAATCTCTGTGATTCCGTTTAAGGCTCTACACGACAGATGTGACCTTTGCTTTTCTCTTAAAACGTCGAAACAAATACTCTAGGGGAGACCGGGGAGAGTTGTAACAGAGGAGAGTTGTGACATTGTTTATTTTTTACTCGACTGCGCCCGAAGGAGGGTTATTGGAAATTATAAACTAGCAAGCTCGTAACAGTGCGCGTTTTTAGTTCAAAAAATATTCTAGTTATTTTAAGAGTTTAAATGTTAATTGCCATCGTGTGTCATCTAATATTGTTAACCTATGGCTGCCGTGACACAAGCACAGCTTAGTGCAGCAGCCGCTAGAAAAACAGACTATTTAAAAATGTAAACCTTTATAGGCAAATAAATAAAATACATTTACTTTATTTTACTTTACGTATATGTCTCGAACTACAAATGCGCGCTGTTCTCGCAATAGAGAGACTTTGTCGGCCGATAGTAATCAGTAGGTATGGACATGAGTATGAAAGCGCGCCCATTGGTATCGGCCGATTCTTCGTACAAATTAGGACCGGGCCCAACTATCGGCCGACTAAAAGTCTGTACCTAGACCTAGTCTAATAGGTTTCCAAAAATCAACAATGTCACAACTCTCCTCTGTTACAATTCTCCTCGGTCTCCCCTAGGTACCTTTTCGCACCTACAAGGAAACTTCTCAGGGTAAAACACCGGCCGTGTACACGTCACTTTACATTTATGACCCTCATTCATTTATTTAAGAGTCAGACAAAAAAGAATTTATACAAAACGAGCTGTGATATATGTATCGTTTTAACAATGGTACGGTCAAAACAGTGTACATTACTTTATTTATTTCATATACGGTAAGTTTTCGTAATGATTAAAAACATGAGAAAGTTTCATTTGAATTTACGTACGTTTGGGTATGGGGTATGGAATTTTAAACTTTACTCATTGAACGCCTGTATTCACAAACGATGCTTGCTTAAGTGAAGCAGCAAATCAAACGCACAGCGTTGAATAGAGCTCTGTGATTGGTTCGTGTGAGACCCTGTGCATCCACGTGCACTGTGAGATCTCATAGTGATGTTTGTGAATACGGGCTTAAGTTTATTTGTTACGTCACGTTTACTCGATTGTCCAAAAATGATACAGGGCAAGCTTTATATGTATAAGGACGTATTATACTACGATACTTAACACATTCAGCCCTGAAATCCCTGAAATATCTTCCAGCAAAAGTCTTGTCAAAATCGATTCAGCCTTTTTTGACATACAGAGAAAAATTAAAAAGCCACCAACCGGGCGTTGTGGAAGTCATTGGGGGAGGCCTATGTTCAGCAGTGGACGTGTAATGTGAATGTGAAATTTTAATGATGATGATGATGAATACAATTTAGTTTCAAGTAAGTTTCTGTTAATGATAAAATACATAATGCATTTATTAATTCTGTATTTATATTTCAAACGGATACTCCGATATTGTTTATTTGTCAAATATTATGGTGCTATACAGAGTGTGTATAGTTGTCGATAACTATCAACAACTAGTCAACTACGTTCGTTTCGTAACCGATACTCCAGCGATATTGCATGCCTATTTACTGCTGTTTACTATCAAAATATCCTTTAGATTTAACGATATCACGCTGCACACGCAACGTGAATTTGTCTCGGCCTTGCGAATATCATTAACCCAATTGGAATTTGATTTGATAGCTTGTTATGACGAAGAATCGATTTGGCTGTTTTCAATATTAAATCGAGAGTAACTTGTTCGTGTGCGTTTTCAGACATCCTATATTACATTATCCTATAATCTACTACTAGCTGTGCCCGCGACTTCGCACGCGTGAAAATAGTTTGAATAATATTTCCCTTTTTTGCAACATGCTCCGCCCCCATTGACTGTAGTGATGGAAACGATAAGTGATGGAAGCTGAAAACATTGAATTTTCTGATAGGTTCAGTTTATTCTGTAACATTTATTGATACCGTTTGAAAGAGCTCATGGAGCACTTTCAGAATCAGTAACCAGTTTTTCGATATCTTGTACAGTTTAGAAATAATGGCCTTTAGCCTTGCTCGATAAATGGGCTATCCATCACAAAAAGAATTTCCCAAATTGGACTATTGTTATCGTGATTAGCTTACTACGATATTAGATTTCTATTTTCAGTTACATTAATAGCTTTCTAACAATTAAAAATCAGTTCCTAAAAATACCTCAAAGCCGTACTTCGGCTTTTACTATTATTGTTGTTACATGACTTTCAGGAAATCCAAGTTCTTCGAATAACCGAGCTTTTAGGAATCAAATAAGGCTTAGAATACGAAGTATACTACATGAATAATTTGTTTTTATACTAAGTTTAACTTAATCTTTAGATCCTACAATGCGTAATTTCGTAAGCAAAGTTAGAGCATTTTTTTTTCAATATTAGCAACTAACCTGGCGAACTTTGTACTGCAAGGCCTTATTTTATTACCCTCCTTTTTTGGGTCATCGTTTAAAAAGTAAAAAGTCCAGGGTGTCAACTACCTCCATTCCGAATTTCATCAAAATCTGTTTAGCCGTTCTTAAGTTACTAAAAGTGTAATAAACCCGACTTTGTGAGCGCGTTAGACGCATCAAATTTGTATTGCAAACTAGCACGTCTATTACAACGGCATAAGAGACCTCAGTATTTAGCTTGATGTGCTGCTGTCTATCTCATCATCATCATCATTTCAGCCACAGGACGTCCACTGCTGAAGGCCTCCCCCAATGACTTCCACATCGCCCGGTTGGTAGCGGCCTGCATCCAGCGCCTTCCTGCTACCTTTATCAATCGTAAGTCTACCTTGTGGGTGAACGTCACACGATGCGTTTTCCGGTATGTGGCCTCTACTCCAGAACCTTGCTTTTTTTTAAGCGGAAGAAATGCTTTGTGTACCATTCCCGTCACCAGTGCCAGGGGACAGGGTGGTGTGTGGGACTCCCGTCAAAAAAGGCGCTCCTCCATCCTGAAAAGACTTCTTCTGATTAATTTCTTTGCGGGTCCAATGATAGTGTAACTTTCCCCCGGGACAAACTTGACCTTCACTGGTAGGGTTTTTATTGTCGGTCAAGCTGTACATCCTGGCTACACAGGAGTTGCAGCGGTGGGAACGAGAGGTGGGAATAGTCCCGTAGCAATCCTAACTCTTCCAACTACCTACTTATAAGTAATAAACTCTGGCATAAACCTGAATGAACAATCCTTTCGCATTAAAACAAAAATGGCGGTATTTTCATCCCATTACTCATAATTTGAATCATCAAACGGAACAAACATACATTCTGTTTAACCTGAGCTTTCGTATTGCTGCTGTTTACATTTCCCGTTTGGAGATCCACGGGAAAAAGACAAAAATCATCAATATTATTTTTTTCAAATCTCTGTAAATAGATAGTAGAAAATTAAACTATGTATAAGGGTGAATATCAACAAACTCGTTTTTTGCCTAATTCCGGTGGCGAATTTTAATTTCCACTTTCCAAAACTTTTTTGTGGCAGAAATAATAGTAAATAACTTGTATTATTCAATGATATGGTAGAGATCAAAATATTATTAATACTTCTCGAGATATGTCAATTTGAAATTATCAAGAGCCACCGAAATTGTATTTGAGCCACCGGAATTAAGAATCAATCCACCGAAATTTATTTATACAGCGGACTTCGGAATGTTACGGATGATTGTCTCAAATTACTTATTTATTTGTAATCAATTAAGTATTATTATCCAATAAAGATGTTTATAATTAAAAACAATATTCAGGCCTGTGTTGTGACCCTAAAAAAGCATCAAATCTTCCCACGTGAGTCGTAATAGCCGACTAAGGAATCAAAATACTGGAGGGTGGGCTGCAGCATCTTTCCGGGTATTATACTACCATACTGGAACTACCAACCAGCCTGNCCGTCACTGCTCGCGAGGGCGGTACTAAACCTAACGAATGATGGGAGTGTTTAAATCCTGTTTGATCTTTAAAGAAACTGACGAGCTATTTTATTATTGACACCAAAATCATAAATTTTTCGCGGACAACACTTAAGGACGTGACTTAATCACAGTTATTTGGGAAACTTGCTTAATTTGGTAATCTTAGATAATAGATAGATTGTATAATCCAAAAATATACTTTTTCCCTAAGTTCTGTTTTGATCTTCAGCTAAAAAAATACATATTGTAAGAAATTAAGGATGTGGACACTGCACCAAAATTAGAAACGCTTAGTTCAATTATTTTTTGTCGAATTTGTAAAAGAAAACACTCATTAATAATGTTGTCCTTAAAATGGAACCTCTGTATATTTTCGTGTAAAAAAAAATCAAAGTTCTATGTTATAAAAAACATATGATTTTCAGCTACGCCGCTCAAAAAATGTGTTTGGGAAATTGACCCATCTGTATGTTTGTCACAGGCGAATGTTTTGGTCTATTGGGCGTAAACGGAGCAGGTAAATCTACCATGTTCCGGATGCTGACTGCAGACATGTGCCCAACCAAAGGGCGCATCTTTACTAACGGCCATGAACTGACGTTTCCGTATTCCAGTAAGGTGATTAGCTTTGAGTGAACTTTTTAAACTTCTTCCAGATTATTTTTAGAGGACACCTTTCGTAAACCTTTCCATATCAGACACACCATCTGTCTCTACCAATGAATAGTGAATTGGTTCCAGTATCTGTACTCTCTGGGCTACTGCCCTCAATTTTGGGGCCTGGACGACTTCTTGACCGGCAGGCAGAACCTGGATCTCCTTCTCGCGCTCCACGGCCTCAACGAACGCGACACGAATGCCGAAACAAAGGCCTGGATCAAACTTGTTGGTACGTTTTTGTTTTATAATTGATCAACGGTAGAGTACTCACTATGTACGAGTTTGGACCTTGACCAACTGTGACCTGACTTTGTCCAGTAACTTAGAGGCTACCACCGCCACGCTATAGATCTCAACAAAACAGACGCGCCTGGGCCATGTCAATGCCATAGCAGTGGCAATTCACATTGGATGCAATTACTATTCTTTCCGCTAGCACCTTTCAGTTCAGCATTTCAACGTTATATTTCTGGATAGGCCTGGAAAAGTACACGGACCAGCTGGTGTCAGGCTACAGCGGCGGCTGCCTGCGGCGGCTGGCGGCGGCGTGCGCGCTGTGCACGGGCGCGCCGCTCACGCTGCTGGACGAGCCCACGGCCGGCGTCGACGTGGCCGCGCGCCGCCGCGTGTGGTACGCGCTCAAGCGCGGCCTGCGGGACCAGCACGCCATCATCATCACCTCGCACAGGTACCGACTCCGAGGCTATATACAACAAGTACAGCTGGACGAGCCCACGGCCGGCGCCCAAGTAACACAAAACACAATTATAAGAAGCGTACAACAGCATGAACCTACGTGCAGAGCAGTATATAAGCAGCATATGTAGCACTATATCAGCCGTATAAAAGTCTATAAGTGTCTTGTAAGCGCAATTTGGGCCCCAAATAATACGGCTTTGAGCATTATTAAAATTATTAGTGCTGCTAACCAGCGCTTATAATGTTATTGAAGACAGACATTAGTAAAGTTGTTAGACAGCATATTCTAATGTAAAAAGCATTTTATTAGATGTTAGTACAGCTTTGAAACAGCTTTCAGAATTACAATGCTAAAGTTACGTTTTATTCTAAGGCTGAACGTTTTATTTTGTTTGTTTGAAAGTATTCGAAAAAACTTATCGCATTTTATTGTCCGATTTGATTATTTTTCGTTTAGAGTATTGCAGTGCAATGGTGTTGTGAGGAGATGTTTTAATGTCTTTATTTAAAATAATTTATCATAAGGTAAGTATCATATTTTTTTGTTTCAAGAATGAAAATGAGCTGGGAGTATTAGTCTTATGTGAAAATATATATATGTTTGTGGTTTATAATTCACGCGCCCTCACAGAAATCCTTTTTTTAATAAAATAGGGACAAATTTAGAATCGACATATGACACTTTTTGTGATTTTTTTAACGATTTGATTAATTTTAACTTATAAAATTGCTTCTATCGATACTCCGCTTGTAAGAAAAGGATAATAAGTAGTATTTCATGCATATGTGTATTATAATTTTATTTTCTATGTTAGAGAAAACAGAAAGCAAATGGCGTCAGATAATATTAATGTTTTAAACTTTCAACTAGTGTCTTTTAATGTTGTCAGTCTTATTATAGTAAAAAGAAAATGGTTAAGTCATTCAACCTACATATAAAATATCTAAGTGATATCTTTAGCATTACTGTAACACTTTTTAGGTATGTTATAATGTTCATTAGGTTTAAACGTCATAAAAATGGATTGCTTTAGTGTTAATCAGGGTACCGAAACAATAATTTAGAATCCTTTAATCACGTCATGATCCCCTACTCCACGTCTTTCAATTTTATCTGTCTCCAATTAGGTAGGTACCTAGTTTGACAAGTGTTAAGTATAAAATCATTATCACTACAAATGTAATTTGTAATGAAACACGATATAGCTACCTATCTTATTTTTCGCTCATTGTAATAGTAATAATTTAAAGGAACTTTTTGTAACTAGTTAGTAGTGTTGCTGTAGTCGTTTTTTTAAGGGTATGCGTTATACGGGTAATTATTTAGAATTCAGGTAACTACTTCTCTATTAAGTCATAAATAAGCTTATTTGTTTTTTTTTCAGATGCCTTTTAAAATAGTGCAAACGACCGAAAGGGATGAAGGAATGTTCTACGGAACTTCTTGACTCACACAACAACCGATTGTACTGTATTTTGTGTATGAGGTGTATCATTTTTTGGAACACGTTTTGCATTTCTTAAACCAAATATAAAGTTTGAATATTCCGTCTTTATCTTTCTCTTTACTCCACCTGTTCTCTTAGGCTGAGTTGCACCACCTAACTTTGACCGTAACTATGACGATAACCGATGTTTTTTGTATGGGGTTTGACAGATTTTTGACGTTTGTTAAAGTAAGTTGGTGCAACCCGGCCTTAAGTTTTTTCCACTGTTTATTCATGTCAATAACGTGACACGTTCGACATAAATTTTCTAATGAATATACAGGACCTGGACGCACAAATGAATATAATCATACGGCTCGTGGTTTTATGGCCAAATTATGACCTAAAGTAATAAAATATTTTTTTTATTTATCTAAATAGTGCTAAAAGCTTTAAAGTAACAATAAAATAAGAAGATAACAGAGCTAAAACTTTAGTAAATGTTTGGCTAATGCTGAGCAGTAAATAAGCATAAGAAAAGATCATAAAAATGCGTTCAATCTGTAAAATGTGTTCATATATCTGAATGCACTATAGAATATTTCGACAACGTTTATTTAATGCATTAGGTTTTCTTATTTACTAATATACGGTTTTAACCTTTGTGTTAGTGTAAATGCTGTTAAAGGTGCTGTATATTAAAAGTAATTAATGTTTTAGTATGATTATAAGCCAATTAACTTAATTTTTTAGACCATATAATAGCTTCATGCATTGTAAATTTTACCGCATTCTACTCAAAAGCATTTAAACTAAGTCAAAACTGATTTAAAGTGATAGTCTGACTTTAAAACGTAAATCAATCTTAACGTCAGTGAATTTACAGCTTGCGTGTTACTTGGGCGGGGACGTGGCCGCGCGCACAGGTACTCCGACTCCGAGTCCGATACCATACCATACTCAAGAGTTAATAAAGCTAATGGATAATTACACAATTTCACGCAATCAGTCAGTAGCCAACGATAACCCACGCAATATTAAAAGGTACGACGTAGTTGGAGCAAAATTTATAGAAACCCATGAGTGATGCACAAGCTTCCATAGGACAAGTCTTATGGCACGAGGTCATACCATCTATCTAAATTTTTTGACCTCTTTTTTGTCGATAAAAATAGGTCTAGTTTCACGTAGTTTCAAATGTGTGTACACTTTATCGTGACTCACACTGTATTTAAGTAGTTATGGCAGTAGTATCGATGGGAATGAAGATACGAGTATGGCCCTTATAAATTACCCACGACACTACTGGCTTGGTAGTGTAGAAGGGAAAAAATATTCCCCACGACGCTACTGGTAGTGTGGTTTGGTAGTGCGGTGGGTCAGAAGGGCTCGATTCACATGGATGCAAATGAAGCCGGTGATGTTTAAAGCAACTAAGACTTGAAATATTTCAGTTTGGACGAGATGGAAGCGCTGTGCCATCGTATCTCCATCATGGCGGCTGGTGAGATATGCGCGTTGGGCTCTCCCGCCGGACTGCGAGCCGCGTTTGCTTCGGGGCACTCGGTCATCTTGAAGATCAAGTATGAACCGGGCGCGTCAAGCATGAGACACAGAAGATCTCGGCGAAAGGGCAGTAAAACTGGTAATGAATGAAATAAATCTCTGTTTTGCACATCTTATAATTTGGTCTCAAATTAAAACATTTTTAATTTCCAGTCACTATAGCACCAAACCCGAAAGCATATCGACTAAAAGCCGCGATAGAGAAGAAATTCAAGTGTACTCTCAAAGATGAACATAAGGTAAGCAATTTTTCAACACTAAGTCAAGATAGTTGTCTGAACTCATTCATTATTGAGATACATACATATTGCCATTAAAATAAGGATACATTATCATATTAATTTATCCATAGACGATGCTGCACTACCACATAAACGAGACGATGGAATACAGCAAGCTATTCCAAGAGATGGAAGATTTAAAGACCACCTTCTCAGAGTTGATAGAAGACTATACCGTCTCGGAGACGACCCTGGAGGAGGTGTTCCTATCATTCGCGAAGCCCCAGAGCGGGCCAGCGGGTAAATCTAAATCGGGGACAAAGCCTAAAGGGATTCTAAAAGATGTGTCAGCCGGGCCCGCATAATTATTTTAATCTTCCCTTTTTACGTATTTGAGCTATCATGGAATTGATCGAAGATGACTATGGCAATATTATGTCCCTGTATTAAACATAGGGGAGTTTTACTTTTTGTTTTTAGACAGTTTTTTGTAAATACTTGCTTTATATTTTAATAAATTCTTATTCCTAAGATATGTTTTTACTTTTTATCTTTTCTTCTTCTTATTCTTTTTTTTAGCAATTCTCGTCGCTTTCAATATCAAAATTATTTTGCACCGACTTATTAAACAAAGTTAGGATGAAAAACTGACTATGAAGAAAATTAGGAAAATGCAGTCATTTTAAAATTACTTTATTAACTAGTAACTATTACAAATAACTCTACAAGGTGTAACGTTGCCGTTTGCTGTNCCCATAACTTTTAATAAGTCTTTAATAGCTATTTAAGACCGATAGCAAGATATTATTTTAAAAGATTTTCTTTGCAGTGTTTGTTTCCTTTTGTTTTTTTCTTGACAAAAGTCAACGTGGCGATTTGAACCTGAATTCTTCAAGTTCTTTTTCATCAACTAAGCTAAAGAGGTCAAATTCAGCCGGTTTTACATTCTATAATAGCCTTTCTGTAGCTTTAGCAAGGACAGTTACTAAATGTGATGAGAAAAAAACATTTCATACGGATTACAGAACCCATTTCAAAACACCCACTTCACACTTAACTGTTTTTTAAACTGAAACTAATTTACATATTATTATTGGATCAGGAAACAAAGCGATTTGCCTTTTGGAAATGTGCCAGTGTTACAGTCGCTTTTAGTAAAGTAATTTTCAACGTTATTGTAAAAGGATTAAGAGCAAGTTTACAAGAACGACTTTCGATCCTGCGTCAAATATTTTTGTACTGAAGTGTGACTATATTTTTTGGTGAACAAATTGCAAGCACCTAATTGATATGTCTGTAAACTTTTTTTTTTTTTTTTTTTTATGCTAGCCAAGGCAGGTATTTGACCGCAATCGCACCTGGTTAAGTAGACAAAATTAATGCTTATGTTCCCGATATGATGATGTTAAATAAGTACATAAATACACTTGTACAAAGATTTTACCGTACTATTAATGTGCACTTAGCTCCAAGTTTTAGTTATTTTATTGTAAGCATTATAGATAAACCAAACAAATAAAAAAGAGTGTATTTAGATTATAGGAAAATTAATTTAGAAGAAATCTTTTCCTAATTTTATCTCATAAAGCAGTGGAAGGCGCTGGATGCAGGCCGCTACCAACCGTTCAATATGGAAATCATTGGGGGAGGCCTATGTTCAGCAGTGGACGTCCTGTGGCTGGAATGATGATAATGAAAGTGTCTCATCCAGGTATCGAACCAAGAACTAAGTAGGTAATTATTTTCAAATCGTTTCACTTAGTCATCAATTAAGTCATAATATTAACGTAGGTATAAATCTTTTTAATTCAGTTGTCCTACTTTTTCTTTCACAATCGTTTAGTTCCACATCACCATGTGGCCCATAAGTAGGAATTAAAATAAGATAGACTAATAGACAGAAAACTCCAGGTGAAAGAGTAAGAATCTTATGGAATTACATACAGTAGGCCCTGTACATCATTTACCCCCTTATTACAAAAAGTTAGACTCAGTTTGAACCCTGGCTTAAATTGAATTGTCATTTAGTATGGAAATGTAATTTTAAACCAGAGTTCGTCCCGGGTTTAACTTTTTGGTAATAAGGCCCTAAGTGTTTAGTAGATCCGCAGGAAAACCAAAGTGGACACATAGCTCGTAGAGCTGATGGACGCTGGCGCAGAAAAGTTCTCGAGTGGCGACCACGGGCTGGAAGACGTAGTGTGGTCAGGCCCCTCACTAGGTGAACCGACGATCTGGTGAAGGTCGCGGGAAGTACCTTGGATGCGGGCAGCGCAGGCCCGGACGTTATGGAAATCCTGGGGGCCTTTGTCCAGCAGTGGACGTCATTTGGCTGAAACGAACGAACGAACGAACTGACTTAAAACATCAAATAAGAATGTTTTATGAATTTTAGAAGTCTGTTTATTTTAAAATTTTATATGCTCCATGCAGAAATCGAACCTTGGGATCACCTTTTAAATTGTAGAGGTGTTGACATGAGCTCACTGAACATACTTCCATTATGTCAGATTTAAAGAAGTCTATAATTTATGACCGTATTCGTCAAAGCAATAAAATATTAATTATTATTTAAAGACAATATCAATAACTTTAAGAAGACCGATAAACTTTGTTTTTAATAGTTACTAATTGTTTCTTTATGACTTCGAGACAGTTTTAATAGTTTTTTTTATTAAATGTGGCTGCCAGTTGCGTAAATATAATTTGGCAATCTTTAAAAAGAATTTTCTTTTTAACCCGTCTAGCCAGCAGCGTGGGGAAAGTAGGTCAAATCCTATATTAATTTGCTTCTGGTAGATTAGAGAGAGTTTTCCTCCTGCAGTGGAGACTATGACCATACCATCGTGGTTTTAAACCTCACCACTTGTACGATTTCAAACTTCAAATCAGTAAATTCTAACGTTTTATCAGTCTCATTAAACCCATAGATGAGTGTCAAAATCTAAATAAAAGATTTTATTCAGTACTTGGCTCTTTCCAGTGCGCTTAGGTATACATGTCCCAAATAATATACGTTGCCCTACTACTTCGGAACAACATAATATGGGGTGGTGCTGAGAAGAAGTGGCGGAAGAAACTCAGTCAGCTTTGCCAGCCTCTTTTTCAGTGTTTTGTCAACTTTAATCTTCGGATCTCTCGCTTGCAGTGGACTTAATGACTTGTTGATAAGTGTCACTAACTGTGATAAATATTTTAGCTAACGATAAACTGTCGAGTACTAATATAGAAGGCTTTCGTCAGTGTGGGTCGATATTCGAACAATTTTTTTCATGTTGAACTATGTAAATGTAAATTTTAATTAATTAAAATTAAATAATCTACAAAGAGCCAACAATGTTTGAATCGCATATTTTACTNACGTTCTGAGGGATCGATAAGTACCGCACGATACATTTTAGAAACATCAGCTGTAAAACATACTTCATACAGTCTGAAATTGGTGATAATTTTTATAATATCAGAGTGTAGTTTTCGTCCGGTCAAAAGTATATCATTTAGTGACAAACCGTTATCTGAAGGAGCCGAGCCGTCAAACACAACCCTGAGGGGCGTAGTGGTACTACTTGGGCGCAACACACAGTGGTGCGGAATAATGTATTTAGAAGGCTCTGTGCCTTGATACAGTTCCATGTGATCCAAGGATTCATATTCCTTCATGAAGTCACCATAGGCCTTACGAAGGTCTGGTGCTCTGGCGAGACGGCGCTCGATTTGAGTGAGTCGTTTATAAGCGACATCATAAGAGTTACCTAGATNCAAAATTCACAGGGTCAAATTTTTTTTCTGTTTCGAACGAAATTTCGTCAATCGATCGTCTTAAGAATGACATTTCTGTGACGATATAAATTGTGGTAAATAATTCACATTCACTAGATCTAATAACTGAAGCCACGATAGCCGAACGGTGAAGGGGCCGGACTGGCCGTCGCGATATCCGAGGAACGCGGGTTCGAATCCCAGCGCCACTCGACTATTGTGGTGAGCCCACTCGTAACACAAGCATATTTAGCTTACCACGAGAGGCTAACGGGACTATTAGGTATATTATGTGCGATACAAATTACTAGTAATCTTAAAAAAATACTATGAAAAATATGTAGGTTTTAAAAATTGTCTTATTCATTGAAATGTATGAAGTTTTATTCGACAACACTATAGCCTGCGTACCTACTGCATTTTAACATTAATTACTTAGCATTTGTCTTGGATGAATTAAACGCATTTGTGTATGGCGTCAATGTATTGTCATTCACTTGTCATTTCTAAATAATTGAATTGTTGATTAATATGAGTAGGTAGGTATATTATTCGAAATCATGTATTAATTACGTATCGAAAAAAATTCAGGTGTTAGATAGAAATGTCAGTAGGTACTGGGGGTCACCAGCACAAGATGACTCCAGGTGACACAAGATGGCTCCCTCCTCGTATTTTGAATTGTATTAAAATGAAATTGATAATTTGGAAAAATATGGACACAGGAAATTTGAAAAAACGAAAAAAAATAAGGTAATACAAATCCTAATTGTTATTTATGATTAAAGTTAATTATCAGTTACCTTATTATTGGTATCCGTATCATAATAATTCATTTTTATCTCTGTAATATTTGTTTGTTTTTCATTTGGCCTAGCCAAATTTAGGTAGGTACCTACGCATTTACATACCATTTGGCATAATAAGCGATAATCCTTTTTTTTAAGTATTAATTACGATAAGACACTTCGATAATAACCCCTGTTTGACGTACCCTAATTAATAAGTAATAGGTATAATTATTATTATAATATACAAAAAACGTAAATGATCATAATGATTTATTAATTTTTTGGGTTTTCTAATTTTGTACAGAGAATTTACAGAAATACAGAATTTAAAGAAAACTATTTTTTTCAGTACAATTGTTTTAAAATTTTCTGGCAAAGAAAGGTACATACACAACGTATAATTACAAGAGACTAGCGGCCGCCCGCGGCTTCGTACGCGTGGATCCCGTTTTACCCCCTTTTTCCGAATTTTCTTTGCTATAAACCTCACGGAGCCCGAGACCTTTCCAACGAATGCAAAACCGTGGAAATCGGTTCGTGCGTTCTGGAGTTATAGCGTCAGGGAGGAAAACCCGACTTATTTTTATATAGTAGATAATGTATTATGCGAAAATTAAACCTAAATGAACGCAATAATTTAGGATGAGGATGATAAATATGTAAGAAATTTTTGAATACACGTGTAAGTTGTACTTACAGTACCACAAAATGATTTCAAAAAGTGTTCAGAAAGTTGTCAACGAGTGATGTAGTTACTGGTAACTTTATGACTTATTGACTGGCAAAACTGTATTTCAAATACATGTCTTATTTTAATAAGTATTAATATTAAAAATATTATTATTTGAACCCTGGCTTGTAATATTGATTCACCGCGTTGTAAGACTTTGTACCCGCGAGTCCAAGTCCAAATGACAAACAATAACATAATTTATCTTAATGTTAAAGTATAATTTCTTCAGGTGATACGGAAATCATGTGACTTGAGCGTTATCTACTGTCTCTACATCGATTAATTAATTAATTACAATTCTTTGCGTGTGATCTCTAGGCCTGGCGATAAGTTAAGACTACTTATATCTTTAAAATTTTGCAATATTGACGCAAATCATATTCAAGGAAGCAATGCATATTGTTAAACATCATTTCCGTACACACCTCTACATTTAAACTTTGAACTTACTGCTAAGTACAGTCACGGAATGAAAAGGTTCGTCAGTTTTCAAATTGATTCCTTCAACGAATCGCGAGCACATATTACCTTTTGAAACTATGTTACAGAATAATCTCGAGTTAGAGAAAATAATCTTTAACTGTTCGTCAGTAAAGTTCAAAATTATTCAGATCAAAGTTGTTTGACGATTTATCTTGTCAAGAAGATTATGATTGATAAACTAAAAAACCTTCTTTTTGGTTCAACCTGCCATTATTATTTCTTTTAAATAAAAAAAAACTATTGTCAATTGGTCAATGTCATCATTGCATTGCACTGATGGGATAGAAAAATAAACAAGCAAAACCTTATTCGTTAGCAAACGTCATATTTATTTAAATGTTAGCAGCACTGTTTCTTGCACTGTTATGTTGGCAGGTTTGACTCTTACAGTACCTAGTGCAAGCGAAAACCGACACTAAGGTGACGAACCTTTTCATTCCGCGACTGTACATAGAGACCTGAGCGAACTAACTGAAATATTTTTTAAACTAAATAACGTCAATATGGTTGAACTTTAGTTCATTTTCATGTCGTGTTTTCAGTAAAAACATAATTACTAAACAAACACAAAATGTAAATTTTCTTACTGTAAACAAAATATTAATTTGTAAAACATTTTGTACATGAAATATTTTTTTAAATAAATGTGTCAGGGTCGTTCCGCAATAATGGAGTAGGTACCTAATAAATGCCTTCTAACGTAAACGTATTCCACTTTGAGCACCCGCCCAAAGAGCACCCGCACGAATAGCACCTAACCTATTTCACTTAGAACGCCAATCTGTATAGAATTCCACGAATAGCACCTGACCAAACTAAACTATCGTTAGTGTACGTCAATTTGAATGCAGGAAACATTATGACACTAACGAGCTCCGTCAAACGTCATCATTCCTCCTCTTCATTTTACACACTAAGGTAAGGTAAGCATAGCAAGATAGATTGTCCAAACTATGAAAAGTAATAAAAATATTGCCGTGTGGTTCTGGCAGAATAGAATTTGACCACTCCCACACTTCCCGTCGATCTTCAGACTAAAGGATAAATATATGCGAAAATCCAGGCCTCTCAACTCTGGTCATCAGCTCAGCATCAGCTATTCTGGGGGGCACCAGACTATTCTGGGGGGCACCAGACTATTCTGGGGGGCACCAGACTATTCTGGGGGGCACCAGACTATTCTGAGGGGCACCAGACTATTCTGGCTATATATGCGCATGTGGGTTCTTGCAGTGGAGATTCCTGTTCATGATGACGATCATGAAAAAAGTTTACGACAACCTCTGTCCGCTATTGTACTTTAATTATTTCTTTACAATATGTGGGACAGCTATCTTTACTACTATCAAAGCTAAATAAACCGATATAGATCGGTAGATAGGAAAATAAACAGCCCATGTAATATCTGCCTATTGTGGTATGCATGAGTTTTCATTGTGTAAAAAAACTAACGCAACATTTCACGGAAACATGCTGTAGTTACAGCAGCTGTCCAATTTTTTTTACTACAGTCATTACTATGTGTTTTGAGCACTACTACAATACCTACTTAAGTTTTCTTAAAATCAAGTCAACTACTATCAAGGCTACTGACAACGCCATTCTTGTGGCGGAGTTTGGGCCGACGCTGTGTAGGTTTGTTGTCGACACGACAAGAAGAAGAAGAAGTCAACTGCCTATCGCATAGTGGTTCTCGTACTACTATGCCAGATCTCGCAGGTTCGATTTCCGCACCATTCAAATATTTTTGTGCATATAAACTTGTCTTTTGTATTTGGTATGAGTTTTTGAGAAAAATAGATGGTGCTGCACAAAATATTAATCCAACGATAATTCTTTTATTATTTTATTTTAAACAACCAATATTAAAGTCAAGTTTGATAAAGATATCGATAAGAAACAAAAAGTGTCAAGGTCTTATTTAGGACCAGTGAAATACGAAATAAAGATCAAGTTTAATAACTTATTCCCTGTAAAGTAACTATTTTGTGTCAACGAATATTTCTAAAACTTTTGGATTCATCTCTACATTTTAATCGCTTGAAATATTAAATCACTTTTGTCAATGAAATAGAATTTTAAATCGCCTACCATTGAATAATTATCAAATAAATCACAGACATACCTTAAATCAACATGTAAAATACGTTTCGTAATTTACTGTCCGTGCTGGTGTAAATCACTTCCACTCTTTATCGTTCGCGATAACACAAGCAAAGACGTACTCGTGCGGCCAGCGCGCGGTCCACAGACGGTATGACTCAACCGCACTTTAAATTGATAGATGCCCGTATTCACTAACATTAATATGAGGTCTCACAGTGCGCTTGGACGCACAGGGCACAAAATATAACAGAAGACAAACTCCATACTAAACGCGCTCGAGCCACGCACACATAGACACCGCTCTAGCAAGACTGTCTTGGACGAATGCGAGCGCGACAGACGTTCGCCACACGTTTGCTGTGGTTCGCTTGAGTCACGCGCCGGTCAACCGCCTGTGATATTATATTTTTTGCGAAATTGACGAAAATGAGTGAACAGAAAAAGTCGTATTATAATTGTTCGGTATTTGGTTGCTTAAACTCATAATTAAATACCGAATTTTCATTTTTTAAATTACCAGTTGATTAGGAATTATTGGATAACTAGCTTTTGCCCGCGGCTTCACCCGCGTGAAATTTACTTTGTCACAGATCGTCATAAATTATAGCCTATACCTATGTTATTCAGGGTTATAAACAATAATACTGTAAAGTTACATCAAAATCCGTTCAGTAGTTTTTGCGTGAAAGAGCAACAAACATCCAGACATCCAAACTTTCGCATTTATAATATTAGTTGGATAATAGTGTCGTCAACCACTCAACTAAATACTACTTCCTTCTCGTGTATTTGTTTGCAAACTATTACTATTATAACGTACTAAATATTAATAAGTATACGTTATGATATCTGTTATTGTCTTTCTTGCATAGTATTAAGAGTAACATTTTTCTATCATAACGAAATAAACGCAACACATGACAACCCTAGCGCGACGGCCGAGCGTGCGAGCGAGAGAGGTATGCAAAGCGAGGTACATACATGAGTTTACCTTCTGTTATATTTTGTGCACAGGGTCACACACGAACCAATCACAGAGCTCTATTCTACGCTGTGCGTTCGATTTGCTGTTTCACTTTTCAAGCATCGTTTGTGAATACGGGCGTAAATCTGTTGCGGTTATAAACACCAGCTATTCTTCAGGAAGTAATAAAGTATTCAGCAGTGCATTGTCGATGCATGATAACTTTTTTGGGCTGGATAATGCATTCAAGTTTAACCATACAAATGAGGTTCTAGCGGTTTTGTAATCTTTGAAATACTTCGTCAAATGTGATGAAATTGGGCAATTACCTACGAGGTCTGAGCTGTTCGGATAACTGGATATTAAAGATCTGTGTTGCAACAGAATAACATGCTCAAGCATATAATCAAACACGTTAAGCATAATTTAAAAACTTGATATAATGTAGATTTTAAGGTATTGGAAGCCCTTATCCGAACTTTTGAACTAGGGACATGAGAGTTCCAAATAAAAGAACTTTAATAAAAAACAATTTTATATTTCCCATCACAGATAAATTCTTAAAAACGCTATAATAAATAATCTAAAAATGCAACTATCACAAAAGTAACATTACCTACCTACTGAAACAAACAAAAATATTTTCTCTCTGATCGTGCCATTCGACTATTTCCGGAAAACAGTAGTTTTTTTCGATAAATTATCATGAAATAATTAAGTTAGCTAACTTTAATTTAACATTATCTGAAGGATGATGAATCTATCCTGTATTTGATTGAAAATGAGGCTGACATAGGTAATCCGCCACTTCTTCTCAGCTCCAGCCCTTAATATGTTGTCCCGAAGTGGTGGTAGGGCAAGCTATATTTGGGACGTGTATTATAAGTGCCCTGGAAAGGGCCTATGTACCTACTGAATAAACTATTCATTTTATTTCATTTCATCCACCTTATAGCGAGACACAAATTCTAGAGGCTCATTTTCAGAGTCATAACTTAAAATTACCTTATTTATAATATTTTCCCGTCTTCTATCGTGTTGGTTGCAATAACTCAATAGTTATTGCAATACAATTATTACATAGCCTTAATGAGCTATTAGCATTGACAAGAGTCAATCATGTTTAAATGCGCCTATTTACATAAACGTCTTTGTGTGAATTTTTAAATGGCTCTATCTGTAAAAATTTCAGTAATAGGTATAAGTACAAACATTTTCCTTTGGTAAATTCTCTTGTCTGTAGGCTTCGAGAGTCGTCGTCTTACTATGACCTGATGATGATGATACAGACAGACACTCTCTTTATTATCCCTTTTCAGGTTTAGTATCTTTTGTAGTGAGTTGCAAGTGTGCTTCTTTATTAAAACTTAAGCCCTAAAGACATTATTTTCCCTATTGCATACAGTTGCAAATTACAGTTTTCACAGCTCTCTTTATTAGCTAGCCCCTTTTCAGAGCACACTTAAAACAATAATTTTCACCAATGTACACAGAGAAATTTTAGTTTTCACAGATCTCTTTATCTTACGCCCGTATTCACAAACGACGCTTGCTTAAGTGAAGCAGCAAATCGAACGTACAGCGTTGAATAGAGCTCTGCGTCCACGCGCACTGTGAGACCTCATAGTAATGTTTGTGAATACGGGCGTTAGACCTTTTCAGAGCGCTCTTCTTCACTTTCGTATAGACATTACAGTTTTCCCTGCATGTACGGCTTGAGGTACTTGTGGAAGGGGCTGTAGTCGGGGTCCTTGTTGAGAGGACTCTTCTGAGCCTCCTCCATGAGCCTCTCGTATACTCGCCCGTCGTATGACCCCAGGGTAGAGTGCAGCATCTGAGGGGTTAAACTATTTTAATGACCTGAAAAACTTGCTTTGAAACGAATTAAAAGATATTCGAACTTTTTAAGCTATGTTAGAGATGATATTGATCGTCAGTCTCTAAAAAATAGGACTAAATTATTATATTTTCTTTAATTTACATTACATTTTGGTACAAGTAATGACGTTGAAGAATACCATGAATCATCAGCGCTTGTTTGTTCGCTACCCAGCTCAAGTAATTAAAATAACCGGTAGAAATATAATTAATATTTCTCAACAAAGAAAAGGCAATATCATCCTTCAAGGATTTGTCAAACTAGCCCTAGCTCCCTTCCAAACCTTGTCTCTGATGTCGAAGGCGTCCACCAGGCCCACGGCGTTGGGTCTCAGCATCACCAACAGTTCCTCATACCAGGCCTGCAGTTCTTCAGCGCCTCTTTCCGAAATGTTTGTGTACTGTAACAAAAAGCACAAATGAACATATTTTATTACTGTTGAAATCAATAACGCGATCCAGACTAATTGATAAAGTTTGAAATGAATTAGTTATAAAGTAGTAGTAATGGTATAAGGTCATAGGTAATGGTAGTAAAATGGTAACCATTTTAAAATTCTGATGAATGATTTATTAATCCGACACAAGCGGCATTTAGTGACTCTACGTATGAGTGTACCTTTATTTTTACCTTAAATGCGATGAAACATAGCGATTTGACAATCGTATAGCACAAAATTAAATGTGTTGCTGCCTGTAAGTACCTTCTCTATTTTCAACCGACTTCAAAAAAAGGAGGAGGTTCTCAATTCGACCCGTATGTTTTTTTTCTATGTTTGTTACGCGATAACTCCGCCAATTATGAACCGATTTGAACAAATCTTTTTTCGGCGTATAGGTAATACCTCAAGGGTGGTCCCATTTAAATTTAATAATTCACGCATTTGAAGTCGGTTTTATTTTTTTTTTTAAAGTTATTCTTCTTGTCGTGTCGACAACAAACCTACACAGCGTCAGCCAAAAACTCCGCCACAAGAGTGGCGTTGTCAGTAGCCTTCAATAAATCTTCCTACGTGAACTGACCATCACTAACGTAGTTTTAGCTTATTTATTGGTGGACGGACAACGTAGTTCTAGTTTAGCTTAGCTTAGTTCACTGAGTTTAGTTTTCATTTAGTTTAGCCGGCGGTGGACGTTCGGCTTTAGGCACGCAGGGCACGACATCATGTGCTTCGTCGACTGGGGAACAAAACCACACATGCACTCCAAGTTTGAGCCATCCAAGAATCCCCACCTGAACAGATTTTCCTTACTACGGCCGACCTGCGTCCTTCTCTATTGATATTAGATAGACAAGTTATTATAGAACCCTATGGAAAACTAAGCTACAGCTTTGTTCTGACCTTTAGCAAGTCCACAAGGCTCTGCAGCGCCCAGTAGACCAGGTAGAGCTCCAGTAGCCGCCGCAGGACCGCCCCCGTCGACGCCGAAGCCCCCGCTATCATTTTGTTGGCACCTTCATAGTAGTAGGTAGCTAACACTACTCTTCCGTGGGCCTGAAAGATGTTATGTTACAGTTGTTTTTAAGGTGAAGATGAAACTACCAAATATGTGAACATCAGGCCTCCCCAACCCATTTAGCCAGGCTAATCCGCAATCTATTGCATATGGTAAAAATATTGAGGGCCTTGATGATGATGATGTTATTTATAAGGCACTAAATTGAAATCACAAATTTTATGTGATGCTGTCATTTCTCGTGATTTCGATAAAAAAAAACTCATTAATGCTTTTAGTAGTTACTCGTGAATAAAGCTTTATGATCGGGGTAAACGCGCGATAAACCGAAACCGCGGGAAAGGGCTATTGAAAATGAAGATAAAATTCTTACTTCAGCTGCAGCCACCAACTGCACTGAACTCAAGTTCCAAGCCTGTTCCAGTGGCACTCCAGATGTTACTCTCTTCTCTATCGCCGCCGCACATGCTGATATTTTCCTAGAAGATAAACAAGTCAATCTAAACTTAATAATTTTGTATTTCAATATAAACCTTTTAAAAAAACTTTGATAATAGTAGATTAGGATAGGTGGATTTCTTATACTCGTACTCAATAAATTTATTGCATCCATAATGTTACAAAAGGTGGTATGCTAAGGTCAATTAGCACCTCGAAAATAACACGAAATATTCCAAGCAAGATAAAAAATAATCTGAATAATCGTTAATGATAAACACACACCTTTGAACCGATCAAAAACAAATGTATAATTAGTACTTACCTCATCGCAACTACTTGTAGTCCGCGAATAATTCCTTCGGCGGAATTTTCCCATTTAGGTAGAAAACCTTCGCTTGAAGCAGTTTTCAGGTAGGCCACCGTTGGGGGTAAGGTGTGACTGTCTAGTCTTTGCCATGTTTTAAGTAAGAACCTGCAATGAAATGAAATTAGCTATGTTATTACATTATCACCTTTTTGTTTTTTGTTGTTGTTATGCTTTTTGTTTGTTATGCTGGAACAGCACATAATATAATCTGCTGCTCATAACTTGAATACTTCTAGGCCTACATAACGTTACCGAAAAGCAATACTCAACCCATAAGCTCTTAAATCTCCTCAAAGTAAACTCTAAATCGGGAGCACCTGCTCAATGGACCTGTGCTATGACTAGCTAACTGGTAATTAGTGCATGAAAATTAGGAGAAAAGCAAAAGGAAAACAAAGCAGGAGATCGTGCTTTGTGCCGTTTTGGAAGGTTTGGACTAGATTGGCGGAAATGATAATTATAGAGTGACCTGGAATACAAGCTTCTTTAAGCTTAGTTTAGGCATCAGTCTCCCACAATAATCTAATTTTACTTTAAGCCAAATTTATTGTACTAAAAATATTGTAATGTTTGTTGTGGTGAGGAAATAAAGCATTTTATTATTATTTGTATCTCTCGGTAAGCACGGCGCGGAGGCCGGTCCTTTTGGAAGGCGTTCATGGGAATATACAGGGTGTCCCAGAATGGGTAAATCAAACTGATAGGGGAGGTAGCTCAACTATATAATGTACTATACCTAAAAATATCTATACGATAATGTGTTGGGATGTGTACACCTAGCGGATACTATTTTTTATATTATTATTGAGTGACCCTCACCTAGCAGTTTGCAGCAAGAGCACAGTATTGTCGCCCTCATAGATGCAGGCCGCAGTGACCTGCCCATACAATGCGGGCAGGTTTGAAGACAGCATGTAACCGTACCCCCCACACGCCAGCCGACACCGCTCTATGCACTGCGCGGTGTCAGACGTGACGATGGCTTTCAAGCAGCAGACTAGTGCGTGCAGCTGAAATTAGCAAAAATCTCTACATAACAGAACTAATGATACCTCTTTCCCACCTCTGTAACTCCTGTTTAGCCAAGATTTAAGGTTTGGAGTTCAATTAGCCCCAATCAGTGAAGGCCTCTACATCTAAGAAAATCCAAGATGCCTACTTTTATTTTGGAGAGTCATTGCAATTTGCATGAGATACGAACGAGTACTATTCTTATGCTCTACTGACAAAATCGATTAAGCATAAATAACTAGGACTTTCAAAAATTTCATAACTTTCTGACCGTACCTACTTGATTAAGATTAAAATTACGAGTCTTAAAATGATGGGAGCCTAGTAGGACCATCGCACTAGAGGTGATAGCATTACTACTGACCGAATTAAGTGATTAATCGTTTGATAAATAAATTATTAAAGGACAGTAAGTGCACTGAAACTCATTGTTTTGTTGCACCAGTGCACTTACATAAAAGATTGGTGACAATTCTAGATTTAAAAAAAATAAAAATACCTATTAGATAAATACCTCAGGTAACCGATCCAGTTTCCCATTGGCAACTTGCTCGTTGATCTCATCGTAAGTATCCCAGTGTATTGTCGATATTATTTTAAAACCGAAAGCCGTGGCTATAGTTATTAGTAGTTTGTGTTGTTGAGTCAAGTAATCCAGTATTTGAAGTTCTGGTCCACTGAAACATGTGTTTTAATCGTTATGTTTGACATACAGGGTATATCTACTTGGTTAACGTTTTAAAATCCTTTTGTACAATCCTCAATGTACAACTTTGCAAAATACTTACTCCTTTCTCACCGGAGTCTGCCTCCTTACAGCAGAGTATCTGGTGGCGATAGTGACAGCCTTGGTAAGGTAGTTCACCATGTCGTAAGCTATGACCACCCTCATGAACAACATCGTCGCATAAATCAGCTTGCCATCGGAAGTTTTCATGTATGTGCCATCCTGTAATGTAAAGGAGCGACGTTATTGGAAGGTTGACATACCTCGATTAAAACAAAAATATTACAGAACTAATTGAGAAAACTCCAAATATTATAAATGCGAAAGTAACTCTGTCTGTCTGTCTGTCTTGCTTTCACGCCTAAACCACTGAACCGATTTTGATGAAATTTGGCATAGAGATAGTTTGAGTCTCGGGAAAGGATATAGGATAGTTTTTATGCCGGTTTTTGAAACATTAACGCGCGCGATAAAGTTTTTCTGTGACAGGCAAAATTCCACGCGGGCGAAGCCGCGCGTTGAAAGCTGCCTAGTTTAGATATAAAAGCCATCATAGGCTCTTACCTTCAAAACTTGGGCATGCTTCATCAGCATGTTATTTCTCGGGATCCTCACATGGTTAAAGCCAAGAAACCCGTTGTTAACGGCCTCCAGTCCCAGCTTTCCGCCGACGTCCCCAACCCTGATTCCTGGTAGGGGCTGGTGGGTCTGCTCGTCCCGGATTGGAACTATGAATGCGTGGACGCCGTGGCATTGTCCTGTAGTGTACAGCTGAGCCACTACGATGGCGTGATTGGCAGTGTGTCCCACTGAAAATGAATGAACAAAGGAAAATTCATCAGTTTGTGAAAGACATTCCTTAAAATTTACCTACCTACATCGCCTTAGGCCTATATTTCACCGGTACACCATGGCGGCGCAAGTCGCCGCTACCAACAAAATGTAGGTATACAGCTTTGCGCAACCAAACGGACACCAGGTGAGTAACTCTCTATAGAGCTGTTTACATTTTGTCATAAGCCTTTTATTTTTCTGTCAAGTATCTACATTATATCTAAAACATTACGTACAGCCACCAGCCCACCATTTGTGAGACGTCAGCGTGGGACTGTGCAGCACAAACTCCTGAGTGTCAGGGTCGTAGGTCGCCGTGGTTTCCAGGCCTCGGATGAACGTCCCGTGGCCCAGTTCAGTCTGGAAACATAAATATGTAGGTCATTGTAGGTAAGTACATTCGTTTTAGCGAAAAACAAAGACGTTCATTATAATAGGATTTCCACAACGACCAGTCCGCCAAGTACTTCTCGCGGTCTATCTTGAGAGAGGCCTGCCCACACTACGTTTTCACTAACATTTCTATCCCAACGGCTATCATCAGCTCTATGAGCTATGTGCCCCGCCCACTCGAAAAACTTACTTGAGCAAAACTCCCAATGAAATTCCCGTTCCAAGCCCTGGGCAGCCAGTGGGCCTGCTGCTCCTCAGTGCCCTGGGAGACGATGGCTGGCACGAACATCAGGTAATGAAGCGCCATCGACGTCCCGTCGTACGTGGGGGCTGACCCGAGCAAACATTGCAGGAAATGTCTGAAGATATACAGACGTATTACATTCAATTTGTGTAGTAAACTGCCATTAGGCTCTAGGTACAGACGACGGCACAACAGGCTATATATGTTATAGTTATACTTACCTGACAAACTCTGGGCTGACTTCGCTGCAAAAGTGTAGTCTGATCTTACTCGTACACTAGACATTTTAATTAATAATATCATAATTGGATATTGATAGTCGAATCCCCTCGCAGTGTTAAAATATCGAAATTATGCTCCCGACGTGTGTTTACAGTTTACGAGGGGCGGCTGATAATTCCGCGGCCTAAGGTACTTCTTAGCGATGAGTAATTAGCATGTTACTCATGTCACTAGTTGCGACACTCAGCAGTATTATAAAAAGCAATCACTAATTAAGTTTGCACTGATAGTTCAATTTCTATCGAACAAATGACATCACCATGTCCGCCAAATCTGGAGATTTGCGGAATTTCGACACCGCGCGCCGCGGACATAATTCCTCGTAAAGAAGGAAAATAGACCGAAAGACATTTTTGAAGAGATGTCATTGGTTCTTCAGGATTCTGGATCTTCATATACCATGGTTAAAAAATGGGCCCGACTATTTCAACACGGACGAGAGACCTAGGCTGTGAAAACGACCCCCGCCCTGTCACGATTCTGAGTGAAGGAAACGTTCAAAAGTCGAAAAAATCGTTCCGGCTGACCAAAGAATTAAATTGTGGCAGATAGCTGAAGAATATTTCTTTATGTTCGCGAGACTATTGTACAGAAATGACGTGGGAAACTGACACGCGGATTGATCTTTCGGCAAGACAACGCGCCCGTTCACGCCGCATGAGTTGCGAGGCCAAGCCCTGAAAGACACCGGGTTCTCAGAGATTGGCCACCCACCATATAGCCAAGACCTATTACCTAGCGATATTTTCCTGTTTTTCGATTTGAAAAAGGACTTACGGGGCCGGAGATATGCAGATGACAACGAAATTAAAGCTGCGGTTGGTCGTCATTTTGAAAAAAAATTTTTGGGTGGGTAAAAGACATTGTATGCGAGATTTAAGAAATGTATTTCTTTTGAGGGAGATTATATTACAAAATAAAAATTAGAAACCATTTATTTTATTTCATTAAGTAGGTACCTTAGGCCGCGGAATTATCAGCCGGCCCTCGTATTTTTCCGTGCACACTAACTGCTTACAGGTAGGTAAATAGCGCATACCTGTAGTTATTAATATCATCAACCAGTAAGTACCATAAGTACTTATTTAATGCTATTTTCTACATAAAACTTAATACCTACTTACCTGATATCGGTAATTTTGGTTCTCCCTTCCCTCTGCATTTTGCGCACCAACCCAAATATTATAACCGACTTTCTTATTGATTCTTCATACTTTTCCTTGGCACCTAAGTAATATTCTGGAACTCCACTGTAGTAGTCCTTAGTGCTGACCATAACGTTATCTGTGTGAGACACAAGACGTCTGAGTAAGTGATCTATAAACAAGTAAAGCGAAATACCACTCATTGATTAATCCCGAAGTCTCAGAAACTATAACACCTACAAACTTGAAATTTGGCAGGTAGGTTCCTTATAGGGTGAAGACATCAACTAATAACGGATTTTACGAAACTCCAACCCTAAGAGAGTAAAATGGGGTCCACGCGTACGATGTCGCATGCGGCCGCTAGGTTTCACCCGTTAGAAATCTTTGTAATTAAGTACTAAGTAAGTAATGATTACATAATATAATACATTTTATTATTTTAGCTAGATTATGAAAGCACCACCAATTGTTTTTTTTTTCTTCTTTTGTTTAGCCCGATGGTTATCTGGCAGAGAATGCCTTAGGTTCGCCTTATGCACAATGCACATGAATAGATTCGGTTTCTTACTCTGTGCCTTATGTCCAATTGTTTACCATTTAAGATTGAATTAATTAATCAATTATTCATTTATTTAGGACATTTTAGCGATAGCAGAATACTGCACTGCCAAAGTGCAGGCCATATCGTTAACCTTTTATTTAACCATGGACTTTTAGTAAATTAAGTTTTAACTAAGAAGTATGTAATTAGGTAGATACTGTTTTGTTAAATTGTACTGATTTTCAAACCTTAATTCCGTAGCTTACCTAGTCATAGACAACCGTAAACTGCAGTTTAAACAACACAATCGCAAATCTACTGGTCATCACAACAATAATTATCAACTTGGAGCTAACGGTACCTACCTGCTTACTTATGTACATTATTCGGTTTTTAACCTCAGCGTCCTCAGACGAAGTGTTGATTGAATAATTATGTAAATAAACTGAAATATGAAATGAATCAACAAAACACGGGGCAATTAATACAATTTAATATAAATACCTCTATATCTTCGCTCAGCAGTTTTCTCCTTCCCCCCATCGTATAAAACTGTCATTTCTTCCACATCGAAGGTACAATTCTGCCTTTCCCTCTGCAAATCTTTGTTTACTTCGTGCATTTTGTATACGTAACTAAATTGGATTATTTGTCAGTCATGCACTACCTTACAGTAACGCCACCCGGCGCAGACTGACCATTATGATGTGATGACGAGTCTTAAAGGTTAAAGTTCATCTCTATTAAAAGCATACCTACACGTATGCAAGTATGAGAACTGAATGTTTCCGTTGACTTTCTTCGGATTGTGGTAATTTTGTGCCTACTAACTTCTGAAACTTCTGAAAGTATGTTTCATCTACATCCCTATTCAGCATCCCACCCCAGAATAGTCTAATGCCCATCCCAGAACGTAATTGTACACACTTTATCATCTTATACGCCAATGGTCTTCCTTTGCATCGATCTGTTCGTATACTATACCACTTCTCAAAAACTACTGAACAGATTTTTATGAGGTCTAGCTAGGTAAGTAGGTATGTAATGTAATTTATTTTTTGAAACAGGGGACGCGTTTGATTTTTCTGTGATAGACCTAAATGAACGAATCAAGATGCAACAAAACTACAAATCACTATGATTTAAAACTATTTTTACAGTGTAATTTACACCTCCCGGAAGTCCTCATCCTCAGTCACATTGATGATATTGCCTGTTAACGCCTGCCTAAATGTGAAGAGCAATGCTTCTAATAAAATGAATTGGCTCTTTGAATTTGAGGCAGGCGTTATTGCACAATTTGATTCTCTTTTTTTATGCTTTTGATAAACAAAACCAATTTTCACAATTTGAGTTTTGAGGCGATTCCATCCGTTGAGCACTCCCCATGCTGGTCAGACGGGGAGGCGGCAAGAAGTGGCACATACCACTATTACCTCGCCTCGGTAAAAGCGATTCTATTGGTTCTTACAAACACAACACTTCCCTCGCTACTCATCCTCGCACATCTCTGGTGGAAACGCAAGCCTTACAATTCTTATTTTTTGTGTGTTCTACTATAAAGGCTGCTTCAAACGCGTTGAACGCGCGTTTTCCGAATGGTTTTCATTGACGAGGCACTGATGCTGTAACAGTGGGGTTACAGGTTGACGCAAATATATGAGTACTGCCCAAAACCGCGCTGTTATCGCGCGTCTGATCCAAGCATAGTGTTATAGATTGTTTCATCCACGAAGACGCGCCCCACCATCCTTCCGCTAATGTTCGAGTGTCATCGGTACACGCTAAATTATCCATGAGTGCACACGCACACTACAATACTGACGCTCGGATTGCTCGGATAACCTCCCCATACCACGCGCTTCCTTCGACCAAAAATTGGTGCGGCGCGTCTTCGTGGATGAAACTATCTAACGGTATGCAAGATACCACTATTAATTTGAAACTTTCTATCAGGGAAATAAGGTTCAAAATAAAAGATCGAGCAGTAAAGTTATAAGGTGTTTATTGTTCACTTCTTGGCGGTGACGGCGGCCTCGTCCTCGCGCGCGAAGGTCTGAAGCATCTCCTCCTTCTTGGCGGCGATGCGCTCCTCGCGCCGCTTGCGCGCTTCCTTCACCTTGTTGCGCCTGGCTTCGGCTTGGTCGCTGTGGACAAACAGTCGCAAGTTAATAATATTCAAGACTATAGTCTGGTCCGCGAGCACGTAGAATTTTGTCCGATGACCCCAAGCTACCCATCCTTATCGCTCGCGCGTAATTATATTGCTGTCTTTGCGACTGTGCGACTGGCGCCCCCAGTGAGTGTGCAAGCGCGACAGCAATATAAGCAGTACCTTGGGGTCATTGGAAAAAATTCTACGTGCTCACAGACCGGGCTTTAGATAATAGGCAATTATTTTTATTGGAAAAAAGGGCATTTTATTCAACACATAGCTATAATCCTCCCCTACACTAGCGTCTTTCGAACGTTGTCGTCTCGCCTGCGCCTGCGCATCAAGTCCTAGTAGGCATCTATTTTTACACAATAATTAGGGCTTGTATTCAACATTGCTTCAAGCTTCCCTCACACTAGCTTCTTTCTTTCGAATGTCGTCGCTCAGCGTTTACTCAATGCGAGTGGCGCTGGCTAAACAAAAACGCTCGAAAGATGCAAGGATCTCGAATGAAATCACAAAATCGACTGTAAATAAGATTGAATGCGGGCCGCGAAGGACTGGTCTTTGTGGAAAACCTTGAGGGAGGCCGTTGTCCAGCAGTGGACGTCTTTCGGCTAAAACGAACGAAGATTGAACATAAGAAATGTTAAGCTAGCGCCGCCGGCCGGCGCCGGAAGTGCATGATGATGACGGAAAATCGGAAAAACGACTGATCGGTACAAGCATAAGCTGATTTCCACCCGATCCAGTGGCGAACCGGTCCGAAACCAGCCCGTTAACAAACGTCCTTATGAAGGGAAATAACTACTTCTATAAAAAAGGCGGGATGAAGCTTAAAACTGTCACTAATGTTACTTTTGTCTAAGAAGGAGGGCTAGCAGCTTTCATTGTGTATGTACCTAAAAGATGAAGTAATCAGGGAAGACTATTTAACACCAGCACTCTAACACCAGTACATTATGAAAAACAGTAAATCTTAATGATAATAATCATGGCTTTCATATTTTTAAAGCTTTGAAATATTTTTACAAACAGGGTCAAACATTCTACCTACCAGAGAAAAAAAATATTTCAAAAACTTTGGATTTAAATAATTCTCAAAATCCCAGAAGTTTGAGGTATATTCACTTGAAGAAATTGTGCCAACTCAATTCAATGCAACAGGTGTATTGTTGATAAAAGAAAACAGTGATATTTAGTTACTTCATTTGTTGTAACAAGGTGCAACTCCAAACAAAATTTCATCACATAGTCATATCAATAAAGTTCATTATCTTTCAACATTAAAGTTAAAATAGTAAGACACGGGTCTTAACGCGACGTTTATTAATGAGTTGAGTTACATTATGTACTCACGGCTTGATGATGCAGCCGTTTTAATGAGAATTGAAAAATCCGCCAGATGGCAATACGTAGGCGCGAGGTCCAAATGCTGCACGATTGGTTATTTAAATTTTTGACATGACTTTGACAGATATGTCAAAATCCACCAATCACGCAGCATTTGGACCTCGCGTCTACGTATTGCCATCTGGCGGATTTTTCATACGCGAAAAGTAAACCCTCATTGAAATGGAACGCGAAAGTTTAAAATCTAATATCTTTCAACGTACCTGAGCATCTTGGTCCTAGCCTTCTCAGCCTTCTTCCTGTGAATGTACTCCATGAGCACACGCTTGTTCTTGAACACATTACCCTTCGCCTTCATGTACAGCGCGTGGTACAGATGCCTGTCGATCTTCTTGGCCGTTCTGTACTTGAGGAGCAGTTTACGGAGCACTCTTTGCCTTTGTACCCATAGTTCCTGTAAGGAAACGGTAGAAATGTTTGTGAAGTTTGTGTTTACATCAGTTGTAGGTACACAAAGAAACCACCTACAAGGTGGACCGACGACATCGTAAAGGTAGAAGGGAAGCGCTGGACACAGGCCACTACCAATCGATCAACATGGAAAGCATTGGGGGAGGCCTATGTTCAGCAGTGGACGTCCTATGGCTGAAATGATGATGATGATGACACAAAGAAAAGTTTGGTTTATTTCAAATGATACTACAATACAATGTTCTTGAGTATGAATAATAAATATTGGTCATTTTTACACTGCAAATATTAAGAAGTTAATCATCATAACATTTATAATAAATGCTAGATCCTAAATAGTTTCTTATTAATTTCATCATTGTCGACTGCTGAACATAGGCCTACACCAACATTCATAATTTATTTAAAAATGTATACAATTTACATTTCTATTTCTTCACTGCCTTCCATTTCTAATCCAAAAACCTCTCATATCTTCAAGAATAGATAAAACAAAAATAAAATAAATACAAGTTTATAAACTTTTCGGTGATATTTACCTTTTGTGGCATACGCGCATTGGCTGTACCTCTTCTCTTACCGAAGCCACAGTGACGACCCTTCCTGCGGGCCTCTGTGTTTTTGCGAACGCGAGCGCGCGAGTGCACTGCTACGGGCTTCTTGATGACCAGACCATCCTTGATCATCTTACGGATGTTCTGTCCTGGAATAGAAATTGAACAGCATGATATAAACTATTGGGCACAGTGAATAATAAGTCCTGCCAAGTAGGTGCCTACAATTTCTGATATCTAAACATTATGATAAAAAAGATAAAAAAATTGTGCAAAATTGTAATGAAACATGAAGGCAAGTCCCAAAAAAATTGGGTATATCAATAAAACGCTTTTCTAATCTAATCCCTACCCACAATATCATTGCATGTTTCCACAACTAATAAACCAAAATAAGGCCTCGGATCATCAAAAAAACTAAGTAGGTAAATATTTAATCATATTAATTCAATTATTAATGTATTTTTAAGATTGTTAGCAGTGTAAATTGGTTGACATGGAAATACAAGAAGCGTGTAAAAAAGGTTATACTTACTGGAGTTGGTGTTGGCGATTTCATTGATCTCGTTTGGATCTAACCACACCTTCTTTTTACCACATCTCATAACAGAGGCTGCAAGCCTCTTCTGTAGCTTTAGGGAACTGAAAAGAAGAAAATATCACGATTGACCACATGGCGCAGAAACACCGAAACCACTACCGCGTGAACGTTGTTTACTAATATCCGAAATGTGAAACTATACATGACGCGTATTGTTTAACACTTGTTAAATCAACTGCAAGCCGATTTTTACAGAATATTTCAACTATTTCATAGTTTTTCGAAAAACTAACCTCATCTTGACACGGTGAGATCCAACGCACACAAGAAAGAAATATGGCTGCCCCGTTAGGGATGTAATCAATAAATCGATTCTAAAACAAAAAATTAACAGATGAATCGATCAATTTATAATAATCGTATGTTTTTTTTAAGTTGATAATATTTTCAAACAGTTTTAACTATTAATTATCACAATATTCACAATACTAGTGAAGCCGAACAATGATCTCAAGTTTATAGTGTAGAATAAGTAAGATAAGATTTATGGTTTTTAGAAATCGAAAACATTACAAAATCAATTTTGATGATGGTTAATAATTATTATCAATTCATCTTGATTATTATTACTGACGGAATTGCTACCTTAATTTTGAGTTTCATTTCACATCTCACCCGCAAGTTTCCTCAGTTTATCATCAGTTACTCCGTGACCATGGCGCTTGCAACAATGCCGAAATATCGGAAACTCAAAACTAAGTCTACATTGTACATCTGATGATTATGCACTACAAAAAAATATTTTAAGTGTTTCATCAACTAAGTTTAAGCGAACTTTATTAATTGAAATATCGATTTCATTTTATCTCTGTTATACATCCCTATTATTTATTTTCTTTTTTCTATTCTCTACTTTTGTAGGAAAAGGCACCATACATCCAAGTCTTCAAGTTTTTAAATATGTCGGCGCCGGACTCAGATGCTGCAAATGATTATTGATGATTAATAGTACCAATCTTAATATTATGTTATCTGTATAAATCTGTAGAGCGGAAGGTTTGTGATTCCTAAACGTAACACCCGACTGATGCGCAGAAAAAGATAACTGTCATTCAGTTGTGTCATGTCAAGTGTGAGCAGGCGGCTGCGAGGTTATCTAGGAGAGCGCAGAGAGCAGAAATAACAGGAGTGGAACTGACAGGCAATCCCCTCTAGCAATGTAAGTAGACCAGTGGTTCACTCAGTTTATAAAAACTAGTTGCAGCGCCACCAATGACATATTCCAAATGTCACTATTGAAGAGTAACGTGCTGCGATAAAAATGGTGAATTGCAGTGTTTTTAATTGTAAGAAGAGATCTGAAACATCAAATCTTGAAAAGGACAACATTACATTCCATCGGTAAATATTATTTTATTTATTTCACATTAATTAATACACTAAATTTGCAAAAAACTAAATTTCTAGAAGTGTTGCCACTGGAATGACTGGAAAGCAAAAATTCCTAATTGTGTAATATTTTAAGGATAGTGTACTTATAACAATATAATCGAAATTCTATGCAAACAATTTGATACTGCCAATAGGTGTTCTCTTTTATGATATTTGTTAGTATTAATACATTAAGGGTCATCACGCCCTGATCAGCTGTATTTATTGTGATTCTACGATCTGATATTCGCACACTCTGTAGTCAGGAATGGACGAGCTGTGATAATGAGAAATTGAATGTTTACAGATGGACAAACCCTGGACTAAGCGCACGAGGCCGTGCGATAGTCAGGCTGGCCGTGTCGGCGCCGGACTCAGATGCTGCAAATGATTATTGATGATTAATAGTACCAATCTTAATATTATGTTATCTGTATAAATCTGTAGAGCGGAAGGTTTGTGATTCCTAAACGTAACACCCGACTGATGCGCAGAAAAAGATAACTGTCATTCAGTTGTGTCATGTCAAGTGTGAGCAGGCGGCTGCGAGGTTATCTAGGAGAGCGTGTTGAGTTTGGTGGAACGTTAAATTGTAGGAAAAGTGATTGTCGACCATCCAAGATATTATCTCCTTGCCCGTTAACTCACGCCAATGGAGATTCCACCCCTAGAGTTCCTTCTGATAGAGACCCAGTGCCTTTAAATATTATTATGGGTCGCTCAACCGGCTCAACTAAAGTGGAGGCAAATAAACACGAGCTCAAACTGATGGAATATTTTAAAACAAAACATAAACAAACAATACAGATACAAATGTTTGCTTGTGTTGAAGACCTCAATCTCGTTGAGCGACCTATACAATAAATATGAAGTACAAACTGGAACTGGAACTGAATGTGATTCCTTTGCCATCATTTCTCACAAAAGGAAAGAAAAAAATGTTCTTCAGTTTGACAGCAGTTGTCAACCTCAACAATTGTCATCATATGTCAACAATCAGCTGTCCAATGACACTTATGAATTTAAAAAAATAATTAAATTATATATTTGTGTTCTCTAGGTATAGGTATAAAAACTAGCGATATCTTCAATCCAAGTTGTATCATAAAAACTTTCCGCTCGCTACAAAAAGTTTGGTCATTGACTGCAACACATCAGAAGTTGCTTCTCTTCAAAATTGTAGCTTTGCGCTACTTTGCGTGATTTCTTTTGTACACGTCACAGCGGGGCAATGAACTAGTTTTGTATTTAATTTGCCAGTCGCGCTGCCCCTTCTGTGTTGATAGGAGGCGTAAACTATCGATATGGCACCAGTAAATAAAGTTAACGCCGATCTCCAAAAAGAGAGAGATCAGTGCTCGTTCAATATCACTGAGCTAACTAATTTGATCGATGGAGGCGCTGACAAAACCGAAGAACGCAAAAAGCGAGGTAACATCTTTGTTCTATTAAGAACTACAATTAGTCAATACCGTACATTTAAGTAAGCAGAGGTTAAAGATCAACATCTTATTATCTCAAAACTTGAAATGTTTACAACAAGCTCATAATTGCCCTTCTGTTCTAAATTTAAAGGTTGTTCTTGCACTTTCTATACCAAATAAAATAATAAAATTGTTTTTATAGCACTTACATACATGTTAAGTATGATGAAACTCTTGGAGAGAACTATTACCTGTACTTCTATACAATTTTTATTCACCTTTAATTATCATAGAGATGGTGGGCTATTGGTTATTACAGCATTTAGATGGCAATAGGAACAAAGTTATTACAGTATCTATGAATATTGCCAAAAATGTAACTGTTTGATTTATCATCAAATAAAATTAATTATTGTTTCAGAGGATATGGTCCTAAAAGAAGGAATTCATGAAGAAGAAGTACCTGCAGAGTATCTCAGCCACAAGGAAAGTTATCAATTAGCTGTGAAGAAAGCATGTCTGCTCTTCAAGATGATCAGGAGACTTCAGGAGGAAGAAAACACAGGAATGGAAAACTATATGTATGTTTTACAATTACATTGTTTTTATTTTGTACAATACTTGGAAAAAACCTGTTTTGGAGGTGACCGATGACAAGTACTGGATGTGTTTGTTTTTAGATGAGCAAACAGCAGTGATTTTGATCCTTAGAGCCAAAGCACATGATGCGTTGCGGTGGCGGTGCGATGCTGCGTCGTCTTACATAAAAATCTCGGCGTTGCAGCGCTGCGCCGCGCGATACGGCGAAATCTTTGGCTCTTAATTATCAAATCTTGAACAACAGTTAGAATTAAATTATCAATTAATATGGCTATAATATGGCCAAGCTCTATTAGAGTGGATGTTAAGTACCCGATACCTACATGTTGCAAAAAATGTCACAAACTATGTAACTGCAATAAATACATATTTATGGATGTCATGTCTTGTTAAATGTACAACAAATATACTTATTTTAATTTTAAAATCTTGTGAAGAAAATATTTACATTTTAACTTATTGGAATGGTAAATATATCTAGCTACGTAATTAAATAATAATTAACACTATCAGCATAATTATATTATTCTTCAAATCTTGAATTTATGCTTATTTTGTTATCTAACATATTTGTGATTGTCACAAACAAGTGTATGATTATGTTTCTATTTTTCAAATAGGGCAGTGCTAGGAGGCACCCTTGGGTCGGCGATCCTCCGTGATGGGTCTCCTCTCACGCTGCATTACGTCATGTTCATCCCAACCCTCATGGGTCAAGCCACAGTAGAGCAGCAGGCGTACTGGATCGGAAGAGCATTCAACCTTGACATCGTTGGCACTTATGCTCAGGTAGGTTATGTAAACAAGCCAATTATGATTGCAAATTTCGATAATTTGTGAAGTAAATACATGCAATGATTCTCTCTGATATAAATTAGCGCGCCTTTTTCTCATCTTAAATAAGTAACTATCTACTTTTAGACTAGACGCAAACCACCGACTTTTAGTTGGCCGATAGATGGGTCGGGCTGTTGATCAGTATGAACATCTATGGAAGTGCGCAAACGATATCGATGTGGAATCGGCCGATTCTTCATACAAATTAAATCGGGCCTAACTTTCGGCCAAGTAAAAGTCGGTGGTCTGCGTCTAGGCTTAAAAACTCGAAGTTCATTGCCTGCCAAATTCCTAAAACAATATACTAAATGAGTAAAATAACATCACTTACTGTACAAATCTTGCTGAACTTTAAACAGGTGAAAATACGTTTACGTTTCAATGATTCGATCGGCGCGGCGGTCGTCGATCATTTATTTTTTATTTATTTATTCAGTCTTTATTACACATGCAGAAATACATAAAGTACATATGAGAGACTTATTGCCAGGAAAAATTATCTACCAATCAACCACAGACCAAGCAGATATGCCTGAGGTTTCTTAAACTAGAAAACGCAGTCTAAAATAAACAATAATAGGTACTGAACTACAACAAAGCATTTTGTTTTAGACGGAACTGGGCCACGGGACATTCGTGCGCGGTCTGGAGACGACAGCCACTTATGACCCGACCACTAAAGAGTTCGTGCTACACAGCCCCACTCTGACGTCATATAAGTGGTGGCCCGGCGGACGTGAGTATACCTTCATACGTGTCCCAACATTCAACGATAAGCCGGCGCCGTAGGGTGGACATGGTCATGACTACTTTAGGAATAATAAGAAAAAAAATTAAGATAGATGAAGAAGTAGTCATGACCATGTCAAATCTACGGCGCCTGCTTATCGCTGAATTTTGGGACATGACATGATGTATAATATGGAATTTACGATATTATTTATGTCGCCTCATGATTTCGGTCTCTCACATACAGTTAGTATAAAAGTTATCGCACGTCCGGCAATCAAACATATTACAGTCGTAAACCAAAACAGAACTAAAAATAAGTCTTTATTTTTTACTGCTTTTGGAAAGTATGAATTTTCTTAGCTTGCAGTTACGAAGTGATGGATTTCTCATACAAACATTGAAATCTTTACTATAAGATAGGTTCGCTGTTAAGAAAACTTTTTCAGCACTATGTAATAACAGAGAAAACAACGACTGTGTTCTCCAAGTTATTCATAAAGATCTGGACCCTTGATTCTATTTTTAGACCCCCAATGCGTAAAAAGTACCAACAAATCATCGTGTTTATTTACTGTAACTTTTGTAGGAAGTCAGTATCAATGTATTTAGAATTAGTTGTTTAAAACTTGACACACAGGCTCAGTTTTGTACAATCATTACCTAAGTATTTAATTGTATATCATAAATAAATTGGGGAAATTATGTTAAACATATTCTCATAATTTATACAGACAGAGTTCAACTTCCCAAGTGGCCTTGTCGATCACGAATCAGTTTATGTATGTATTATGACATCATTATTCTGTCTATGCTTGACACTCAGTTTAAAGTAACCCATGCCATATTCAAATACTAGCTTTCCGCCCGCGGCTTCGCCTGCGTGGAATTTTGTCTGTCACAGACAAACTTATACACAGATAAAAACTATCCTATGTCCTTTCCCGGGACTCAATCTTTCTCTATGGCAAATTTCATCAAAGTCGGTTCGGTGGTTTAGACATGAAAGCGAGACATTTATAATATTAGTATAGATTAAATGCCTAGCTAACACAACATTAAAAACGCGGCCTGTTAACCGTGGAAACTTACACAGGGGAAAAAGACACATTTTTTGACAAAAAATCAGATTTTCAATGCTCTGTTGCTACGCAAAAATAAAGACTAAAATCTAAGCCGGAACTTTCTTATAAAACCTAATAAATCAGTATACTTACCAAACAAAATAAATTATAACTAGATGATAAAATATCCATTAATCAATGATTAAACAAATTGTAATGAGATTAACTTATCTCGTAATTAATATCACAAATCTACCTAACTACAAATTGTTAAATCTATTGAAAACTCAAATTATATACCTAACTCTAACGGGCTATGTCGGTTACCCTTACGGAAAATTGAAATCTCCCGTAAGGGTAACCCGTTGAATCGTCGAATTGATTGGCACAAGAAGCTTTTAGAACTAATGGCCGTTGGGCCAGAAAAGTTCTCGAGTGGCGACCACGGATCAGAAAACGCAATGTTTGGTAGGCCTCCCACTCGGTGAACCGACAACCTGGTGAAGGTCGTCGAAGCACCTGAATGCGAGCAGCGTAGGAATGATCGTTGTAGAAATTTTTCGAAAAAGCCTTTGTCAAGGGGTTGGCTGATATAATGCTAGGTATAGCAAAGCCAAAAGCTACCAACCATGCGATGTGGAGTCATGGAGGAGGCCTATGTCCAGCAGTGAACGTCCTGTGGCTGAAATGATGATGATGATGATGAAAGCAAAGCCTACTAGCATAATTGATCCATAGAGTTAAAACTCTCAGCATATTGTAGACAGCTGACTTTAAAATACCTTCTGTATTCCACAGTGGCCCACACCGCCAACTATTGCATCGTCATGGCCCAACTATACACCAAAGGGAAGTGCCACGGCATCCATCCTTTCATCGTACAGCTCCGCGACGAAGAAACCCACATGCCAATGCCTGGCATCAAAGTTGGCGAGATTGGCGCCAAACTTGGCATGAATGGCACCAACAACGGCTTCCTTGGCTTCGAACAAGTGAGGATACCAAGGGATCACATGCTGATGAAGAACTCTAAAGTACTTGAGGTAAGAATTAACATCTAGCGTCGCATTTTTACGGAACTAGACTCAATATTATTTTTGTTTCCAGCCAATATTTATTAACCTAATTGCTAATGGAAAAAGACCTTTTCTTCCCTTTATCTACAGTTATTTAAAGTAGAGATGAAACGGATAGTTGTTTGGCCGGATACCGGATACCGGATATCCGGCGAGCTGCTAGGCCGGATAGCCGGATATCCGGCGGCCGGATAGTTGTCCCATTGTCATGTTGCATGTCGTAACGAGTTTAGCGCTGCACAGGTGCTTCGAACGCGATCAGTAGGTCTAGTAGACTAGACAAGTCACACTTTTCGAAAATCGAATTCGTTCGAATAGAATGTCAGATTTTGCCACTCGTCTAAGGGGCAGATCAATTCGGGCGATTTCGGTTGCCATCGTGAGTATGTGATTGAATAGCGAAAATTCAATAAGTACACTTGCTGCGTAATCTGAATGAACTGCATTATACAGGGTGACTTTGAAATCGTTGGCATTCTTTTTAAAATAAGACTACTCATGATTCCCCAAATATGAGTCATATCAAATGAATTAAAATTTCAATATTTGAAATCTTGTACAGACGACAGAACATCAATCTTCATATTGTGGCATCTTATTTCAATGTATTAAGTGTTATTTTGCAACAAATATATAGGATGATGTGCTGTACAATAGTTTTAAACTCTTTTTTAGAGCACACTAATACAAAGACATAGTTAAATTAATGACAAAAAATCTCATTGGAGTTGTCTCATACACTCAGCGGCACGGAATTTGGCCCAAGCCTAAACTGCCTTCTCCCGCTGCGGACGGCCTCGACTTCTTAGTAACACTATTTGAGCAACTTGAGCTGGAGTAACGGGGATTATTCTTAAATTATGGAGACGAGAATAACCCTAAGATTAATTTAAAAACAAGAAACAAAACGCCCAACCCTTAAAACATTTAATATCGAATTTAAACTTTACCCGTACTCTTTGCGCTACAACAACGAAATGCGTTTCTAGAGTCACAAAAGTTAAACAGAAGCATTTTTTTATGAATCTAGCCTCTTAAATTAACAAAAACAAATGTTCTGTTAACATGTCACACGATACTTAGGCATACAACACCTATTTGGCCTCATATCTGGTTGTTTAGGCTTGGGCCAAATTCCGTGCCGCTGAGTGTATTTGGGGAATGCACCATGTATCATGAGTAGTCTTATATTAAAAGGATGCCAACGATTTCAAAGTCACCCTGTATGTCATCGGACCATCAGTGAAAAAAAAGATCGCCTGTTTTATTTGGCAATATTTCGACATTAAAAAACTAAAAACTCATTAAAACTCATTTATTTCTGCAAATAGGCTTAAAAAAGCACTTTTACACGTCCCAGTATTAACCCTACCACTGCTTCAGGACAATAAATGGGAATTAAAATATATTTACTATTTATGTATTCGTCATTAGAGTGAATAGCCCAGAAAAGAAATTAGTTTTTTGAAAGGCCTTAATATGGCTTTTTTGTAACTTTTTGGACTTTAGATAAAAACCGTCATTATTATAAGCCACTTTATTGATATTTGACTCAAAGATTAATGTGTTTCATTTTATTATAGGAATTTTCGTAGTTTTTTTAATATCCGGTATCCGGCCGGATAGTGAGCTACTATCCGGTATCCGGCCGGATAGTAAATTTAGGCCGGATATCCGGCCTACCGGATAGTTGCCGGATATCCGTTTCATCTCTAATTTAAAGTAAACAAATATTTGTATTTATTTTCGTTTTAAATCAATTTATCTCTAATAACTGCGTTATTTGCCTACGTTAATTACATAAATTACGCATGAAATTGTCTACAATTTCTTTATCATTTCGTAAATGACATTCGCTTATCAATATGGGACGAAAATAACAATAACTCACACAAATCACGTACATTAACCTCAATAATACGAATAAGGGTTTAAATAATTTAATAATGGCGCAATTATTTTGGGTTCGCTCACGAAATTGACAATTTGTACGAGTATAGAGATTTTTAACATCATCATCAAAATAATTTTGAAAGGTTCATCAGAAAATGGATCCTCCTTATCGACAAACTGATTTTCAAGATCTAATTGTAGTTAATCCATCAAATTAAAAGTTAGTAGCGGCCCTTGAGTAACGATAGAAAACATATTTCTAATTATTTTTTCAAACAGTCGCAGACGTCAAGCTACGTACTCATGTACTGCTAGATAAATATTGCGTTTGAGTCCTCCATTATGTATTTTTCTACAGGACGGCACATACGTGAACGCACCGAGCTCCAAGCTCACATACGGCACGATGATGTTCGTGCGAGTGGTGATAGTACAAGACATGTGCACGTACATGGCCAAAGCTGTCACCATCGCCACACGGTACTCAGCCGTGCGTAGGCAGTCGCAGCCGAAGCCCAAGTGAGTATAAGAGCGAATGATTGTGTCAGAGTTAGTAATCAGGGACTATTCGAACCTCTCTTCCCCACCGCTGCCATTCCTGTGTAACCAGGATCTACAGCCTGACCGCCAATACAAACCCAACCAGTGGGAAAGTGAAACTGTCATTGACCCGTAACAAAATTAATCAGAAGAACATAGGAGGAGTGCGAAGTTAAGATTCGACTTCCCAGAGTGAGTGATCAGTGACGGCTTTAGCCCAAGTGAGTATGATGATAGATCGAGCGAGTGTGATAGTGCCGAGTAAGAGTAATAGGTCAAATGAGTGAGATTACCCGACTGAGCATTAACCACGAGACACGATACTTGCTCGTGGTCGCCTTATTACATAGTTCGCAGTACATATTATGACTAATTTGAATGAATTTTATCTCTTACTCTCACCTTTTACTCACCCAGCGAACCAGAACCCCAAATCCTGGACTACGTGACGCAGCAGCATAAACTACTGGCAGGCATCGCGTCGGTGCACGCGTTCCGTCTGAGCGCGCAGTGGCTGTGGGCCATGTACAACAACGTCACCGCCGAGCTGGACGCCGGCGACCTGGAGCGGCTGCCCGAGGTGAGTGTGTCCCTCATGTGTCACCTGAGCCCCGCCCTGGACGCGTGACGTCATCGCGTCGGGCACGCGTGCCGGCTGAGCGCGCAGTGGCTGTGTGCCATGTACAACAACGTCACCGCCGAGCTGGACGCCGGCGACCTGGAGCGGCTGCCCGAGGTGAGTGTGTCCCTCATGTGTCACCTGAGCCCCGCCCTGGACGCGTGACGTCATCGCGTCGGGCACGCGTGCCGGCTGAGCGCGCAGTGGCTGTGGGCCATGTACAACAACGTCACCGCCGAGCTGGACGCCGGCGACCTGGAGCGGCTGCCCGAGGTGAGTGTGTCCCTCATGTGTCAGAAAAAGTTTCTTAGATTTTTAAACTTCAAACACCGGATAATGGGCACGACTTACGAGGCTGACTGTAAGCATCATCATCTACTTCCATTAAAACTGCGAAGAGAAGTCGCTGATCTTACCTTCCTCCATAACCTAATTAATGGTAAAATAGACTGCAGTGAGCTTCTTTCGCGAATCAAGTTACAGGTGCCAACTCGTGCCAATGTCAGGAGAAATTATCTTAGACTTCACGTTGATGCATGTACCACTAATTATGGACGCAATTCCTTCTTTAACAGAGTTTTCAAAACTTTTAACAGCAATTATTATGAAAATGTTGACCTTTTTCATATTGTGAGACCAAACTACTTCAAAAATCAAAGTAATAAGGAATTCTTTGGCGACACTACTTAGCACTCTCCCGGTAAAAAGTTGAAGTATCTGTTTACTGCTTAATATTCTGCTATTTTGGTATGGCTTTGGTAGGTATTTTCTGTATTGTTTAAACTTTTTTTATATATTGTAGTTATACTGCATGCTAAATGGTTTTGTTTTGGATTGTATCTTGATATGCTATTTGTGAAAACTATGTAAGGCATTTTTGATCTTAACCGCCTCATCTATTAATAATGCATATATGCTGTTTGTTTTCCATAAAATAAATAAATAAGGATTGCGCACCCCTTTGGTCGATACAGTTTGTTATCAGACAGATTTATAGTGAGGCTAAAAGATCGGTTCGCAGTCTGCCAGCCATAAGGGGCGTAATAAAAATAAACATTGTGGTTGTGGAGTTCACTCACTTCTCTAACTTTGACCATTTTCGTAGCTTCATATCAAACAAACTCAAACACAACACTAACACACACACACACACATAATTTGTTCATATATCACAATATTTATGATTCATAATCTTTAAAAAACCACAATAATAGTCACCTGATAAGGAATTGGAGCTGTATATTTAATGTAAAAATGTAATCAGTAATGCTCACTCAACACAACTACTGCGACACAGGCCTGCGAGCCTAGTGCAGAAGCTGTGGTTTATTACATCACAGGAAATGATATTTGTGAATAAAGATTATTTATTTGCCGTTTGGTGTAGTGGTTCGAAACGGACTACTATTCCGGAGGTAGCGGGTTCGATTCCCGCACAGTACAAACATTTGTGTGCATGAACATATTTGTTTGTATTGGACTGAGTGTTTTCTAAGTATAATATGCATGTATTTACAAAAAAAAAATTCAGTATGTTTATATCCGTTGTCTAGTACCCATAGGAGTTTGGGACTAGAAGCGCAGTGTAAAATGTCCAAGGATATTTATTTATTTATTTATCCCCAGCTGCACGCCCTAGCGTGCTGCCTCAAGGCCGTCAGCACGGCGGAGGCGGCCGCGTGCGTGGAGCGCTGCCGGCTCGCGTGCGGCGGGCACGGCTACATGCTGTCGTCCAGCCTGCCGCTCATGTACGGGCTCGTGACCGCCGCCTGCACCTACGAGGGCGAGAACACGGTGCTGCTGCTGCAGACCGCCAGGTTTGTCATTTACCCTCGATGTGACCGCAGTTAACCCTCAATGTGACTCCAGTTAACCCTCAAGTAACCCCAGATAACACGCATGTAACCCCAGTTAAGCCTCAAAGTTACCCGCCCTAGCGTGCTGCCTCAAAGCCGTCAGTACGGCCGAAGCGGCTACTTGCGTGAAGCAAGCATGATGCTTCAAGACTATCAGATGGCCAGATGCGTCATCTACCCTCAATGTAACTAAAGTTACATGCCCTAGCATGCCGCTTGAAGGCTATCAGACGGCCCGGTGCGTCATCAACCCTCAATGTAACCCAAGTTACACGCCCTAGCATACTGCCTCAAGGCCGTCAGCACGGCCGAAGCGGCCGCTTGCGTTACACGTCCTACCATACCTCCTATGTTCTTCTGATTAATTTCGTTGCCGGTCCAATGACAGTTTAACTTCCCCCCGGGACAAACGACCTTCATTGGTTGGGTTAGGTCAAGCTGTAGATCCTGGCTACACAGGAGTTGCAGCGGTGGGAACGAGAGGTGGGAATAGTCCCCTCCTAGCATACTGCCTTAAGGCAGCCAGCACGGCGGAGGCGGCCGCGTGCGTGGAGCGCTGCCGGCTCGCGTGCGGCGGGCACGGCTACATGCTGTCGTCCAGCCTGCCGCTCATGTACGGGCTCGTGACCGCCGCCTGCACCTACGAGGGCGAGAATACGGTGCTGCTGCTGCAGACCGCCAGGTTTGTCATTTACCCTCGATGTTACCGCAGTTAACCCTCAATGTGACTCCAGTTAACCCTCAATGTAACCCCAGTTAACACGCAATGTAACCCCAGTTAAGCCTCAAAGTTACCCGCCTTCGCGTGCTGCCTCAAAGCCGTCAGTACGGCCGAAGCGGCCGCTTGCGTGGAGCGAGCATGCCGCTTCAAGGCTATCAGACGGCCAGGTGCGTCATCAAGCCTCAGTGTAACTAAAGTTACATGCCCTAGCATGCCGCTTGAAGGCTATTAGACGGCCCGGTGCGTCTTCAACCCGCGATGTAACCCAAGTTACACGCCCTAGCATACTGTCTCAAGGCCGTGAGCACGGCAGAAGCGGCCGCTTGCGTTACACGTCCTAGCATACTCCTCCTATGTTCTTCTGATTAATTTCGTTGCGGGTCCAATGACAGTTAAACTTCCCGGGACAAACGACCTTCATTGGTTGGGTTAGGTCAAGCTGTAGATCCTGGCTACACAGGAGTTGCAGCGGTGGGAACGAGAGCTGGGAGTAGTCCCGTTTAGCATACTGTCTTAAGGCAGTCAGCACGGCGGAGGCGGGCGCGTGCGTGGAGCGCTGCCGGCTCGCGTGCGGCGGGCACGGCTACATGCTGTCGTCCAGCCTGCCGCTCATGTACGGGCTCGTGACCGCCGCCTGCACCTACGAGGGCGAGAATACGGTGCTGCTGCTGCAGACGGCCAGGTTTGTCATTTACCCTCGATGTGACCGCAGTTAACCCTCAATGTGACTCCAGTTAACCCTCAATGTAACCCCAGATAACACGCAATGTAACCCCAGTTAAGCCTCAAAGTTACCCGCCTTCGCGTGCTGCCTCAAAGTCGTCAGTACGGCCGAAGCGGCCACTTGCGTGGAGCAAGCATGATGCTTCAAGACGATCAGATGGCCAGATGCGTCATCTACCCTCAATGTAACTAAAGTTACATGCCCTAGCATGCCGCATAAAGGCTGTCAGTCGCCAGTTGCGTCATCAAACCGCGATGTAACCCAAGTTACACGCCCTAGCATACTGCCTCAAGGCTGTCAGCACGGCAGAAGCGGCCGCTTGCGTTACACGTCCTAGCATACTCCTCCTATGTTCTTCTGATTAATTTCGTTGCGGGTCCAATGACAGTTAAACTTCCCCCCGGGACAAACTTGACCTTCATTGGTTGGTTTTTTTATGGTAGTCAAGCTTAGATCCTGGCTACACAGGAGTTGCAGCGGTGGGAACGAGAGGTGGGAATAGTCGCGTCCTAGCATACTGCCTCAAGGCTGTCAGCACGGCGGAGGCGGCCGCGTGCGTGGAGCGCTGCCGGCTCGCGTGCGGCGGGCACGGCTACATGCTGTCGTCCAGCCTGCCGCTCATGTACGGGCTCGTGACCGCCGCCTGCACCTACGAGGGCGAGAACACTGTGCTGCTGCTGCAGACGGCCAGGTTTGTCATTTACCCTCGATGTGACCGCAGTTAACCCTCAATGTGACTCCAGTTAACCCTCAATGTAACTCCAGATAACACGCAATGTAACCCCAGTTAAGCCTCAAAGTTACCCGCCTTCGCGTGCTGCCTCAAAGCCGTCAGTACGGCCGAAGCGGCCACTTGCGTGGAGCAAGCATGATGCTTCAAGACTATCAGATGACCAGATGCGTCATCTACCCTCAGTGTAACTAAAGTTACATGCCCTAGCATGCCGCTTGAAGGCTATTAGACGGCCCGGTGCGTCATCACCATCAACCCTCGGTGTGACCCCAGTTACACGCCCTAGCCTGCTGCCTCAAGGCTGTTAGCACGGCCGAAGCGGCCGCTTGCGTTACACGTCCTAGCATACTCATATGCTCTTCTGATTAATTTCGTTGCGGGTCCAATGACAGTTTAACCTTCCCCCGGGACAAACTTGACCTTCACTGGTTGGGTTATTGGCGGTCAAGCTGTAGATCCTGGCTACACAGGAGTCGCAGTGGTGGGAACGAGAGGTGGGAATAGTCCCGTCCTAGCATACTGCCTCAAGGCAGTCAGCACGGCGGAGGCGGCCGCGTGCGTGGAGCGCTGCCGGCTCGCGTGCGGCGGGCACGGCTACATGCTGTCGTCCAGCCTGCCGCTCATGTACGGGCTCGTGACCGCCGCCTGCACCTACGAGGGCGAGAACACCGTGCTGCTGCTGCAGACCGCCAGGTTTGTCTTCAACAGAGATGTGACCCCAGTTAACCCTCGATGGACCCCAGTTAACCCTCGACGTGACCCCAGTTAACCCTCAATGTCACCCAAGTTACCCGCCCTAGCGTGCCGCCCCTTGCGTGGAGCGAGCATGCCGCTTCAAGGCTATCAGACGACCAGGTGCGTCATCAACCCTCGATGGGACCCCAGTTAACCCTCAAAGTTACTCGCCCTAGCGTGCCGCCTCCAAGCCGTCAGCACGGCTGAAGCGGCCGCTTACGTGGAGCGAGCATGCCGCTTCAAGGATATCAGACGGCCCGGTGCGTCATCAACCCTCAATGTAACTAAAGTTACATGCCCTAGCATGCCGCTGAAAGGCTGTCTGACGCCAGGTGCGTCATCAACCCTCGATGTAACCCAAGTTACACGCCCTAGCATACTGCCTCAAGACTGTCAGCACGGCAGAAGCGGCCGCTTGCGTTACACGTCCTAGCATACCTCCTATGTTCCCCCCGGGACAAACTTGACCTTCATTGGTTGGGTTTTTTATGGCGGACAAGCTTAGATCCTGGCTACACAGGAGTTGCAGCGGTGGGAACGAGAGGTGGGAATAGTCCCGTCCTAGCATACTGCCTCAAAGCAGTCAGCACGGCGGAGGCGGCCGCGTGCGTGGAGCGCTGCCGGCTCGCGTGCGGCGGGCACGGCTACATGCTGTCGTCCAGCCTGCCGCTCATGTACGGGCTCGTGACCGCCGCCTGCACCTACGAGGGCGAGAACACCGTGCTGCTGCTGCAGACCGCCAGGTTTGTCTTCAACAGAGATGTGACCCCAGTTGTGTTCTAGCTGTGACCCCAGTTACACACCCTCGCTTGTTTCCTCAAGGCCGACAGCACGGGCGAAGCGGCCGCTTGCGTGGAGCGAGCATGCCGCTTCAAAGCTATCAGACGGCCAGGTGCGTCATCAACACGCCTCTGTGGTCTAGTGGTAAGCCACCTGCTTCAGACGCAGAGGTCCCGGGTTCGATTCCCAGTGGGGTCAGATTTTTTCTGTTCGGTTTGGTTGGCGGTAGGGCTTGTTCTAAGTCCGCCTGGCTAGCTACCACCATCTTACCTAAGTCTGTCGCTATAACAACAATGTTAACAGCATTGCTGTGTTCCGGCAGTTAGAGGTAAGATAACCAGTTCCTCAGTGGTTGAGGATTCCGGGTGAGATACTACAAGCCAAGAGCTTCCTCGTTGTGGATAAAAAAGAAACACCCGTTGTTCCAGCCAAATGACGACCACTGCTGGAGAATAGCCTCTCCCAAGTATTTCCAAAACAACTGGTCCTGCGCTGCCCGCATCCAGGCTCTTCCCAAGACCTTCACCTAGTGTTGGGCCTGTCCACGCTACATCTTCCGGCCCGTGGTCACCACTCGAGAAATTTTCTGCCCCAACGTCCATAATCTTTACCAACTATGTGCCCCACCCACTGCTACTTGATTTTAGCAATTCTGCGAGCTATATCGGACATTTTGGTTCTCCTGCGGATCTCCTCATTTCTGATTCGATCACACAGGGAAACTCCGAGCATAGCACGCTCCATCGCCCTTTGGGTGACCTTAAGCCTTCTTATGAGGTCCATAGTAAGCAACCACGTCTCAAATCCGTATACCATCACTGGCAACACACTGGTCAAAGACTCTCAGCTAATTCAATACAATAGCCGCGCACCTAAAATTTTTGGAGTGGCATTCTTGATGTCGACCACTAATCATCAATTTTGACGTCATTGGTTCATCTTACCGACTTTATTTGTTTCAGGTACCTAGTAAAGGCGTGGCAGCAAGCTGTAGGCGGCAACTCGCTGACGCCGACGGTAGCTTACTTGGCCGAGGCGGCCGTGGGGCGCCGCCACCCGCCGTGGGACAACTCTATTGAAGGCATTATACAGGGCTTCCAGCGCGTCTCTGCCAGGTCAGTGACTTATTGGGTTCTTTTTAGACTTTATTGCGGCCAAACTGTGCTGTGAAAGTCCTGTTTAAAATTACTTTTTGTTTAAAAAATCGAAACACTTATATTTCACAAGTAGCAATTTTGTATCATATCAATGGTTGTGTTGTTGACTTGTTGTACTCGTAACTGTACAACCGACTGTAAAATGACCGGTGGAAATCTTCGAAAAATCATCATGGCGCAGTTACACTACGCGAAAATGATCGAACACAATCGCGAACACGCGCAAAATGCATATCGAAACGTGCGAACTGCGTGTTTATTATCAACATCGCGCATAGTGTAACTGCCCCATCAAAGAATGTTTAAAAGAATTAAAGACGATCATAAGTAGACTAACACTTATAGAAACTTTTATCCTATACTTATTGGCAAAATTTTTATTACAGTAAAATAAGCCTGTGCGTGGCGAACATCGAAAAACGACAGAAGACCGGCATGTCTTACGAAGACGCATGGAACATGACGTCAGTCCAGCTTACTTCTGCTTCAGAGGTACCTACCTAACAACATTCTTTTGTTTATGGCTATATGACTTGGGTTTTGGGAATTGGCCATGTCACTTGTGTAACTTTGATAAAGTTGGTATTGAATGTTGCCAATACAGTTTGTTGCTGTTGCATCCTTTTGGTCCTCAACCTCAAGGATTCCTGAATAGATTAATCTTCAATTTTAATACGATAAATATATTTTTTTCTTTTTTAAACTTAACACGTTAACCCAATTTATTATCCAGGCTCATTGCCGCGCGATCCTGCTATCTTGCTACTTGGAAGAAACCGTGAAGTCAGTGCAGGGCGCTAGCAGCGCACTGCGTGACGTCATGATGCGACTCGTGGAGCTCTACACCCTGTACTGGGCCCTGCAGTGCGTCGGCGACTTGTTAAGGGTAAGTGAACCTCAAGCCAGGAACTTTAAGAACTAGTTTTATAAATAACAAATGCGTGTCGGACTCACGCACAAAGGGTTCCGTACCATTGATTTATGAATTATTATTTTTTTTAATTTAATTTATTTGTATGAAAGATTACGCGGTAATAAGCGGTTTACGATTTACGAGGTATTAAAAAAAACTACTTATGTATTAGATCTCGTTAAAAATAATTTTCGTTGGTAGTTTTATAGTATGTATAGCCTGACCAGGAACATAAAAACCCTGGCATAGAGGCGCTTCAATTGCATTTGATAGTGCAACACTGAGTACAGTCGTACCTGTGTTAAATTAATAGGCTAACTTTATGTATCAGGATTCAGGATTACGGGCTAATTTGATATTTTCATAAATTAACGAAAAAATATTATTATAGGTAACCTGGTTTAAATAAATTAAATGAAACCATCAATCGAACTAGTAGGATTTATTTTATTATTCATCAATAATCAAATTCAGAACTTGAATATTCAACTGCAATGTCTGCTCATGAACGCTTCAAACTCGGTACTTCTTTCCCAATTCCATAAAATTCAACTTTTAGAAAGTGACAAAAAACTTTAAAATAGGTAGTTGAAACAAACCACAGCTAATTTTCATAGTGGACTGTACTATACGATAAACATGTCAGTCAATTTGACAACCTTTATTGGAAACATTGTTCAATGAAAATATTGTCCGAACCTTTGGTATTTCTCTTCGACAAATACTTTAACACATTGTGAACCACTTTTCTTTCACGACTATAAAAAGATTTTAGCAATTTCATTCACAAAATCAATTGCGCACATTTAAAATAAAGTTTGTTTACACTTTGACAGCAATAGACTGACATGCAAGGTGACATGTCAATGAAGTTTTTAGTTACTGTTGCCATTAAAAGAAATTAGTACCATTAGTTTTCCGCAACATGGCGAGGGTTTTTATGTTCCTGGTCAGGCTATACATCATATGTTTTTTTTAGATTTTTCATTTTCTTATTTTAGAAGTTAGAGGGGGGGGATCAACTTTTTTCCACTTTGGAAGCGTCTGTCACGCAAACTATTCGGTTTAGAAAAAAATATTTTAGAAACCTCGATATCATTTTTGAAGACCTATCCATAAATACCCCACACGTATGTGTTTGATGAAAAAAAAATTTTCAGTTTCAGTTCTAAATATGGGGAGCCCCTAATATTTATTATAATTTTTTTATTTTCGCATCAAAATCTTAATGCGGTTCACAGAATACATCTACCTGCCAAGTTTCAACAGTATAGCTCTTATAGTTTCGGAAAAAAATGGCTGTGACATACGGACGGACAGACAGACATCACGAATCTATAAGGGTCCCGTTTTTTGCCATTTGGCTACGGAACCCTAAAAAGCGCATTGCCGTGAAATTTTGCGTGACATATCTCACACGTCAAATGAAGTCACAAATCTTCCTTGACTCAAACGAACCGATGTCTTACCATGCCCAATATGCCTATTGCCTATCAAAATAAGTAATCTTGATCTTTTTTTGTTAATCATGTTTTGTGCGCAGCAATAATTTATTTTGTATTTGCAGTTCACATCGATATCTGAGCGCGACATCGAGCAGATGCAGGCGTGGTACGAGCGCCTGCTCACGCAGCTACGGCCCGACGCTGTGGGACTGGTGGACGCTTTCGACCTGCGAGACGAGGTTAGTCCACGCTTCTATTCCCGGCGGGGACAGTAGTGTAGAGCCATGAATAGATGCAGGCATGGTACATTCAACATTAAAAAGTTGGTGTTGGTGACACCAAATGTTGCCAATAAGTTGATATTAACACAACCTTATTCCAATAGCAATAAAGACGTGCTGCGAACTTATTGGCTACTTTAGGTGTGACTATTTGACGCTGTCTGTACGAGCGCCTGCTGACGCAGCTACGGCCCGACGCTGTAGGGTTGGTGGATGCCTTCGACCTGCGAGACGAGGTCAGTCCACGCTTCCATTCCCGGCGGGGACAGTAGTGTAAGGCCATGAACAGATGCAGGCGTGGTACAGTCAGCGTCAAATAGTTGGTGACACCCAATATGACTGATAAGTTGATAACGCAACCTTTTTCCAATAGCAATAAAGACATCTTTTCGTCCAAATTACCTCAATGCCTGAAGACTAGAGTGTATAACCAATGTGTGTTACCAGTGATAACTTATGGCTCGGAAACGTGGCCTCTCACTATAGGCCTTATACAGAAGCTCAAAGTTGCACAGCGTGCTATGGAGAGGGCTATGCTTGGTGTTTCTTTGCGAGATCGAATCAGAAATGAGGAGATCCGTAAACGAACCAAAGTCGCTGACATAGCCCGACGTATTAGCAAGCTGAAGTGGCAATGGGCAGGGCACATAGTACGCAGAACTGACGGCCGATGGGGCAGAAAGGTTCTGGAATGGAGGCCGCGTACCGGAAAACGCAGCGTGGGACGTCCACCTACAAGGTGGACCGACGACATCGTAAAGGTAGCAGGGAAGCGCTGGACGCAGGCCGCTACCAATCGATCAACATGGAAAGCATTGGGGGAGGCCTATGTTCAGCAGTGGACGTCCTGTGGCTGAAATGATGATGATGATGATGAATAAAGACGTGCTGCGAACTTATTGGCTACTTTAGGTGTCACTAACTATTTGACGCTGTCTGTACGAGCGCCTGCTGACGCAGCTACGGCCCGATGCTGTGGGACTGGTGGACGCTTTTGACCTGCGAGACGAGGTTAGACCACGAGTTATGACAAGGCATGTATTTGACCGCAATCCCACCTGGTGTTAAGTGAGATGCAGTCCAAGATGGTACATATCTGCCCTGTAAGTGCCTATTCCCTCACGCTTTGAAAAGGCCCGGATTATAGTGTTCAGGAAAGACAGCAGCATGCAGCGAATTTCAGTCCCTAGCTGTTCGCATTATAAGAGTCATCGAAACGCTTAGTGCGAGCTGGTGGAATGTTGACAATGTAGGGATGGTACGCTAACCTGAAGAAACGGCCATGCATATTTAGCTTACCACGAGGGGTTAAAAAAACAACCGGACAATATGGAATTAATGGGGGAAGCCTATGATCAGCAATGGACCGTCCTGGCTGAAATGACGATGATGATGCTGAATAGTGAGAGAATCAGTCCCATCAATAGAAATACCTAATGGAAATGCCCGAATATTCCTTTGATAGTGCTTTTTTTTTTTTCAAACTAGATCCTGCATTCAACCCTGGGCGCATACGACGGTCGCGTGTACGAGCGGCTGATGGCAGAGGCCATGAGAAGTCCGCTCAACCAGCAACCCGTCGACGAGTCCTTTCACAAGTACCTCAAGCCCTTCATGCAGGGGAAACTGTGAACGGGACTATTGTGTATGAATGAATTGGTATTCAGCATTTTGACCCAAATGTAACGCGCAATAAAGTCGAAAATTCTTTGAAAAGTATAAATAGTGCTGGGGACATGACATTGTATGAATCACTGGTACTTAAAGTAGTTAGAAGCTGGGATAAATCATTACATGTAAGCCTGTGGTGTCTGGTATAAGTGCAATTTTCACAAATGACAAAATAGGTTAAGAGTACTTTAGGGTGGCGGATGTGATATTTAACGTATGTACCTACATTCCTTTGTGATTAAAGTAGGAAACAGTATTATTCTGTTTGACTATGTGAAATTAAAATGGAGATTTCTAATTTAATATATAAAATTTTGTTATAATAAAGTTTTTAATCATTTTAACTTCGTGTTTTATATTGTGTACAATCAATGTACCTTTTTTATGCAGAACAAGGCAGGTATTTGACCACAATCGCACCTGATGTTAAGTGGGATGCAGTCTAGGATGGTACATTGCCTTTAATCCATTTGCGTTAAGAAAATAGTTGGAAGCCGGCAAAACCCTCTGATTTTGCTGATTGGGAGCTCTTGGAGTATGAGTATTCTTTGGTTGGGAGGGGGCAGGAGACTTATAAAATAATTGGTTAAAATCTCAAAACTCACATAACTTCTCTATGGACATGTTAGTGCATCTAAGGCATATTATTTCTGTGTCAGTGTGACGTCCTAATTTTGGAACATCCTGTATAAGCTAAAGCAGTTACCGAAACTAGGCCTCGATTTAAAAAGTATGGAAGCCGAGGTGCTGAATGCAGATGTGCGGGCTCGCGCCACACACACACCGAGGACCTTGGACGATCAATCCCGCGACTACACAAAAAGGCGAAACGATCTTGATCCAAGCCAGTACAGCGAAACGAAATACCAGTAAAAAAGAAAACGTTATGTCAAAATTGACATTTAGCCATCGATTTGTTGCACAGAGCAAAATATTATGTTGCTTTGTTTACGAATAGTTGTTTTCATTATTATTCACCTTTATTTAGTAATTTTAGTTCAATATTTAAACTATCTGTTTAACTTGAAATCAAAGACTGTTACGCATAATGACCTCCTATACCCAAATATGTCGAGCTTGTTTATCTTTTAACGTTTCATTCAATTACATTTTAGCAGAAAACGTTTCTACTGAAATTTACTGTTTTTGTACATCAATAGAGGTACTAAAACCAACATTCCGTTAAGTAATAACTTAAACTTAACTGGATTTGTTAAGATTTACTTTGTTAAAACTTTCAGGTGCAGCAAGACAACCTTCCAATGACACTGTGTGATGCTTGCTATGATCTTCTCATCAAGTGCTCAGAATTCAAAAGAACTTGCTTAGAATCTCATAATGCGTTACTTCATTTGAGCTGTAATGCCAGAAAAATACCTGTTGATGAAAAACTGTTTGACCAACTTGCACACCACAGAGGTCCCGATGAGTTAAATGTGAAAACAGAACATTTTGTCAATTTTAATGATGAAGATACGGCAGTCAAAGCCGAGAACACGTCGGACCACTATGACGGTATTTAAATTGTTCCATATAATTTTAATTTAATTTTCTTCAGTTTTCTGGATTGTAATATTTAGGGAACTGAATAGTAACATCTTAAATTGCTGTTTGATTTTAGATCTATTTGAAGCTGTAAACTTATGTGAAAGCTCAATAATAAATGAGAAGAAAATAAAAAAAAGGTAATCATTTAATTACTATCACCCACATCCATTTCCTCCATTTTTCTCACCGTTTAAACCTTCTCTGGACTATGACAAGAATTTCAAAACCAAAATCAGCTCAATCATTCTAGAGTTAAGCAAGAATAATGCACAGCGATTTTTTATTTATTTATTTATACTTTGTTGAGACAAATCCTTTCTAAATATTGTAATCATAAGGATCACTGCATCACCCTAGATGGCCCAATTTAAAGGATAATAGATATACTATGTACTCAAGTCAAGAAAATTACAATTAATTACATTTTCTTCTAGGAAATTGAGTAAAGTGAGAAAACAGAAGAGACCAAAGATTAAGTTGAAAATACCCAGGAAACATTTTGCATTTGCATGTGACATTTGTAACAAGAAGTTCAATTATCAGGAAAGATTGGATGCACATAAACTAGAGCATGACGGAAAAGTGGTAAGTTGTGGACTTAGATGAGAAACGAATTAATATTCCAATTGGATTTTACTAGACAACAAACATACGTGGAATAGTCTTACGATTCACATTACATTTAATACTTTTAAAGTTTATTGCTGATAAAACATTTATATTATTTCAGGCAATAATTCACTGTCCTGAGTGCAATAAGACATTCATGACGTGGAGTGGACTGAAACGGCACAATGAGAGTGAACACACACAGGTTAGCTTAGACAAATTAAAATGTAATGTCTGTGGCAAGGTCTGCAAAAGTCAACAAACTTTAAAGACGCATGGGAAAACCCACGGGGACAGGAAATTGTTTGTTTGCGACATTTGTGGAAAGGGATTCACGTCAAAGTTTATTTTGAAGGTATGAAAATAAGTTATGATAACAAAAATATTTTAAATTAAAAACATTCAAATTACAGTAAAAAATTACGCTTTACTTTTAGGCTCATATCGACACTCACAGAGAGAACAGAGAAAGAAATTTTACTTGTGAACACTGTGGCAAAAAGTTTTACACAAATACCATTCTGCTCTCACACGTTTCCAAGCGGCATTCTGGGCGGCGCTACATTTGCCATGTCTGCAGCTACCCATTCACTGATAAATATAATTTGGCCAAGCATTTGTTGATACATGACGGAAAGAAATTGTTTAAGTGCGAAATTTGTAACAAATCATATGCTACGCAAGCCTCGTTGGTGGAGCACAAAAGAATACATTCCGGTGAGAGACCATACATGTGTAGCTACTGTTCAAAGAGCTTCTTGTCAAAGCGACGGCTGGATGACCATCATAGGGTGCACACTGGAGAACGCCCATATAAATGTACTGTTTGTGAGCAAGGATTCACTCAAAGAGGATCATTGAATCGACACATGAAAGTGCATGATAGAACAATACCAGTTATCAGTGAATGAATTATATTATTAAACAGTAAATTAAGTTTTTGAGTTTTTGTAATAACTACTGAAATAAAACGCAATTTGTAGCATAAAGTGAAATTTATTTACAGTTAAATTAGAACTAAATATGAGGTGGCTGAGAGCCATGTTTCACATTTATCACAGAAGTTAATTGAAAGATCTTATTTTAAAAAATCAGTCCAGAAAAGTGGAAGTTTTTACATAAACCCAATATTTGCCCAACAAAATAAGGCAGCAACATTACTGGAAAAGTTTGTTATGTTGCTGTACTTTCTAATGAAGCAGACAGATGCCCATGCAAAAGACTCACAAACTGATAACCATTTAGATGAATATAATAAATTCTCTTATCTTAATACAATACTACATAACAAACACTTATACAATCTAATCTAATGGACTCCAGTCCTCCCGAGATTTGTTGGAAAATTGCTCATAATAATCTTATGAAATTTAAAAAGTATCCCTAAAACCCCCTTTGCATCGTCACATGTGTATCATACATAATATCGAATGTACAAACACCACACTTCACATAAAAATCTTTATTCTTAGCTTCCTTAAGCCGTTCATAAACGTATTAGCGTGACTATAAGTACAAGAATAGAGCGGGTGTGACTACAGTCAACCCTGAGCATGATAGCGATACGATAACGAACGAATAATGTAAAATTCTTAATCAAGTCCTTTTCTTATAGGAGTACATACGTCCAAAATCTTATCTGGAAAATGCGACTACATAAGGAGCGACCTAAATGTGTTTTGAACGCGATACTGTACTCACCACGCCACGTGTTCTCCCGCCTAGAACCCACATCTTTAATTGTAACTTCAGTTTACCGACTAGTTGGCAAAGCAGTCGCCGACTGTAGAAGATTCGTACGTTGGGTTACGCTTGGTGGCAAGTCATTCCTCTCCAGCTTCCAGAGCAGGTAGTCGGAATAGGCGTGTGACATTAAATGTGCTCAGTTTCTTAGTTTGAAAACGTTCGCGCGCTTCACTGGGCGTGGCAACCATATCGCTGGTGACAGTTTGACGCCGTGCCGCTGTTTGGCCTGAGCTTGATCCAGCGCCAGGACAGGCGTGCAGCAGCTTATAGGCTCCCAGTTTGAAGACGCAATCGTCGGTCGTATAGATGAACTACACTGAACCGTCTCACCCGTGACATTGACAGGGGGGCGCCACCGTCAATACCGCTGCCATCAATGCCGGGTTACTATTTTCGATCTTTCCCATTTGACGTTTCAAAATCGTAACTATAGCAGTGGGAGTGGCAGCAATGTCACTAGTGACAGCTTCAGTTTGACAGCGGCGCAGTAGCGCTAGTTTGCGGGGCAGCCGTGCCACTGTGATCCTCAGTTTGAGGGCGGCACAGTGGCGGTGGCCGCTGGATTTTTGCTACCTTGGAAAACTGAAATGTTATTTGCAGGAGGGTGCTGCCATCAATGCTATTACTATTTCCGATCTTTGCCATTTGACGTTTCAAAATCGTTCAACAATAGCAGTGAGTGTGGCAGCCATGTCACTGGTTATAGCTTCAGTTTGACAGCGGCGCATTGGCGCTAATTTGCGGTCGAATCACTGTTGCCTTAGTTAGAGGACGGCACAGTGGCGGTGGCAGCTGGGTGGCGCTAGTTGGCCAGACGGTCGTCCAGTGGCCACGGCAGGCGGTCGGGGTAGGCATGCGGCAACGGCAGGCGTGGCTCAGCGCGGTGGCCCTGAAAAAGTTAAGAATGTCATTTATTTTTTGCTTTTAAAAATCCCTTTTACATGTCCCATTTAAGGAGAGGCCAGTGGTGAGAAGAAGCAGCGCATGATTTAGTTAGTCGCTATTGTCAGCCTCTTTTTCAAAGGTTTATTTATGTATGTACAGTCACGGAATGAAAAGGTTCGTCAGTTTTCAAATTGATTCCTTCAACGAATCGCGAGCACATATTACCTTTTGAAACTATGTTACAGAATAATCTCGAGTTAAAGAAAATAATCTTTAACTGTTCGTCAGTAAAGTTCAAAATTATTCAGATCAAAGTTGTTTGACGATTTATCTTGTCAAGAAGATTATTATGATTGATAAACTAAATCCTTCTTGTTGGTTCAACCTGCCATTATTATTTCTATTAAATAAAAAATCTATTGTCAATTTGTCAATGTCATCATTGCATTGCACTGATGGGATAGGAAAATAAACAAGCAAAACCTTATTCGTTAGCAAATGTCATATTTATTTAAATGTTAGCAGCACTGTTTCTTGCACTGTTATTATGTTGGCAGGTTTGACTCTTACAGTACCTAGTGCAAGCGAAAACCGACACTAAGGTGACGAACCTTTTCATTCCGCGACTGTACATGTCGGCGCCGGACACAGATGCTGCAAATTATTATTGATGATTAATAGTACCAATCTTAATATTATGTTATCTGTAGAAATCTGTAGAGCAGAAGGTTTGCGATTCCTAAACGTAACACCCGACTGATGCGCAGAAAAAGATAACTGTCAATCAGTTGTGTCATGTCAAGTGTGAGCAGGCGGCTGCGAGGTTATCTTTGAAAAGCGTGTTGAGTTTGGTGGAACGTTAAATTGTAGGAAAAGTGATTGTCAACCATCCAAGATATCTCCTTGCCCGTTAACCCACGCCTATGGAGATTCCACCCCTAGAGTTCCTTCTGATAGAGACCCCGTGCCTTTATACATAAATATGCGAGATAGGCACAACTGTGTCAGTGCCTGATGTATGGGAGCGACACGGGAGGGTGTTTTTGATGACGTCAAACGTCAGCGAGACTTCAGATTTGTGTGCTCTGTCACGACCCCTCCCGTGCTGCACTCATGCAGGCGCTGTCTGAGTTAAGCGGTAGACCCATAGTTAGTAGCAGTCTATAATAAAACCAACATTCGTTCGTTCGTTTCAGCCGAAAGACGTCCACTGCTAGACAAAGGCCTCCCCCAAGGATTTCCATAAAGACCGGTCCTGCGCCGCTCGCATCCAGGCGCCTCCCGCGACCTTCACCAGATCGACGGTCCACCTAGTGGGAGGCCTGCCCACGCTACCTCTTCCGGCTCGAGGTCGCTACTCAAGAACTTTCCTGCAAAACCAACCTTCATGTGGCGGTTGAGCGCGCACTTCTGTATGAAGGCCTGCCCGCACACGGCGCACTTGTGCGGCTTCTCGCCCGTGTGGATCATGCGGTGGTTGCGCAGGTCCTGACCTATAGTTAGTAGCAGTGTACCATACAACCAACCTTCATGTGGCGGTTGAGCGCGCACTTCTGTATGAAGGCCTGCCCGCACACGGCGCACTTGTGCGGCTTCTCGCCCGTGTGGATCATGCGGTGGTTGCGCAGGTCCTGACCTATAGTTAGTAGCAGTGTACCATACAACCAACCTTCATGTGGCGGTTGAGCGCGCACTTCTGTATGAAGGCCTGCCCGCACACGGCGCACTTGTGCGGCTTCTCGCCCGTGTGGATCATGCGGTGGTTGCGCAGGTCCTGACCTATAGTTAGTAGCAGTGTACCATACAACCAACCTTCATGTGGCGGTTGAGCGCGCACTTCTGTATGAAGGCCTGCCCGCACACGGCGCACTTGTGCGGCTTCTCGCCCGTGTGGATCATGCGGTGGTTGCGCAGGTCCTGACCTATAGTTAGTAGCAGTGTACCATACAACCAACCTTCATGTGGCGGTTGAGCGCGCACTTCTGTATGAAGGCCTGCCCGCACACGGCGCACTTGTGCGGCTTCTCGCCCGTGTGGATCATGCGGTGGTTGCGCAGGTCCTGACCTATAGTTAGTAGCAGTGTACCATACAACCAACCTTCATGTGGCGGTTGAGCGCGCACTTCTGTATGAAGGCCTGCCCGCACACGGCGCACTTGTGCGGCTTCTCGCCCGTGTGGATCATGCGGTGGTTGCGCAGGTCCTGACCTATAGTTAGTAGCAGTGTACCATACAACCAACCTTCATGTGGCGGTTGAGCGCGCACTTCTGTATGAAGGCCTGCCCGCACACGGCGCACTTGTGCGGCTTCTCGCCCGTGTGGATCATGCGGTGGTTGCGCAGGTCCTGACCTATAGTTAGTAGCAGTGTACCATACAACCAACCTTCATGTGGCGGTTGAGCGCGCACTTCTGTATGAAGGCCTGCCCGCACACGGCGCACTTGTGCGGCTTCTCGCCCGTGTGGATCATGCGGTGGTTGCGCAGGTCCTGACCTATAGTTAGTAGCAGTGTACCATACAACCAACCTTCATGTGGCGGTTGAGCGCGCACTTCTGTATGAAGGCCTGCCCGCACACGGCGCACTTGTGCGGCTTCTCGCCCGTGTGGATCATGCGGTGGTTGCGCAGGTCCTGACCTATAGTTAGTAGCAGTGTACCATACAACCAACCTTCATGTGGCGGTTGAGCGCGCACTTCTGTATGAAGGCCTGCCCGCACACGGCGCACTTGTGCGGCTTCTCGCCCGTGTGGATCATGCGGTGGTTGCGCAGGTCCTGACCTATAGTTAGTAGCAGTGTACCATACAACCAACCTTCATGTGGCGGTTGAGCGCGCACTTCTGTATGAAGGCCTGCCCGCACACGGCGCACTTGTGCGGCTTCTCGCCCGTGTGGATCATGCGGTGGTTGCGCAGGTCCTGACCTATAGTTAGTAGCAGTGTACCATACAACCAACCTTCATGTGGCGGTTGAGCGCGCACTTCTGTATGAAGGCCTGCCCGCACACGGCGCACTTGTGCGGCTTCTCGCCCGTGTGGATCATGCGGTGGTTGCGCAGGTCCTGACCTATAGTTAGTAGCAGTGTACCATACAACCAACCTTCATGTGGCGGTTGAGCGCGCACTTCTGTATGAAGGCCTGCCCGCACACGGCGCACTTGTGCGGCTTCTCGCCCGTGTGGATCATGCGGTGGTTGCGCAGGTCCTGACCTATAGTTAGTAGCAGTGTACCATACAACCAACCTTCATGTGGCGGTTGAGCGCGCACTTCTGTATGAAGGCCTGCCCGCACACGGCGCACTTGTGCGGCTTCTCGCCCGTGTGGATCATGCGGTGGTTGCGCAGGTCCTGACCTATAGTTAGTAGCAGTGTACCATACAACCAACCTTCATGTGGCGGTTGAGCGCGCACTTCTGTATGAAGGCCTGCCCGCACACGGCGCACTTGTGCGGCTTCTCGCCCGTGTGGATCATGCGGTGGTTGCGCAGGTCCTGACCTATAGTTAGTAGCAGTGTACCATACAACCAACCTTCATGTGGCGGTTGAGCGCGCACTTCTGTATGAAGGCCTGCCCGCACACGGCGCACTTGTGCGGCTTCTCGCCCGTGTGGATCATGCGGTGGTTGCGCAGGTCCTGACCTATAGTTAGTAGCAGTGTACCATACAACCAACCTTCATGTGGCGGTTGAGCGCGCACTTCTGTATGAAGGCCTGCCCGCACACGGCGCACTTGTGCGGCTTCTCGCCCGTGTGGATCATGCGGTGGTTGCGCAGGTCCTGACCTATAGTTAGTAGCAGTGTACCATACAACCAACCTTCATGTGGCGGTTGAGCGCGCACTTCTGTATGAAGGCCTGCCCGCACACGGCGCACTTGTGCGGCTTCTCGCCCGTGTGGATCATGCGGTGGTTGCGCAGGTCCTTGAACGCGCGGAAACGCTTCGGGCAGATGTCGCACGCGTAGGGGCGCTCGCCTGAGGAAATAAACAGTTATTGAATAACGCAAACACTAATGTGGTTAACCTACGGGTATAGTCCATAGATTAGGTTTCTCTGTCTTCAGATAATGTAGCAGTGCGATTTTCCCTGCGTGATCGAATCAGAAATGAGGAGATCCGCAGAACAACTAAAATGAGCCACTTTCCAGGAGTTATTCCACTTATCCCCATTCACCTTTCTTCTACAGATCCCCATTCAGTGTTTTAAACTGAACCCTTCTCTCGAACTACTCCAATACCGCAGACACCTACTCAATCAAACGCTATGTCTATAGTTTTCCAGATTTCCAGAGAAAAAAACATAGATTTGTTTTTATAACCAAAACTTATATCCTGATGTCCTAACAATAGTACAAAAGCGTCACCTGTGTGCGTCCGCGAGTGCACGATCTGGAAGCTCTTGCATTTGAAGCGCTTGTCGCAGTACTCGCACGAGTACGGCCGGTCCGACGAGTGCGAGCGCATGTGCTTGTACAAGAACAATGTTACCTGTGTGCGTCCGCGAGTGCACGATCTGGAAGCTCTTGCACTTGAAGCGCTTGTCGCAGTACTCGCACGAGTACGGCCGGTCCGACGAGTGCGAGCGCATGTGCTTGTACAGGTCACTCTGGAATAGATAGACAAGCATATTTAATATTTACTGATAATGGCGAAATAACTTTCGTGTTATTTCAATGAGACAAGCATATCAACTGACAAAATAACTTTTGTGTCATTACAATGAGGGCTCAAAACATGTTTATATCCATTTGAAAAATAACTAATCTGTCCACCAGTCATGTCCTAGAGGAGCTGAAAAAAACATTTTTTATAGTTTAATTTTAACGGTATACTTACGTCACAATTTTCGTGGCGTACACAGTTTGCGTTGCGTTTTTACATAAGTATGTGAATTTGTAAAATATCGCAAAAATGTTTCACGAGTCTCCGTGTGTTCGGGTCAAGAGACGATGCAACATTTTAGGCCCCTCGCCCACGGTGACTTTTTATAGCGATGCAGTAGCGATTCTGTCGCGCGTTCGCATCAATACAGTCGCTATGCGGTCGCTAACTGTGTGCCCTCGCCCTCATAAACACGATTCAGTCGTGATGCAAACGCGATACAACACATGCAACTTTGTTTTGACCACGTACCTTCACATAAAAGCGCATGTCGCACAAAGTGCAAGCTATGTTCTTGATTCCAGTATGCCTTATCAAGTGGATCTTCAGGTTGCCGGGCTGGGCGAATTTCTTCCCGCACTGCGCGCATCCGTAGTTCTTTTCATTGGTGTGGGTTTCTAAGTGTCTCTGAAAACGAAAATAAAATATAGATATGGATAATTGATTACTATTAAACAAGATGGTGTAACCTATACACTCTTTCCCAAATCTCTAATCAGAATCAATGCACAAGATTGTCAGATCAAATACACTGTCAGATTTGATGAAGGCAATGAAGCTGATAAAAATGAGAAGAAACACAAAATGAAATAGGTGTTGGACGTGATAAGTTCTTGAGTGGACATTTGCTATTTGGCAAAGAAAGACAGACATTCTAATGTTGGTAACTGGGTATGAATACCAGAGGAACAAGAATCGCCCAATGGTGACAGGTTGACTGAACTGAATACACGAGACAGGACAGGATATATTGGCCTGTGAAAGAAACCAGTGGACTTTATTAAAGACACATAACTGGCCTGAAGAAATGACGTAGTTGATTGAAGAAAAATGTTTACACCCATCGGGCCAGACCTTTAAGTTGTAAAGCTGCACGAAGTTCGCATCGCACAGATGGCACGCGTGTTTCTTGTCACCGGAGTGGATCAGTTCGTGGTTCTTCAACACGTTGAGATACATGAACCTCTTGCCACACGTCCTACACTGGTACTTTCGGACGCCTGTGTGCGTTCGCATGTGACTGTGGAGGTTCTTCAGCGAAGAGAATGTCTTGTCACAGTGGTCGCATTTTATGTCTGGCTGCAAAGAGGAAGGAGATCTGAACATCTGAAGGTTGATATGGATGAGTTCAGAGTGGCCACTAGGGGCTATTTATGCAGGGAAATGGTTTGACATGAGCTCAATGGCATGCATTGGAAGAGTCCTCTGACAGAGATTGATCTGAGATATGTTGGCCCAGTGTTTTGTTTGCCCAGTGCGAGTGTTTTGGTAGCAAAAAGTACCGAAAGTTTATTTTGGGGTATTATGACTAATCCCTAAAAACAGTTCCCAAGCTATTTGTAGCCTATAGCCTAGCAAATGAATACACCCAACTCCTGCGGCGCTCATGCACCCCCAGACCATCACACTGCCGCCGCCATGTTTGACGGTAGGTACCTTACACTCCGGGGTAAATTCTTCGTCTACTCGACGACGGACAAATGTCACACCAGGTGTGCCAACAATCATAAAGTAACGAAATTTTGTTAAGTGTTTTTCGGTCCAATATTTATTTTTACAAATATAGTTTTATAATATTATTGTCGCGTATTGTTATTACATGATATTGGCTAACTTACCTCAAAGTTTGATTCATCTGACCACACAATATTTTTCTAATCTTCCTCGGTAAAAGATTGGTATTTTAAAGCCTACTCGTAACGAGCTGTTTTGGTCTTTACTGAGAGCCATGGCTTCTTTCTGGCTGTATAGCCCTTAAGCCCAGCTTCTTGGAGTCTTCTGCGAGTTGTTCTTCCAGAAATCGGCGTATTAATTTCAGCTGATAACTCAGCAGCGAGGTCGGAAGAAGATTTTTTATGATTTTTCAAAGACTAACAATACTACAGTATCATAGCTAAACATCTCGAAACGTGTTTTATTGCACGTTGTGCCGTGAGTTTATGTTTCAAAACCTGTCAAAGAAAGGTTTTTATCAAATATCTTTGAGTATCTTTTATAGTTATCACGTATAAGCAGTATTTAGGGGGTGCTCAATACTTTTGGCCAAGGCTGTATATTAAATCAGTTGATCCTCAAGTACACCGATTTTTGCTCAAACTTATGATACATGCACAACAATACACACACACTCAGGTCTGGTTTTAAATAAGAAAACAACAAGACTTATTTCAAAGCTAAAATTATCTCAAACAATCTGCTGAAAACTAAGTCGATATACCTTTTTACCAAAATGACTTCTCATGTGAGCTTCGAAGTTTTCGTACTTCTGGAATGATCGGTCACACTTGGCGCACTTCAGACGCGTATTCCTTCTGACGATCCGTGTTGATTTATATTTTCCTGTGATTCTGAAAAAAAGAATTAACATTGTTAGATGGTCCAAACCAAACTAACCAAAAGTATTAAACATAAAACTTTTATTGTGTCACATTATGTGCTATCAATTCACAATAGCACATACTTATTTGTGGTTTTTGTAAATCCATGTTGCCTAAAGCAGCGATTTCACATGCCAACCTATTTGGCCCAGGAATCAGGTTTTACTTGAATATTCATTTTAAAATAAATCTTAATACTTATTATGAAATGCCACTCAAATTTTCTCTTTGGCCCAACCTTTTGTACCCTAAATTGTTGTGTGCAATAAAGATTTGAAATTACTCAGAGGCTTGAAGATATGGTTATTAAAATCATGTTCTTTTGAGCAATAGCAATATTATCAGTTATACAAATATTTTTACTCATTGAATATTGCAATATTACCTGGGAGCTTCAGCTGCTGGCTCACTGGAACTGCTGTCGTCACTGGAGCTATCATCGTCATCATTTGAATTGTTTTCTGCACTTGCACTTCCCTGGCCTTCTTGTTTTATCTAAATACAAAAGAAAAGCAGCCTTATTATCAAAGGCACACATCAGTTCAATGTGAACAACTCTTTATTCTATTTGCCAGTTGGAAAGGGCCTTTGCTCTATCTATATTGTAGCAATTTTATTCTTATTGATGATGTTAATAGTTTTTTAAACAGTACAGTACCACAAAAGTACGGTACACTATCGAAACAAAAAATAAATAGGTACTTACTTTAGTCTTCGCAGCTTGTTTCTTTAAAATAGCATTAGAACGAATGGCAACTTCCTTGAAGAAAAACAGTTTGTTGAGCGCCTCCAGACATTTTTGACAGATTTGTTTTGGTAACTCATCTGTTTTAGAAACCTGTAGCAAAGTAATTGGGAAATTACTAAGCAATTAAGTAGACTTACTGGTAATTTAAAAAAATGTGTAACTTAATCACAGAATTTAGAATACTTCTGATATATGCGTTGTATGAATACATAATGATGGATTGTTTTACACCATTACCTCAACCGATGTACAATACTTGTACATTTCTGGAGTACAAACTAAAAACAAATCCTTGAATGGGCCAGAGTCTGATAAACACGCTCGACATATTTTATTGAAATCTACAACGTCATCCGTATTTAAAGTATTCATTGCAGACATTAGTAATAAATAACAACGTAAGCACTTGATCAAATGAGGGGCAAAATTGGCAATGAAAATGGAAAATAAATTTTCATTGTAAGAAAACCCACAAAATCAAGATATTTTTTTTGACATTGACAGCAGAGCACAGTGCAGCAGAGTATAGTTCCAAAATACTGAACTGTCTTATGCATGACATTGACAGTGGGGCGCCACCGTCAATACCGGATCGCTGGTTCCGATTTTTGCCATGTTGGAAACCATATAGTTGAACGATGGTAGCGCCCCCCTGTCATTGAGTTTGGTGGGACAGTTCAGCGTGGGTCATCTATATAAAAGACGTCCACAGATTACACAAAGTGCAATCCTCAAAAATCTTCAATCCTCTCTTCCCTTCACAAACTCACAAATAAAAGAAAGCTCCTTTTTAATGTCCAAAAATGGAAAATGCTCTGATAGTAGATTTCATCATTATTAAAATTCATAAAATACCTATCCACATGCTCTATGACGACTACAACATTTTTCTATAACTTTAAATAAACTCTATTTAATAAGTACCGTTCACAAAAAAAAACCTTTTCCGCGCATTAGTAGGGCTGTCAAAAAATCTTAAAAGAAGTTGATTGATTTTTTTTTGAGATTTTCAAAAATAATAGGCTTGTAAACGCACGCGAAAATTAGATAATTTTAAGATACAATTGTTATCGGATAATATTTTAAAATCAAAGTACCTATGGTGCACTTCAGATTTAAATATAATTATGTAGGTTAATAGCTACCTGTCCCATACTTTAAACTTTAATAGGTATTCTAATCCTAAGATAACAACTTAGATAACAGTAAAACTGTCCATGAAACAATTACATTAAGTATGGTTTTCAATCATCATTATTTAAGTAACTAGCTATAATAAGGTCACCAAACTGCAGACCCCCGACTAAAATCCTGTAATAAGAATAAATCTGCGGAAAATAAATATAAACTTCAGATATTATAATTCCAAGCCTGAAACAGGCTTATAATATAGTAATGAAACGTTTATTAATTTAAATTATTTATATTTAAATGATTTAAAATATTATATTTGTATAAAGAGAATGATCATTCTTTATAAAAAGAAATTGTATAAATTGTTTAATAGTTTAGTGATAAAGACGCCAATCACCATTTTATGAACGCTTATTTTAGTAGCATTTGATAAGTATTTTAGATTATGTAGGTAGGTAGAAGAGAAGCCACACGTTTCGATATTAATCGATATGCTTCTCTTCTACTATACTTACAACATTGTAGAAATAATGTCTGAATGAGCTCTAAACAGGTGTTAAATTTTATAAATGTTGAATAAAGAAAAAGGGTTGATTCTACTATTAAAATATAACTACATATTATTTGAATTTTAGTCCCTTGGGGGAAGTTGTTACATTTGTGAGATTTGTGCAGTAGAATTAATTGTTTGTTTGATCTACTATAAAAATAGCACACTGTTTACAGTCGTCAATGTAAATAATCATGGTAGGTATTAGGAAATTCTAATTTAATACAAGGAAGGAATGTCTTTAAAATGACATTTCTTTACAACATGAATCTATACAATAAAGCACGAATAAAGCTACATAATTATCTTGCCAATACATTTATATTTCCTTCAGAAAATCATTACGGTTATTCCAAATATTATTATCTACTTACGCCTATATTCATACGTCTCAATAATCCTTCGATGTGGGCCTTCTCAGTTCATACTATACCATATGACTGGAAACGAGTTTTTAGCACCCGTTAATATGGACATCCTAACGGTATATTGAAACACCAATGATTAACAAAGCAATAATCGGCTGCATCGACGTTTTCTTTTCAGTGTATCACATACCTACCATTTAGTTACTCGCTCATCGCAGAGCACTGTGTTTGTGTTATGTTGACATCATTTTGAGGTTAGCTTAGCTTTATCGAACAAAATAATATTCCTACTATCATCAAGTTTTGTAATCATCCACTTATAAGTGAAGAGTTTCAATAGCACCTACCTACATCGGTTCGGTTTATCATGAAACCATATAAATTACATACTTATAACCTGATAGTAAAGCATTGTGTGTTGTTTTGCGCTTTGTTATGAGTATCGGTATCAGTGTTACAAATTGTTGAATAGGAGTGGGTACAACGTTCATTGGTACATACTGTGTGCATTGCATTGTTGTCACTGATAAGAATCAGTTTTCATTTTCAAGTTAGTATTGATTCAGCGCATTTCTGAACAACTGAATTCACTTGTAATTTTAAAATGAGTGACGTGAAAATAGATGAAGTACCGATCACGGGAATACCGAGTGATAAACGTATAACACAAATAAAAAATGATTTCTTCGAAGAGTTTGGAACTATGCCGCAATTTATCGTTAAAGTCCCAGGCCGGGTAAATATTATTGGAGAACATATCGATTACTGTGGATATCCGGTATTGCCATTAGCTCTAGAGCAAGATATATTGATTGGCGGGAAACCTATTGATGTGCAAGAGTTGCATTTAAGAAATACAAATAAGAAATATATTAAATATTCCACAAAATTATTATCATTTGAAGATTTAGACATAAAAGCTGATGAAACCGGTAAACCTTATTGGTATAATTACGTACTATGTGGGATCAAAGGAGCGATTGAATATTTAAACAATGAAATAGTCGGTGGACTACAACTTTGCATCGATGGAAACATACCACCAGCTTCAGGTTTGTCGAGTTCTTCTGCATTAGTTAGCGCTGCGTGCCTTTCTTTTTTATATGCACAAAAAGTTTATCCTAGTAAGACAGAAATTGCTTCACTATGCGCCAAAAGTGAGAGGTATATTGGCACTCAAGGTGGTGGAATGGACCAAGCTATAGCATTTCTTGCTGAAAAATATAGTGCACAGTACATAACCTTTGATCCGCTTCAAGCTAAACCGGTATCACTTCCAGAGAACGCTGTTTTTGTAGTGGCACACAGTTTAGCGGAAGCTAACAAAGCAGCAACCAATGATTTTAATAGACGTGTCATAGAATGCAGATTGGCTGCTAAAATTTTGGCTGTTTCTAACGGTGCATCTTTGGATCAAAAGATTATAAATCTCAGTCAAGTTCAAAAAAATCTCAATAAAAGCTTAGATGAAATGATCAGTCTGGTGGATGAATTTCTATGCAAAAATAGTTATACCAAAAACGAAGTATGCGACATGTTAAACATAACTGAAAAGGAATTGAACGATATTTATTTGACACCAAATACGAAACACTTGTCTGAGTTTAAACTACGTCAGAGAGCTCTTCATGTTTATAAAGAGGCGATGCGTGTTGAATCTTTCAGAAAAATTTGCGAAGATAATTTTTCCAATGGCTCGTGTAAGAATGGAACAAACGGTTCTAGCCACACTAATGGAAACTCTGGTTCTCTTGAGCCCATTAGTGTTCTTGGTACGCTAATGACCGAAAGTCATGAAAGTCTGAAGAAACTTTACGAATGTTCACATGTCAACTTAGATCGTCTGGTAGATATATCAAAAGCAATGAATGTTCATTCACGCCTAACTGGAGCGGGCTGGGGAGGATGTATAGTAGCATTATGTCCAAAGGAAATTGTTGATAACTACATAGAAACGCTCGTTGATAAGTTTTATGTTCAGTATTGTAATATAGATAAGAATGAGGCATTAGCTTATGTATTTGCAACTACACCTAGCCACGGTGCTGTTATTTATAAATGATTAAATATCTTTGTATATTCTAGCAATCATCAAAAATCATTTTATCATAAGCAGATAAACATTAATTCTGAAATGATGTAACAAAAGAAAATAATTAATAGAGAAATCAGAAAAATGAATAGGTAAATTAATCAATTATTATAAACTTTCTATCAACAATATGAAGTACCTACCAATGTCTTTTAAAATTGCGTAGGTAATTATTTGTTTTATATATAGTTACAACTTGTTTATTTTTACATAAAAATAACGTGCCGTATTTTATAATTTTGTTGCAAAATCAAATTATAATTTTAAAAAATAGTTATATTAAATTTTTATATTATGTAACATGTAACTAGCATTTGGGGCAATTTTATAGTTATTCATGGATATAAAATATCATAAGAAAATGCAAAGCATTTATTACAATATATTTTATAACTCAACCGGTTATGTATGAACTTAATGTTCAAGAGCTAAAATATCATCTACATAATTATTGTTATGATGTCAGTCATCTACAAAACATATACATTTGCATTTACTAATTATAATTTTTAAACTGTTTCGATCATGTTTTATAGCATATTGTATTTAATTTATTTTTATTTATCATCATAATAAATAAAATTAAATATTTTCATGATATTTATCGTCTTTTTATTTTATCAAATGTAAAAAAAGCCCGTACTTAATTTATTAGTAACTACGAATTGGCAACCCTAGTTTTCCTGTGAAAATCAAATAACGGAAGTCGGAAACGGAAGTTATTAAAAGCTTTCAAGTCATTTGTGACTATGATATTCTCATCTTCAAATATATTTTTATTTATAGCTTGATAATTTAATATAATTACATAATATTAATTTAGAAGCAATGAACTCTTGGATTACTTACTTTTTATAAATATAAAATACTAGCTTTTACCCGCGGCTTCACCTGCGTGAAATTTAGTTTGTCACAGATCGTCATAAATTATAGCCTATATTATGTTATTCTGGGTTATCTACACTAATATTATAAAGAGGAAAACTTTGTTTCTTTGTTTGGTTGTAATGAATAGGCTCAAAAACTACTGGACCGTTTTTAAAAATTCTTTCATCATTCGAAGCTACATTATCCACGAGTAACATAGGCTAAAGGACAATGACCAAAAATGTATGGAGTGTGGTCCAAATGTCCACCACTAACGAGACCTATGTCTACTAAATACTGAACCTTAATCTAAGATTATAACCAAACCGCAATCAAAAATATGCTGTCAGTAAAAAGTTATGACTGAATGAAAAGTCTGTTTTTTACCTTTTCATCTGAAATTGTTCTTGATATCATTCAATCCATTACACATTTTGGACATCTACGCATGTTATGTCATGTCGCATGTGGCGCGGGCTTATAGATGAATTTTATTAAATATTATACTAGCTATGCCTACGACTTCCTGAGATTAACGATTACTACAATTTTTCAAATAGTCATAACTTTTTACTGACAGCTTATTTTTTTTTCGTCCCATACTTGCTGAAAGTTAATCTCTATTTAATGGACTATAAATATAGGTCCTCAGACTAAGGATAAGATTCTCACTAGTGGTGGACATTTGGACCACTTTTGGTCATTGTCCTTTTATTTTGGAAAAAATAGGGTTAAGTAAAATATGTAGATAATGTAGTCCACGCGCGCGAAGCCGCGGGTGGATAATACTGTAAAGTTTCATCAAAATCCGTTCAGTAGTTTTTGTGCGGAAGAGTAACAAACATCCAGGCATCTTTCGAATTATATTATAGTAAGTTAATGTAATAAATGGTAATACAACTAAAGATTTTAATAAATTGATGCAGCGTGGATATAAGCAATAAGAGTAAAAATAGATTTAAGGTTTGATATTTTTTAATGATGGTTATATTACGTTAGTAAAGATTGGCACAGAAATGCTTTATCGCTCGTTTGTCCCCCTTCCCAAAACTGGGATATAAAAGGTCTCAAACTAATACTATAATCTATTTCAAGTTAAACGATTCAATGATTTGTGTGAAGGGGTAACCTGGGTTAACGGATAGATAGAGAGACAGCGTTATTACAGCATTTTTATTGAAGGATTAAAGTCAAAATTCAAGTTGTAGAAATCGTAAAATAGGTACTAAAAGAAATCGATTGTGAATCAACATCTAGTATTCGAGTAGTCATCTACTTTGGGGGCGTTTGGCCAAAAATAGCACTTGTTAGAAATTGCAAGCAAAATGGCGTTCGCCATGGCAACCGCTGAAAACTTTAGCATATTTTCGGCGAGGACATGTTTGATAACTTCAATAATGACGTTTTCCTATACAGTGTGAGTCCCGTTAAAGTTATGATGACCCACGCTGAACTGTCCCACCAAACTCAATGACAGGGGGGCGCTACCATCGTTCAACTATATGGTTTCCAACATGGCAGAAATCTGAACCAGCGATCCGGTATTGACGGTGGCGCCCCACTGTCAATGTCATCGACAGGACAGTCCAGTATTTTGGAACTATACATATATAGATGAAACTAGACCTATTTTTATCGACAAAAAAGAGGTCAAATTTTTTTTGAGTTTTTTTTTTTTAATTTTTTAAAGATTTTTTTTTCTTCCAAGTACTTATTGTAAAGAAAACGTAATAACTTTTAAACTAAGCCGTATATCCTGATAAAATAAAAACAGTAATAATGCTAAATAACAGGCGATACTAAAAAAATACATAAAATACACAAAAAAGGCCAACAAATATAAAAAATGATACTTTATGAAAAAAATCTGCTTTTAAATTCGTGTTTTTTTGGTTATTCGATAAATTTCTCCAAAAAATGCCCCTATAACAGGTGGCTTTTATTACTTTGTATTACTCTCTATCGTATTTTCTTTGTAAAACCAAAAATCGCATGTCTATAGAGACATGTCTATAGGGATAGCCCTATCACAACATTTGCTATGATCGTTTGAACCAAGGCCTACCACAACATTATTCTCCGCTACAGGTAGAGAAAATTTTAATTTAAACTAAAATGCTTATTTTACTTCGAAATCTTTTGTTTTTATTTGAAATCTAACTTGTCTTTATCAAAATTACAAATCTAGAGCCATTTTCAGTTTCGTTGTTGACGAAGCGTTGAATGGCGCGCCCAGAGAGGCTTAGTTCAAACGATCATTGCAAACGTTGTGATAGAGATAGAGACATGCGATTTTTGGTTTTACAAAGGTAATACAATAGAGAATAATACAAAGTAATAAAAACTACCGATTATAGGGGCATTTTTTGGAGAAATTTATCAAATAACCAAAAAACTCGAATTTAAAAGCAGATTTTTTTCAAAAAGTATCATTTTTTTTTATATGTTGGCCTTCTTTTTTGTGTATTTTATGTATTTTTTTAGTATTGCCTGTTATTTAGCATTATTACTGTTTTTATTTTATCACGATATACCGCTTAGTTTAAAAGTTATTACGTTTTCTTTACAATAAGTAATTGGAAGAAAAAAAATTCTATAAAAAATTAAAAAAAAATCTCAAAAATTTTTTGACCTCTTTTTCGTCGATAAAAATAGGTCTAGTTTTATCTATTTTCATATGTACACTTTAACGTGACTCACACTGTATACTTTTAGCAGTGGTAGCACTTACCGCTAAAAAGACGCCATTTTTCTTACAAGCGCTAGCTAGCGTTATTTTTGGCCAAACGCCCCCACTGTCATGTTGATCTGGCTGATCTGTCATCTGTCATTAATGTCATCAACATATTTCTTGCGTTTTCTTGCATCATATTCTTTCAAGATTTTATTGTAAATTCTTGGATTTCTTGGTCATTTACGGCAATATTTTAATTATTTACTGATAAATGAATAAAGGCAGTAGTGTATGTGCTTCAAACTGTAAGTAATTATTATGTTATTAAAATTTTTATTCACACATTTACGAGAATACCATAAGATTAAGTTTTTAGGTATCTTAGTGGTAAATAATATGTTCAAATTATTACTCATATCTTCTTTAAAGCTTAACAAGGAATAGCAGCTATGGTTTTCTCTGAGGTATGCGTAATTTTTCCGTGTGTTGTTGAGACTTTGATGTCACTGATTTGAGGTTATAAATTGTATACAATTATGTGATAGTTTCTTCTGCCTTCATAACCTGAGCATAAATACATAACATGAAATCATTTATTCAATGTTGCCTACGTATCCCTTATTTTTAATAGAGTTGTTCCTTTCCAAACCTCATATTTTATTATAGGCATGCAATGGCAATATCTTTCCTATTTTTTGTGAATAATTGTTTGCTCTATTTCTAACAAATAAGTTCCAGAATTAACTGGCAAGTATAAGATGTATGCCTTTATATCCACTACAAGAAATTGTATTTAAATGTCTATTTAAATTATTGTAACACAGTGATTTTTCAATACAGATTGTTTTATTTTATTTTTCTTGATTTTTCAGACTAGAATAGTTAACAATCCAGCAAGAAAAAGAAGACTAAGAAGAATTAGGTCAAAGATAAAAGCAGCAAGTAAAAAATTAAATAAGTCTGTTGATTCAAGTCATCTTGAATCAACAAATCTTGACCCACAACAACAACTACTAAATGGTATCAAAAGTAAGCCTCAAGAATTAGAAATAGAGAAGACAAGTTGTTCCAAATCAGATAGTACAAAAGAAAACACAGGAAACATGTCTTCGAAGGAAGATGCAAAGTCCAGGGAAGATGTGATAGCTGCTAGAGAAGCCAAAAAATTGGCCAAACAAAAAGGAAAACCGAAACCAGCTCAAGCAACAGCAACTAAACAGCCTGAAGCCCAAAAAAGTGAAATAAAAAAAGATATCAAAGAAAATAGCACTGATAAGTTAGTAAAAGGAAATAAAGATGCTCCAACAAAATCTCCCGAATCCCAGAAGAGCAAAGATGAAGTTGACAAAGCTGTAATACAAGTTAAAACTGATGATATATCAAAGGAAGATATAAAAGCTGAGAGAGCAGCAAAGAAAGCTGCTAAACAAGCCAAGAAGAAGAAAGAAGATGGTGGAGATGCTGCCGATGACATGACAGTCAAGGATGTTGTTGAGACCTTGAAGGATATTGTTAATGTTGCAAAAGAGGTACAGGATGTCACC